GCAGTCGTGGTGGCATTGATTGGTGGCGTTACCAGACTCAAGTTCTTATCCCAAAGCTAATTCCCTTCGCAAAGGAGTGCCAAAAAGAGAGACCACGTGTCTTTGTTCAAGAAGATAAGGCACCTTCGCATACCCACCACGCTCAAAGAACTATATACCGAAACGCTGAGGTGGAGCAGCTCCCATGGCCAGGCAATTCACCTGATCTCAACGCTATTGAAGCAGCCTGGCCATGGCTCAAAAGAAAAACAACACGAAGAGGCGCACCAAAAAGTCGGGCGGAAGGGACAAAAGTATGGCAACAGTACTGGGATGAGCTACCTCAACACCAAATTCAAGCTTGGATAGAGCGTATTCCGTTTCATATTCAAGAAATCATTAAACTTGAAGGTGGCAATGAGTACAAAGAGGGGCGGCGGGACCGATCTACATAGCTTCGGCCCTATTTTCGGCGGTAATCAATGCACCCCTGTCAGCAAGAACTTTTGACAGTCACCTCCGTAGATTAGCTGCTGAATGGTACACGTGCAAATCGGCCCGTCGACCGGTGAGATGGACTGGCAGCCCGCTCAGGTGGACGGTTTTGGCCGTAGCGTGCACTGCTGATGTATGGGAATGCTTGATTCTGGGTATCTTGGATATGCGCGCTCAAGTCTAGCCCTGTCTCCTTCTATCACCGCCGGCACTTTCCACTCTGTTATTACTCACATAGCCCTACTCCGACTTGGACCGCCCACGAACGCGCTGCTGGTGCTGCTCTTCCTGCAGCTTCTTCTTCTGCTGCCACTGCCACTCCACCAGGACGGGTAGAAACTGCCAAAGATCAAACTCGGGCCAGAGGCACTTGAGGAAAACAATGGACGTGTTCTCGTGAGCCTGCCACAGCATAAAGTCGCTCAGCCGCTCGACGCCAGAAGTGCGGATCAGCAGATCAAGCGGTGGAGCATCTGCCGTCATCATGTTGTCGTTTAGCGTCTGAGCACTAATTGACTCGGGATCCAAGAACGTGGGCTCGTTGGACAAGTCATCTTTTTCAGGCTCGTTGATGGCCGTCGACGTCGACGACGAATGCCCATCTCCAACCGAGGCGTCATCTTTCGACGGCGACGCTGAACCCAACTCGGGCTGCTCGAAGGCGCCTTCTGTATCCTCCTCCAACATTTGCTTCCGGATATGCTGGGTAATGTGGGACTCGGAAAACGTGCGTTTCGACGAATTAGACAGAGTGTGCATCGGGGTACTGTAGGTCTCGACAGTCTTCATCACAGCGGTGGTAATCTCATGGCGCGACGTGTACGGAAAGCATACATTCAGCACAGCCCTGTGAACGGTCAGTGAGGTTTCTTTATAACCGGTGTAGTATTGTACTTTTTGTTGTGAGCAGTCATGGCAACGGCCTTGTCGACGGCCTTGAGCACGTCTGGGCTGATGAGCTCCCGCTGACCCAGTATCCGGACGGATGCACCATAGCGATCTAGTAGAGCACCGTGCTCGGCCAGCTGCTGCAGCTTCACCTTGGCCATGGACATGAGTGCATCCACCTCATGCTTGGAGCGCTTGAAGTTTTCTATGCTGAACGCGTAGATGGTCACAACCCTGACTCCGGTCTTATAGCAGACTTCCAGGATCTAGCGAGCAAATCAGCACTGTGCCAGGACAAGGGGACATTTGTTGGCTTCTCATACCCGGGCCAATGACTCGAAGCCCAGATTGTGCCCCTCTACAGTCTCAATATGGTGGTTGCGCGCAAACCGCCTGTTGCCGTCCATGACGAAGGCGACATGCTGGGGAATAGGGCCTTGCTTGAGAGAGCCGATGAGGAGTTCGCGTAGCTGCCTGACGGTCCATGCGACTGGAGGCGAGGTTGCGAACCACTTGTGTATGCGAGAGTCGTGGATTGATCCCATTGCGAATATTGCTGGGCTACTTGGCGTAGCTCCTCTAGGGGTATCGGAATTGCAGTGTGGCTGTGGGCGCGAGTGGTGAAAGACGCTGGAGACGGCTTCACGAGACAAACGGCGCTCGGTGAATCAGGGTATCATGGTGTATAAGGATCGCAATCAAGGACAAGACGCTACGTAACGGATTCAGGGCGCAGTGGGCTCTGACGCGCCTCGTGTGCATCTCAGCATCCGGGGTCCTGGACGGGGTGAGTGGCTGGGCATGCTGACTAAGCGTGGCGCGGCGCAACCGTGGCTTCCGCCTATGCCATCCTTGCCGACTTTCCGCTCACATCTCTCATTTTTGCCCGACGCGAGCCTCACTGCCGCGTCATCAAAGCTGGGCTCTCCTGCTCTTCTATACGCACTACCATCAAGTATTCGCACCCTTGTCCCAACGGCGCCATGGCCGAAGAGGCTCAGCACAACGTCACTGTGCTTGCCGACCAGCTCATTGAAGGCTTTGCAGCGTTGAGCGGACAGTACCAGGCTCTGTTGCACCAGCACAGACAGGTAGAGAGCAAGCTCTTGTGGGCCAAGCAACAGGTACGTGACAGCCTCACGCAGTCGTCCCCCTCTCCTATGATGATACACTTTAGCTCTAGACCTGCAGCTGCTCTCGCGGCTTTGACAGAAAACAACCACAGCATGACCTGATACGGATGTTTTTCCCTCACGAATCAGCACACACGATGCTCCAAGGATGAAGCTGACTCGCAAACAGTACCTTGACCTGCTCAAACGGTTCACGCCAGATACGCTGTCGCAAGACCATCATGCCTTCCTGCAAGAACTTGAGCGCATTGGCGACGAGCAAGCGCATATACCTTTGAATTTGGTGGAACAGTTAGCAGATAGCGACGATGTAGAGCGCAAGAGCCGGGCACTGGTCATCCAGAAGGCCGAAGAGGCTGCTGTGCAGCTGCGTGCCCCTGAAAATACTGCAAGTGTAAAGATATGGAGCGGCCCGTCTGCAGACGTGCCGTCGCCGCTGCCCGAGACACAGCGCAATAGAGCCCCTTCACCTCTTGAAAAAGATTTTACAGTTGCGGGAACGCCGAGCAAGCTGGCCTGCCCTTTTGCATCTGGAAGCGGCAGAGGCAGCCCGCTCGCTACACCGCGAAGCTCGACGTCACGACTGAGTCTGCGCGGCCGTAGATCCAAACGCCCCTCGTTTGCCGATCCCATCCGCGCCGAAATATGTAGCAATAAACCTTCCTCGTTGTCCGCCTCCGTAGCTGCATCTGGCTCCGCTGCTGTCTGTCCCATTCGCTTTCTCGACCAGCACAACCCTGAAGAGGTTGCCGAATACTTTGAAAAACACAAGCATGAGCTGCCGAGGAGCCATGAAATCTGCATTACGCGCTTCCAGAGCAACCAGGAGAGTATTGCACAGCTGGATCGCAAGTATGGCAACCTGGTCAACATGATCCAAGGCCTCGGCCAAAAGCACCAGGCGTGGCTGCCCGAGGACCCTGACGATGCCATTGTCGAAGAGCCTGACCTTGAGCCTAACCAAGCCAGCAACGTCAAGGCAGACGCCAAAGTTCAACACTGGGCCTCGGCCGTGTCTGCCAGTCTGAACGATGGCGCGCCAACACCTGAAGAAGCACCCGAAGAACACACCATGGACGAGACGAGAACAGCACGCTTTGACCGTCCGCTGAAGGAAGTGCGAGTGGGCGAGTCCCCCAGCCGGCCTTGGGGCATATCGATACCTGCAAAATACACCAACGCAGAGAGCTCGTCGTCGGTGGGCTCTGTCCCAACGGCATCTCCACAGTTTCCGCTCGACACGGGTCGGCCAATCGACGACACAGCACAAGAGACGGGCAAGTGCCCATTTGACCACCACGCGATGATGGACCAAGCTCCTGCACAAGGTCAGGCACGGCAGTCTGCTCCACCACCGCACTCGCAGCCGGGGGCCACGACGGCGCGCGCGGCACCCACCGACCCCTTGCCGCAGCCACCAGTTCCAGAGCAGAACGGGGGGACGGGCGGCCCGAGGATGATACCACAGATGGTGTTCAACGGACCCGTCTTCCTAGGGTATCCCCCAGATCAGCTGGCGCTGCTGCTGCAAAATAGTAACATTGGTGCAACGATGCGGTAAGCTCCAAGCAACAAAGGTAATTTGAATTCTCTGGCTGGTCGATCTGAGGTATTGTATTGTAATCAGAAGGTAGGCTTCCACTATTGCCTGCCTCGCCACTGCGTGTCACTCTCCGTCTCCCGAATGCGTGCATGCCGGTATTGTCTGCGCCGTCCATTGCCACTACATGTCTTGTTCTGAGTTTGCCAAGGGTTGCTCATGTCTTCTTCAGGTCTGTCATCCACGTGCGCACGCCCTTTGCGCTGTCGTGTGCCGCACGGAACACTGGCTTGGCATCAGCCACGATGTGCTCAAGGTGATTGGTGGGTACTCACGCTGCCGCTCGTTTTCATCCAGGCCTCGCATGAAGTTGGCGCCTTCGCCTAATGCACCTCGTGGATTGTGGGCTTGATCGGCTATCAGAGCAGCCCTGGCCTTGAAGGTCTGCATGGGTTAGCTTGGGGCCAGGTGAGGGTGTCTGGCACGAGACTCACGTCACTCAGCACCTCGATCATCTCTTCCTCTTCAAACAGCTCGAGAATGCGTGCCCCGAGGTTGTAGAAGTGCGGGGCCAGGGCACGCAAGTCGACGGTGCGCGGGTCGGCTTTGAGTGCGTTGAGGACGCGAGGAGCGAGGGCGGCTGGAGGGTCGATGGTCACGAGAGAGGATGTATTTAGGCTTTGGCTGTAGTAGAGTGAATACACAAGTGTCGACCAAGACTCGAAGACGGATCTACCTCACTGCAAGCATCTCGCCCAGCCACAAGGGAAGCTCGACCTTGGAGCCCTGCTTCATGTCGCCGCTCATGTTGCCCTCGAGATAGCCCAGGCCAGGAACGGTAAGCTCAAAGGTGCAGGGTACCTTTTGAGCATCCGTGAGGATGGCATCCACATCGTAGTACGAGCTCATGGTGTCTGAAACACGTCAACCGACCACTCTGGCAGAACGAGCGTAAGAGGCGGCAAGGCACTGGCAAGGCACATGGCGCTGTGCTGCGCCATGCCAGCCGAGAAAAAAGAGGTCGGAAAGAAGAAGCCTTAGGCACAGCGGCCGACGTGTCGCGCGTCGTGCGACCAGCAGCCTTTGTGCACGCACTGAGACGAATATGCACTGGGCTTTCATGCAAAGCGTCGCCCGGGCAGGACGAGAACGGGGGGGCAAACGGGGGCAAACGGCGTGGTGGGAGAAGATTTGGAAACGGTCTGCTTACTGCGAGGCTACGGCTGTGTTGCGCGTCCAACGAGTGCCTGGCGGAGGTCCGAATGGATAAGTATATGACGCGTTTCGCCCAGATGGGGGAGCACTCACCTCTCTCCGCACCCCAGCACACGTTAATCTCAGGGCCTGCAAGTATTTGCTGTGTGAATCAATCAATCAATCAATCAATCAGTCAGTCACAATCAATCGGCCAGCTCGACCCCGTACCAGTGTCAGTGTCAGTGCCAGCGCCGTCGTCCAGCCCCACGCCGCCGTCGTTGTGAGGCTCGCCGACTTACTTGGGGCTGGCTGCACCTCCATCGCCTGCTGGCCAAAGCTCCCGGAACCTCGATGTCATAGGAACCAGGCGCCGGCTGCCCACATGAACCACCACCCAGCCCTGCCAGCCAATTCTCCCCAGCAGAGCACCTCTCCACCAGCGCTCCCCCCCCCCTGACTACCGGATTTCTATTTCACTCGGCTCTTTGTAGGATATAGTAAGTCGCGTGTGACCCCCCAATTCGCCCCCCCAGCCCCACAGCCCTGCCTGCGCATAGCGGTGCTCGCTCTGTATACAGACACATCCACATCCACATCCACATCCACACAACGCCCCCCTTCTTCAGCCCATCGCCCGATCCCGCTCGCTTGCTCAACCGCTTGCTGACGATCCGCAGCCACAGCAATCACGTCTTGGCTGCCGTCGACTGCGCATTGCTAGCTTTACATTAATGATCCTTCATCTCGACGCCTCCCCCACCGCGCCCTAGGCATAAATCGGTACACTTAAACACCTCACACTCTCTCGCCCCCCCAACCGGCACCATGGCCGTGAGCGAACGCATATCGCAGCTCATGAGCGCCCTCGACACGGGAACCGGCCCTGACAACTCTCGTGCCACCTCTCCTGGCGGCGACTGGCGGCAGGCCAACGGCGGTGTCAATGGGGCCGATGACAGGCGTCGCCCGCGCACCTTCCCATACTTTGAATACCTCCCCTACCAGACAGAGGACCAGAGCGATCGCGAAGAGAGCCTCAACACATGTCTGAAGCATCTCTACATTGCCGTCTTAGCAGGTGACTTTGCGCCGGGCGCAGTGCACTGGACGCGCGAGATTCGGGGCTGGCTGTCGCTCAAGTTTGATCTTCCCCGCAGCACGCGGGTGAAGCTGGTGCATCTCTACTATGAGCTGGCACTCGCCCCCGGCCTGGACTATCTGGTCGCCGAGCGCTTTGCGAGCATGTTCATGGTCTTGACCAAGTGAGTAGAGCGCCAGCTGAAGCTTGGCCCACGAGTGCAAACTGACAACTTGACAGGCGTAAACACTATCTCCGCCCCGGCACCGACCTGCTGCTCGACTGGCGACCGCTCTACAGAGAGCTGAAGATGTTCGTTCTGCCCTCGGAATCGGGAGGCTCCCACCCGCCCAACGTCAAGCGCAACATTCGCACCTTGACCAAGATGTGCACCTTTGCGCAGTCGTACTTTGATCCCAAGGAGATTCCCGCCATGCTCGAAGAGCTTCTGCCCTTTTTCAGCACATCTTTCAGCGAGAATGCATTTGTCGTTGTGGGTCTGCTGAATCTGCTCCTGCCCACGCACCCAGCCCCTGAGGACATGCCAAAGCTGCTACCACAAGAATACCTCCCCACCTTCTTCCACTTGTGGTCGCTCGTAAACCGGTCGCGGCTCTTCGATGCACACTACATCGATACCTTGTCGAGGCTGGCACGCGACAATCTGACGGCGTCGCATGTGCCCTTCTCGCAGTACGGAGTCTTCACAGGAGAACAGTCGTCCCAGATCTTCACGGCGATTTTGCGCCTGCTTGAGATCCCAGTGGGGCAGGCAACCTCTCCCTACAGTAGTTCGGTCGATCTCGGAGCGGGCCTGGCCGTGATGCTAGACCGCGATCCGCGGAAGCATCCGTCTACACACCACATCGCCCGCATCATCGCCATGTCATTGTCCCCCGCAGCTGCCGAGCACCCAGACTCTACTCTTACCAAGTTAGAGGGCCTGATTCAAGCGGTAGAAACCTTCTTCCATCCCTCAAACTCTGGGAGCTGGACCAGGCCTTTGGCGCAGTTCGTGTACTACCTGGCGGATATTTTTGTCCTGCGCTGGAACCGCGAGCATAGCGGTGAGATGGATGTGCCAGAAGAGCGACGACTCAATGACGCAGTCAAGCGGCGCTTTGTGCTCTGTCTGCGTGAGGTCACGTTCATGGGCATCTTCTCTAAAAGCGACAAAGCTGTGCAATACGCCCTGTCTACCCTGCAGAGCCTGGCGTTTCTTGAGCCCAACCTCATCCTGCCAGGTGCATTACAGCGAATCTACCCCGCAATGCAGGGGCTTGTCGAGGTTCATCGTACAATTTCGTCTATCCGCGCGTTGCACATGCTTTCAAAGGTCATGGCCAAGACAAAGGGCTTCCGGTGCCACGTTACGTCGGTACTTGGGCTTGCACTACCTGGTATCGATGCCAACGACCTGGAAAAGACGCTGCATACCTTGCAATACATCCAGGGCGTGTGCTACCTGATCCCATTCCAGGATCTCACAAAGGCGAAGAAGGCGTCCAACGAAGAGGCCTCGAGAGGTGGAGCAACTTCGCCCATAGATGACGCTGGTGCTGATACCGGGCTGGCTGTGGACTGGATCACGGCGCAAGTTGACCGACTCGAGAATGCCAATGGCAACGTTGAAATCAATTACGAAGAAGAACTCAGTGACGCAGACGAGGCAATGATCCTGCGCTCATCCACGACTGGGCTCAATGAGTTCCTCATCACGTTTCTCGGCCGCGTCTTCACGTTGCTGGAGAATCTGCCAGATGCTTCTAGGGTCCGCAGTGGCTCTCCCGAAGAGTATGTGGTCAACCAGCTTCCAGCGGCTTTCACACCACTGCTCGCTGCGCTCTCTCCTGAGCTGTACGATATCGCGCTTGATAAGATTGCCAACTTCATCACGAACCATGTCGTTCACCAGGCAAAAGACGCCATTGCGTTCATCTGCAACAGCCTGGTTAAGATCAATCCTGAGAAAGCCCTGAAGCGTCTTTTGCCACATCTCCTTGCAGGTATTCGTACTGAGATCGACGAGATTGGTGCGGGCTCCACGCGAACAACAGGCGCAGAAGTACTTCCGCGCGACCGTGCGCTTGTCTGGAACCTTTGCATTCTTAGCATGTGTGTTGTCCATGTTGGTGATGCAGTCCTTGAGTGGAAGAACGAACTGTTTGAGATTGCAGAGTACATGCAGCAAAAGTGCCGAGGCACGCCTACCGTGCATGTCTCCAACTTTATCCATCACTTGCTGCTGAATCTCACATGCACCTACACTATCGATTACTCAATCTACGAGCAAGATGAGCTTCGACAGGGCTTGTCCACAGAGTCGTGGGGCAGGCAGGTGGATATCAAGAAGCTGAATATCAAGTGGCACACTCCAAGTTCAGAGGAGATAGAATTCGCTATCAAGCTTTTCGAGACGCATGCCAATAACTCAATGACGGCACTCACTGCCCTCATTCAGCCAGACTCGCCAATCAAGCGTGAAGGCACTGGAAAAGATTGGTCCGATGAAGTATCTCGAAACCTCGTTCTATTACGATTGATCATCTCGGGTATCTCAGTCCTGTTTGACGTTCGACACGATCAGGTCACCGATGGCAATATTGAGTCAGACGACGGCTCAGATTCAGATGCAATGGACACAGAAGGCATTGATGACGACGCCGGCCTCGGTGAAGCCGAAGACGAGGAGGTCAAGCCTACCTTCCAGTACGAAGCTGGGTATCCACTACGTCGTGGCGACAACAACTACAACCTTGTCCATGACCTACGTAGGCAAGTGGGCGAGATGCTGCACAAGGTGCATCAGTTCTTGATTGAGAAGCAACCTGATGATGTGCCTTGCTTCAATTCGTTGTACAACGCCTATCGCTCATGGTTCATCGACGTTGGCATCGAGCGGTCTGCCCATGTACTAGATCGGATATCCAGGCTTTTGGAGAATGACGAACGGCCGTTCAGGTTCAGCGGGCTGCGAAAGCAGTATCCACGACCTCTGCTCGTCCGGCGCGCCAACGTCTACCATCTGCAGCGACTACGACACAACGCCAACCCGCGACCAAAGACAGATCTCGACATGACATTGCTATTGGATCTTGCCGAGTCTAGCATTTCACTCTACACCGAGATTCGCCGCACTGCACAGACTGCCAACGAGTCAGCCGTTAAGTGCGTGCTGGGTGCCAGGCCACTTGTCATTCCATCCCTGCTGGATGCGTTTGTCAAGGCTGTTGCTGAAAGTGATTACCCTCGTATCAAGGGTGCCATGTTCGCACTCTTGTTCGGTAGCCTGGCGAAAACTATCAGTCGCGACTGGCGGTTTACTCCCAAGCTGATCAAGGCTTTCATCGAGGTTACTGGTGCTGACAAACCTTCAGTGCAGAAACTCGCGACCAATGCTACCTTCCAGATCATGGACATGGGTAAAGCAATGGAGCGTATGGTCATTCTGCCCAAGGAGGTGGTCGAGTCTATAGCGTATGCTATCGACTCCAGTGAGGGCGATAGTGTACATGACAAAGTCACCAAGCGACGGGACTACATCAAGAAGAAGCGGTCCCGCATTGAAGACAAGAAATCCCAGCTGTCCAAGGAACTCGTGGAGATTGCCAACACCGAACATTGGAAGAAAGTCAGCCGGACGGCGGCTATCATTGTCAATCTGGGGATGCGTTACGACACGGTTGCATCTGACGAGATGATTGACCTGGTTACCAAGGGATCCATTGATCAACATCCTAGTCTCCGAGGTTTGTATGCTGGAGCTCTCATTGGCCTTTATTCAGTCATTCAAACACGCGCCATCACGGGTCACAATTACGAGAAATACCTGTTGAACGAGGAAGAATTGCCGGATAAAATTTCGGTTCCCACCAGGCCAGAGGATCCCGACTGGACTGCAGAGTACTTGGCATCATTTGCACAGCCAGAAGCCAAGTATTACGTCGACTTTGACTACCCTGGATGGCTAGTGTGGACCAAGAGCATGACTGCGTTCAAGCCAAACGCACCACAGCTGTCATATGACGAGGTCGAGACTGGGATCCGTCAAAAGATTGCAAAGCATCTCACTCGCTCTTGGTTCTCAAACTACTTTGCCTTTATGAAGCAGGAGCCACGCGATAACAGCGCTGATCGTTTCCGCATGTCGAGCGCAATGGTACTGACTCATTCGTTTGATCTCGTCTTTGGTGGTCTCACAGAAGCCACATTCGAAGACATCAAAGACCTGACCCAATCGGTGTATGCTGATGGTAGCGACAAGCATCAGCATCGCGCGACTTCTGAGATTATGGCTGCGTTGCTTTCGTGTGCACCAGATCTCAAGGCTGATCAGCGAGAAGCAGTATGGCAATATGTTTTCCCTATCGTCCGCGGCATCTTCCAAGACGGTCTGACGCCAGAGAACTCTGGCTATTGGACGACGTTCCTACACGTTGTGTTGCAATCCAAAGACCCTCGACGAGGATGGCCGCTGGTCGACTGGCTGGCCAGCTTCCGCCTTGACATGGAGTCTAATGCAGCTTTCAAGGAGAGTTCAAAGATCCATCTGCTTACACAATGCATCTGCGACGCCGGTTGGCACTTTAGACTGGAGAAGCCAATCCTGGAAGATTTCATGAAGCATCTCGACCATCCTTACAAAGGCGTGCGTGAAGCCATGGGCCAGACTATTGCGAGCATCTTCAGGACACGTTACCACGAATCGTACAAAGATGTCGGTACGCTCATGAAGGCACAGAAAGAAGCTTCTTCGATTGGAGTCCGGCCATATCAGCCCACAGAGGAATTCAGCAAGACCATTACCGAAGTCTTTGACCGACTTGAGGTATGGCGCCAGGAGCGTCCTGCAGGCCAACAGACGCCTTCGTCGTACACATCCGGTGGTAAAACAGTCTTGCTGTGGCTCGACACTACCCTTTCTTCGTATGAGTGTACATCGCTCGTTAAGTTCTTCCCAGATGTTTTCATGGAGCAACTACTCCACATGATGGACATCAAGGAGGATCCCGAACTGCAATCGCTAGCATACCATGTTTTCCGACACCTGCCCAACATCCCGCATCGCGAGGGTGAAGATTCTGAATTCATTGCTGCACTCATTCGCATAGGACGCAATGCAACGAGCTGGCACCAACGTCTGAGAATCCTGATCAATATTCAGGTCATCTACTTCCGCAGGCTGTTTCTCATGAGCGAAGAGCAGCAACAGAGCATGTTCGACTGTGTGTCTGCCATGCTGTCAGATACCCAGCTAGAGGTACGTATGGGCGCCGCTACCACGCTATCTGGCATGATTCGTTGCTCGCCCATTGCATTCCGCGATCGCCAGGTCTCAACACTCAAGGAGCGCTTTACGAAGCAACTTACCAAGAACCCGCTGCCGAAAAAGCGTGTTCCAGGAACACCCACAACCGAGCAGGGCAAACTCGTCCTCACTCGTCACGCCGCTGTACTAGGTCTAGGCGCGCTCGTTCAAGCATTCCCATACCAGAGCCCCCCGCCAGCGTGGTTACCGGAAGTACTCGCCACGCTTGCGAGGAAGGCCGCTGCTGATCCTGGCATGGTGGGTAAGAGTGTCAAGACTATTCTCGCAGACTTCAAGAAGACGAGACAGGATACTTGGCATGTGGACGTCAAGGTAAGTTTCATGTTCTCTCAGCGAGGACGCCTCGATGCGATGCAAGTACTAATTATGGAAATAGGCGTTCGAGCAAGAGCAATTGGAGGATCTAGAAGGTGTACTATGGAAGAGTTACTTTGCTTAAACGCAGAGCATGCAGCCACGGACGACGACCGATTATGATTGTAGGTTGTTTAGAGGATAGGGAAATCATGTATACTTTAGCCAGCAACAACCCGGATGGTCCTGATCACGAACGACACGATGGGGCTTTGCATACGCGGGGTTTTTGTGGAGACGGCATCTTCTAGGCAGTTATGTGCTTATGTATCAAACAAGCTGCCTTCAACTGTGTGCTGCTTACTCATGGTGACGGAAGAAGGGATCTTGCATGTAGCTCCCTGCCTTAAGATGCGTACTTGCCCCTCCAGTCCCCCACTTGAGAAAGCTTAAGCCGTCGCCCGCCCTTGACATCATCCCAACTAAAGTCACTCCCTCAAGTCACCACACTCGACAACAGTGCTTTTTTTTCTCTGCGCCCCAACACAATGCCACTAACGGTACTGTCTGCTCCAGACGTCCGCAAGCTTCTTCTACAGTTGACCAAGCAAGATATCCTCGACTTGCAGCAAAGTCTCGCCGATGCGCTGCACCACTACTCGACCAGCACCGTCGAAGACGACAACAATGGGTGTTGTGAAAGTTACCAGTCCTCGGGGGCTACTCTCAAGAGTAAGGATGGGGGTATAATGACTGTCGTGCCGGCTAGCAGGTACGTTCAAAACCCCCCTTTTTGTTTTTCATCACAGGACCTTTTAGATGGAGAGGTGATTGACGAGGTGTAGTAATGATGGTCTTGGAGTCAAGATTACCACGCTTTTGAATGATAGTAGGAGTAAGGTGTCAAGTCGTGAGGAAACAGAGTCGATTGCTTCGTCCGTGGGCTCAATGGCACTGTCTCAGGATTCCATCCCGTCTACGAAGGGTGCGGCGTTGCCTCGTTCGCTCTCCCACCACGACAGTCTCGCCCTATTCGACACGACGGGCTCTCCACGCGCCCTCATCAACACGGCCGAAATGACTGCGTTCCGCACAGCCCTCGCCAGCACCATGCTATTCAAGAAGCGGCACAACGTGCACGACGTGGTCGTCTTCGGCGCAGGCCGACAAGCCTACTGGCACATTCGCCTGGCACTGCTGCTGCGCGGCCCGGATATGCACCACCTCAGCATCATCAACCGCGACTTTGCGCGCGTCCACCAACTCCTCGAAATGCTGTACAATCCCCACGATACCGCTCCAAAGGAATTCAATCCGGACCCCCAGCACGTGCCGCTGTACCGCTCCCGCCACCAAACACAGACCCAAGCAGCAGACAAGGACGAGGCGGAACAAGAAGATGCCCAACCGCTGCTATACAAGCCCAAAATCCAGATTCTCACGCCCGCACACGCAGAGTACGCACGCCATTTACACGCCACAATCCGCTCCAGCAGCTGTATTTTCCTGTGCACGCCCTCGACAAGCCCGCTGTTCCCCGCGCCCCTGCTGACGAATCCCGAGGGCCGCAAAAAGGGGCGCTACATTGCTGCCGTTGGCTCCGTCGCCGCAGGAATGATCGAGCTGCATCCGGAGATTGTGCGTCAGAACGTTGCGCCCGAGCAGGGCCACCGCCATTTCCACAGGCATGCGCAGCAGGGCGGCGCCGTGGTCGTGGATAGCGTGGACAAGTGTCTGCGGGAAGCTGGGGAGGTGGTGCAGGCGGGGCTGGGGCCTGAGCAGGTGGTTGAGATTGGCGAGCTGGTTATGCTGAAGAGGGATGCGGAGAGGAGGCGGAGAGAGTGTCTGGCGAGTACGGGTATCGAGGATCAAGGCCTCGATTTGCGTGGTGTGGAGCTGGGCGAGTGTGAGGCGAGCAAGAATAAGAAGATGAAGAGGCAGAGTGGAAGTGGAAAGGATAAAGATAATGAGAGCGCGGACAAAGCTCATAAAAGCCTCATTGAATGGCTGGTCAAGGGTAATGTTATTTACAAGAGCGTGGGATTAGGCCTCATGGATGTCGTCGTGGGAGGCGACTTGGTCAATCTGGCCGATGCCCGAGGCATTGGCACGAGGATCGACGGCTTCTAGGAAGAGTCGCCTCCATCGTATCCAGAATGGGGACCAGGCCTAGAGCACCTGGCACACTCGTGCGAGTGCAGCTGAGAACGAGCCAGACACATTGGTCAATATCTGTAGGCAGTTGCTAGCATCACATCACATAATAATAACAAATTGGCGGCGTGCGTTATCAAATCGATTCCAGTCAATGAGTCGTGCTCGACTTCTTTTAACCCTCCTAAACTCCGTTGGTATTGTGAACCGCATACATGCAGAGATAAGAGACACGCCGTAAAGTCATCATAAACCCTTCCAAGCACCCCCAAGACACGCTTAGATCTTGATGGCGCTCTCAACGGCCTTCCTGCGCTTCTCCATGCGAGCGTTGGCCTTGGCACCCATGATACCACCACCCCAGTGGCGCGAGGCATCCTTGTGGTGCTTCTCGAGGTAGCCGTCGTTGACGGCGCTAACGAGCTTCTGGAGCTCGTTCTTGTCCTCGGAGCGGACCTCGGTGAGGGCCAGGACGGCGGCAGTCTTCTGGTGAACAACGGTACCGAGACGAGCCTTGCCCTTGACAATGACGTAGGGCACACCCATCTTGCGGCAGAGAGCGGGCAGGAAGATGACGAGCTCAATGGGGTCGACGTCGTTGGCAATGAGGACGAGCGAGGCCTTCTTGTTCTCAATGAGGCCGACAACGTGGTTCAGACCGTACTTGGCAACGTAGGGCTTCTTGGAGACGTCCTCCTTCTTCTTGCCCTCGGCGACGGCGGTAGCCTCCTTGGTGAGCCTCTCCTTCTTCTCGGCCTTGGTCTCGGGGCGGTACTTGTTGAGGAGCTTGAAAGACTGGGTGGCGCTGGATTCGACGTTAGTCATTGAAAACGGACATGGCAATGGGAGACATACAGGTTACGGTCGGCAACGTGCTGGAACTGAGCGATGCTACATCAAAGTCAGACATTGTCCATGGAACGCAGAATTTTTCGGGAGACGAACGAAGGAGGAACCTTCAGGCGCATGTTCAGGATCTTCTTCTGGCGCTGAAGACGGACGTAGGCGGGCCAGCGGACCATGCGGCCGAGGTTGCGCTGGGGCTGGATGTCCTGGCCAATGCCATAGTTGCGAGGCCTCTTCTCGATGAGAGGGTTCTGTCCTAGTTAGCCTCGAATCTATGCCATTAAATTGCGTGGGTTGCAGAGAGAGCAAGTCGAAAAGCTTGACTTTAGTAGTAAAAGTAGCCTTCAGCGGGGGGAACGGAAACTCACCTTCTGCTTCTTCGCCGCAGCCGACTTGGAGCTGGCCTGGGGGAAAGCCGCAGGCTTCTTACCGCTTCCTTTTGGTGGCATTTTCTGTCATAGAGAACAAACCATTAGCGAAATGTCCAACGCATCTTTGGTATGAATCTCGTAAGAGCGAGAAGAGGGCGATCCTTTGCAGGAGCCATTCTACAACTCTAAGCCATCTTCGCGCCCGCACACGCTGTTTTTTCCTGCACAAAAAGTGGCAGAGCGAGATGCGGGTGGGAATGCTAACGAGCATTCATTGTGTGTGCGTGCAAGTGCGCTTACAGGATGTGTGTTGGCGGCGGTCGACGAGGTGGACGTTGGCGATGTTGGGCTTGACAAAGAATCGAGAAAGCGGGCGCAGAAGTTGCATATTCCGAAATCCAGCGAAGCGAGTGGGCGCGGCGCCGGAGCATTGTTTGGCCGACGCTAGTGACTGTGCCCAATCGGAATGCGGGACCCGCCCGTCCCTGGGGTCCTGTCAGATAATATTTGACATTACGATTTCTTTGCGGCGATATGGCCAACGCACTTGGGCTTCCAGGGCAAGGACAAGTCGGCCGTTTGGTTGTCATAGCCTTTCTTTGGAAGACACTGCTTCTCGCGCTTGCAGCCTTTTGCCCGGGCCCTGGTTACGACACATCTGCTCTGATATTGCTAGACGCGAGCGCGCAGCGCCACAACCACTTCAATGACACGACGCGCGGCGGGCGATTGATCCTGAATTTGCTGCGATGGGACGCCTTGTACTTTGTCAAAGCCGCTGAGCGGGGCCAGATCCACGAGCAAGCATGGGCGTTCAGCGGGGCATACTCCCGTCTTCTGGGCCTAATCGGTCAACGTGAGTAAAGAGCCGCCTGCTTTTTCTCCAGCCCAGATGCTGATGGTCAGCAGTGATGAGTGGAGGTGCAAAGCCTCCGTTTCACTACTACGTTGTGGCTGGCATCGTCCTTTCCAACGCTTGCCATGTCCTCTCTGCGCTAGTGCTGTATCGCCTCTTGACGCTGATTGTGGAACCGCAGCGGCGAAAAGTCATCCCATTCATTGCAGCTGTCTTGCATGTCTTGACGCCAGCGTCCCTGTTCATGTGTGCGCCATACGCAGAGGCCATGTTCTCTCTTCTTAATTTTTCGGGTATGCTCTTGTACGCCCAATCCAAGGCCATGGCTGGAACTACCGCGTTCTCTTTCCAGGAGGACATACAGAAGCTCGGTGCGGGTCTTTTCTTTGCTGCTGCCACGCTCACGAGGAGTAATGGGTTGCTTAGCGGCATCATCTTGTTATACGATGTGGCTGGGTCCCTCGTCAATCTTACGTCTGCGCAGCGCAGCATTCATGATTTCAGGCGGATGCTCGTTACATGTCTAGCCGGCAGCATGATAGCCGTGGCCTTCATCGGGCCGCAGTATCTAGCATATGCCGAGTTTTGTAATCCCGAGAGTGACGCGGGAATCCGGCCATGGTGTGAGCGGAGCGTGCCGAGTATCTACTCGTGGGTACAAAGTCATTACTGGTAAGTGGTCTGCTTGAGTGGGCTTATTACTCTGACCTTGGGTAGGAATGTGGGACTTTTCCGCTACTGGACTGTATCGAATTTGCCTCTGTTCATGCTAGCAGCACCGATGGTATGGCTCCTGTTGACCTCGAGTGTGACCACTCTCCGCAGTTGCGTTCAGCGCTTGTTGCATCAGCCTACTGTTCCTGGAGCTGGTGGAACGAAGGTTTCTGGGGATAAAATCTCTGCGGTATGCACGCTGCCTGAACTGGCACTCCCGCAATTACTGCTGGCTGTCATGGCCGTCACGAGCTTCCATGTTCAGATTGTGAATCGGATCGCCTCAGGCTATCCAATTTGGTACCTCGTCCTTGCGACTTGGGTGGCAGACTCGCAGCGTGCAAAGGATCATTCGCAAAGAGCGCAATGGTTTGTTCGTGGTATCATCGTGTATTCCCTAATCCAGGGAGCGCTGTTTGCAAACTTCCTTCCGCCTGCTTAATCTAAATTGCCATATCTCCTCAAAGAGACTGTCCACTCCCACACACCTCTCACTGGTGTCACCTGATGTGGAAAATAGTCTCAGGACTTTGCGTAAATCCGAACGCCACGAAACCCCGTCGATGGAAAAATCGATCCTGCAATTAACGTGTCACAGCATCGCTCGTAACTGCCATCCTGCATCATGAACATTGGCAGACGATACCAGGACTCGACAAGCCGACATGTCCTACAGCCGCATAAGTACCGTCACACACAACTCGGTGGCATGGCAAAGCCACAATTCGGCCGTTGAGTACCTTCTCCAAAGCAACCAGTGCAACATGATTCAGCTCAGTGAAGTCGTGTCCTCGACTGCCGCACGACTGTGTACCAGCATGGCTCGAAGAAGGGCTCCGGCTGGTATGTGCGAATATCCCAGAACTGCGGCATTGGGATCCTCGTCGTCTTGGTGCCGAGCATGCCGAGAAAAGAAAGTTCATGTACATGGATGGGTAAGTATGGGAATCCTGGTAAGTACCACAGTTGGAAAATCGCGGGTTAGTCGCAACGCCACCATTATACCAGGGAGGTATGCACCCCACCGCCGCATTGTTTGTGAAACAAGATGCTATGCAGGCAAGCAAATCCTGGTCTAGATGTTGAGACCAATATCCCACAACTGGTCGTTGTGGCGGAGCCCGTTATGCCACATGCAGCCAGCTGACCAAGCCCGTCTCAGGGTACTGTGGAGCCGATGCACCGGGCAGAAACGTACCTGCATAAGTTTTCCGGGACGGGGTTTTGCTTGACAGGCTAGCCGTGTTGCAGGGTGCGGGATAATACAACGTGAAGATGCTGTGGCCGTATGGCTGGGTTGCTAGTTGTTCCAAATACGATGAACGCCCGGCCACGCCACTTGGCGCACTGGAGGAAGCATGTTGGTCTTGTGAATTCAGGTTTTTGGTGCTCGAGAGGGGTCAAGGAAAGGCGTGAGTAAGATTGAATTCAGCATCTTGGGTGGTGGTGTGAAAAGATGGTGAACAAGTGTATAAAGGCAGCTCTGACTGCTCCCTGTCGAATAGTCTTGCACATCAACTCGTAAAGACCTACATTCGCTACGAGATCAAGATGAAGCTGCCTACCTTTGTTACGCTCTTCAGTCTCTCCACGGCTGTAACAGCCGTGCTAGAAGCCAGACAACAGTGTTCCGAGGACAGTTGCTACAGGGCTGTCTACGGTGAAGGCGCCTTTTCACGCGTTGTCCAAGGTGTGCAGGACTGCGAGGATTACCTGACTACCAGTGTGATTTGGCATCCCATGTAAGCAGTGCATTTTAGGTATTGGCACATTGAACTGACGGATTGCTGCAGAATCACGCTTACGGTGTTTGTTCGAACGACTTCAACGACAACTACGCCATGCCCTTCGGGGCCTGTGACAACGGGAGCAACGTCGACGGCAGCTGCTAGACTGGGTGAAAACCGTGTGCGGGTCCGGCAGGCTCTGCCTACTGATTTCTCCACGACGACGGAGTTTGGTCCGCAGCCTTCTTATGCCACTCAGGCTTGTAATACGGCGGCATATTCATCTGCATGCGCGTGTATGAGCATTACTCCAGCTGTAGTCTCGTACCTCGGAACCGTAAGTGGCATTGTATGACGAGAAAGAGATGAGTAAGCTAATTTTTTGATAGACTGTGACGAATACTGCGACGACAACATTTACGGCCGTGGTGACGACGGGCACTTCTTGTCCGGTCAGCTCGCCAGTGTCAAGCTTAGCTGGGTCGTCTTCGTCCTCGAGTAGCAGGTCCAGTGGTATAGAGAGCTCTTCGTCCAGCTCGGCCACGTCGGCTGGACCCAGCGGTACAGCTAGCGCATCCAGCAATTCCAGTAGCTCGAGTGTCACGTCGACAGCATCAAGCTCGTCTGAAAGTTCGAGCGCATCATCATCTGGTACAAGCGTGGTACCTACTAGCGATGTATCTGTGACGAGCAGCTCGTCGGCGTCGTTGAGCAGCATGAGCAGCTTCAATGGGTCGTCGTCTGCAACAAGCGTGGTTTCGATCACTGACTCGTCAGCATCTCCAAGCAGCACGTTCAGTTTTTCGAACAGCACGTTTGCAACGAACAGCTCTCTGGTCCCGTCGACTACATCGTTTTGGTGGTCTGCTTCGACTACGAGCTCCTCTGTTAGCACAACATTGTCAGTGACTGTTTCTGACAGCACCAGCTCGGTTCAAGAAACGGGTAGCAGCTCGTCGAGTTTGTTCAGCAACTCGAGCTCGTCGGCAGTCAGCACTTTGTCGAGCATGTCTAGCAACAGCAGCAGCAGCGTTTCTGTTACTTCGTCTGGCAGCAATACTATTACCGTGTCTGATAGCGTTACTATTACGTCGTCTGGCAGCAGTCTAGTAACGCCGTCTAGCAGTGTTTCTGTTACGTCGTCTGGCAACGATACTATGACCTCATCCAGCAGCATTCCAGTAACGTCGTCTGGCAACGCTACTATTACCTCGTCTAGCAGTGTTTCTGTTACGCCGTCTGGCAGCGATACTATTACGTCGTCCAGCAGCGGGGAGCCAAGCTCGTCGACATCTAGCATCGTGACTACAAGCCTGAGCGAATCAAGCACAGAGGCGAGCAGCACTTCCTTGGTTAGCAGTACATCCTTGTCAAGTGTGGAATCGTCAACCACGGTAGAGCCATCGCTGAGCACCACTACAACGACGAGCAGCTCGAGCAGCAGCGCAACGCCCAGTGCAGCACCCGTGTGCGGGGGAGCTGGGGTGCAGGTGTGCGACGGCAGCTGCCGTGACACCAAGACGGATCTGCAGCACTGTGGGCGCTGCGGCAACGCGTGCACGTCTGGCAGAGAGTGTGTTAATGGCGTGTGCGCGTCTCCGCCGTGCGACTCGGACTGCGGGTTCGACCGGCTGTGCGGTTCTGGCAGCGCGGCAACGCGATGCATCTGCGCAACAACCGTCGAGGGCAGCGGCGTGTGCTTTGACAAGAATGCATACAGCTGCGGCGACGTGGGCCTTGTACGGTGCCAGAGCAGCATGTTTGGGCGGGATGGGTGCCCGATTGGGAGCGTGTGTGTGCAGGACGTGTGCAATTGTGGCGCCGTACCTGCAGCGGGCATCTGTGTTGCGACGAGGGGGTGCGGAGACGGGGGTACCAATGTCATGGGGAGCCTGGTGCGCATTGGGGAGATGGAGAAGCGCCGGCGGAGCATTGGCGGGGCGGCCAAATAGGGGCAGTGTGGTGGTGAGATGGGGAGGATGGTGCTGGTGGCTGCAGTGATGATGTTGGTGATGGTTGTGGTTGTGGTGGTGGTGGTGGTTGTGAGGGCGATGGTGAGGGAGGTGGGGTGGGGGGGGGGGAGAGGGGGGTTCGCTCAACACACGTCGTTCGCTTGCATGCACAGGAGGACCGGGAGGGCAGACAGCGCCGAGGAATGAATGCAGATGCATGGCTGGTGCATAACATTATCACTCGCTCCCTCGCATGCACACAACAATAACAACCGTCATAATGGCCACAGCCAGGACAACAACAACAAATAACACGGGGGATGCACGCGCACGGCGACGGTGCCACGTGACGTGTGGCTGGCACATGTCGTCTGCCGCCGTGTGCGGGCGCGCAGCACAGCAGAAGACCAGCGCAGAGACTCGATGCCGCCACCGTCGACACGCCCTCTCCTTCTCTCGTCAGCGCGCCCCAAGGCATGAATCAAGGCGTCGATAGCAGTTTAGTGGCCATGCATGGGCGCCGGGGCGTGTGTCGAGCAACCCCACGTTAGCGCGGCGTTGCTGGGACGATCGCCCGCACTGTTTATCCACCCGCTCGGCTGGGCATAGCCGGCCCATGGAAACCTGCCCGCCTGCCCTCCCGTTTCTCTGATAATATGCCCGCCATCTTTCTGCCTTAGAAGCAGACGACCCTGTTCCGACCCTCCTCTCCCTCTCGCTCCCCCCCCTCCCCCAATGGCTGCGCCGGACATGGCTGCTGCTGCTGCTGCCGCTGCGAATGCTCCTGCTGCTGCTGCCACGGGACACCGCCGCAACCGCTCGGCCGTCCTGAGGTCGCTCATCGCGTCGTCCAGGAGCCACCGCCGCTCGCGCACCGAAGGCGCTGCCCTGCCCGCCGCCAGCTTCCAGCAGCCGCCGCCGCTGCTGCCTCGCGACCACCCCCACAGCCAGGTGCGCCCATCCACCCAGCACGACTCCTCCTCCCACTTCTTCTTCAGCCCGCCCTCGCCCCGCAAGTCCAACGACGCCAGGTGCACCAGCCCCAGCAAGAAGAACCTGCACAAGAAGTCGCTCAGCTCCGTCTCCCTGCGCTCGCTGGCAAAGCGTGTTGACGACAAGCCCAAGGACAAGAAGTCGACCGACTCGGCCCGCTCGGCCCCCAACGACGACGACGCAGACAAGCCCAAGCGGCCCAAGTCGTCGACCAACCTGGCGGCCATGTTTGGCAAGGCCCGCTCGCGCGACCGCTCGCCCACCAAGGAGACGAGAGACAAGGAGAACACGGAGCCCCCCCGCCCCGGCCGCATACCGCCTGCCACGCCCATCTGGGCCGAGTTCAGCTCCCACCAAGGCACCGCGGCCACCAAGGCCTCTCTCAACGACCAGCGCCGCAGCATCGACGAGGGCAGCTCCCGCTTCTCCCCCGCCAAGCAGCGCAACTTCCTCGACTACCAACAGCCCGCCGCCCGCCCCGCCTCCAAGCCGCGGCCCAAGTCCATGTTTGCCGCTAGCTCGTCGACGACATCGCTGCTCGAAACCTTCTCCCGCAAGAGGAGCAGCGAGCGCATGCCCCTGTCCGACACGCAGGGCAACGAGGGCCGCCAAAAGGACGCCTCGCCCACAAAGAGCAGGCCCGCGCGCCCGACGCTGAGTAGGTCCAGCACCGACAGCGCCACCAAGGACTTCAGTGTCAAGCCCATGGCCCCCGAGCCGCCGCCCTCGCCAAAGAAGGCCAGCAGAGTCATGGCCGCTGTCGCCGCCTTCAACGGCAAAGCGAAGCAGGCAGAGACCGCCCACGCCCCGACGGTGAAGCCTGACCCCAAGGTCATAGATGCCGAGTTTGAAGAGGTTCTGGTAAGTGTCTGCTTGCCCCAATCCAGCTGGCCGTGTGCTGACCCCCTCACAGGAATCGAGAAACATTCCTACACACCAACGTGCTCAGATGCGAACACTGAAGCTCGAGGTCAAGGCTGACTTTGTGCGCATGCACAAGCTCGACACGCCTCAGCCTTCACGCGCCACGTCGGGAAACTCGCCCACTGCCGAAACCACCAAGCAGGCACCACAAAAGTCGTCCAAGTCACGACATGCGTCTCCTGTAGACGATGCTGACCACGGCGCACAAGGGGACCAATCCGGCAACTCGACTAAACGCGAGCGCCCCAGGAGCAGAACCTTCACCTTCACCCGAAACGACTCTCCAATCAAGAAGCAAAAGGGCGACTTGGGCGACCGCAAGACATCGGGAAAGACGGCCTCGATCCCAAAGTCGCCCTCTATGCGATCGCTGAGGTCCAATGCTTCTGACCGCTCCGTGTCCAATGGGGCCAAAACAGTCAAAGCTGACGAGTTCATCTCTTACTTGAAGAAGACACCCAAGCCTCAGAATGTCGAGGTTGGCAAGCTGCACAAGCTGCGCCTACTGATCCGCAACGAGACGGTCGACTGGGTGGACAACTTCATCCAGGAGGGCGGCATGACTGAACTCGTCGCCCTTCTCCACCGCATCATGGAGATTGAGTGGCGCGAGGACCATGAGGACACACTGCTCCACGAGCTGCTTCGCTGTCTCAAGGGACTTTGCACAACTGCAAGCGCTCTAAAGCAGCTCAGAGAAATCTCTTCGACACTGTACCCGGCTCTGCTCGCCATGCTTTTTGACGAAGAGCACAAGGGCCCAAGTGAGTTTACTACGCGTGAGCTCATGATTGAGATCATCTTTGCACACCTCTCCATGGCTCCAGAGGCCGAATTAGGGACGCGCGCTGCCGAACTGATCAAGTACCTCAAGGACCCAGTCAAGGAGAAGGAGACGTCGACAGTCCCCTTCATCCTCCAGATGCACCAGCCACGCCCGTACCAAGTCTGGTGCAAAGAGCTGTCCAATGTCACCAAAGAGGTCTTTTGGATCTTTATCCACCACTTGAATGTGGTTCCTGTACCCCCAAAGCCAACAGAGGGCAGGTCTTATGCCAAGACTCACTTCCCCGGTCAGCGAGCCATTGTGCCGGCCGCGCCCTATGTCGGTGGTGTGGAATGGGATGCGACCAACTACCTCGCCACTCACATTGACCTTCTCAATGGCATCATTGCCTCTATCCCCACTCGCACCGCCCGCAACGAGTTCCGTCAGGAGCTCAAGGTTTCTGGCTTCGAAAAGCTCATGGGCCATCTCCGTGCGTGCAACCCTAAATACTACGGCGCTGTTCACGATAGTGTCAAGGTATGGATCGGGGCCGCGCTTGAGGATGACTGGGATGTCAAGACTGTACGCATGGGTGCTTCAGACAGCAGGAGCAGCGTCAGTCCCCTCAAGTCGAGTCCCAAGAAGCCGACCGAGGCTCCTCCTCAACTCACCCCGCCCCCAAAGATGGATGTTGGCCTCAGTCTCGGACTAGGCTTTGACAGGGAGATTTCTATTGGGAACCCAAGCAAGATTGATGACGACTGGATCTGATGGCTTGATCAACGCATTTCCATCAGATCGATTTCACTACAAAAAATGGCAATCACAGCCACACTGCATATATGCTCCAGCGTCAAACTCACGACAGCGCAGGCAAAGCAAAGCATGAATGGCGTACACTTCCTACGGCGTTTTGGTTATCCCTCGACTTTTCACGGACTTGCATCGGCGCCCTCGGATCATTGCCTCAACCCAGCCTCATTTATCATCAGGCATCTTTCATGTCACGTCGTCAATCTCTCATGCCCTTGCTGTCTCTCTCTACATGCCCATCTTTGGCGTTTTTCCGGATCCATGACCATTTTTTCCTCCCTCGCCGGAAAATGGCGCACAAGCATCATCGCCATCATCATCGCCATCTATATATTCACGACCCTTTTTCTTCCTCTCTCTCTCTCTCTGTCTGTCTCTTTCGCCCTTCATATATATATGTCTCTCTCTCTCTGTCTCTACATCGATTTTACAGCATGACACGACTTGACGACCGAGACGGCTGGTGTTCCTTGGCTCCTCCGCCCTGTCCACACACTCCTCCTCTCCCTTTCCTCCCTTGCTGCCTTCTTTTTGAAGTTTTCGCGCTGCATACTGTCCTAGTTTGATCAGGGCAGCAAGGGAAATATTAAAAAAGAAAGAAAGAAAGAAAGAAAGGAGAGACGAGGGTTTGTGTGCTTGTGGGGTTGGAGTGAGTAAATTTGCCCTTGTTTTTTACCTTTTTTTTTCACTTTATTCACAAGGAACACACACGCAGACATGAAAGAATTGAAATGCTTGTTTTTTTTGGTCGCTCTGTCTTTTGGTGCCTTTTATCGAGTTCACAGGCGGTATTTTAATGAGTGAGCAAGTGAGTGAGTGGTGTTCTTTTCTTGCTCTTTCTTCTCTTCCCCTACTTTCTTCCTACTCTGTTTGGATGGATGGATGGATGGATGGACGGACGGATGGAGGCGGAGCAAGGACAATAATAACACACACACACACATGCACACGTACATATGTATATCTGTATCCTGATACGTATACTCTACTAGACGTGTGAATAGCAACATGGTACAAAAAAAACAATTATCAGTCACCGTGAATAAATATCCAAATTCGCATGCTGTCGGTTTTTTTTTGGTTTTTCTTGTCTTGCTTGCTGGGTACATTGGTGTACATGGTAATTTGTGTTGAGCAGAGCGAAGTAGGGGGGGGGGGTGAGGTGGGGTAAACAACCGATATATATATTCGCCAAACAGAGCGTTGTTATATATACTGTAGACATAACGATAACGCCTCAAGTCAATCATATTGAGTCCCAAACACCGTCCTTACTGTACTTAGTAGCCCAATGGCAAAGACGGCAGGCATACCATGCCGCATCAACAGCTATTTCTAGAGAAGAAAAAAAACCCCCCCCAAAAAACTTGCCTTCATAACAGACAATGCATACATGACGCAGAGCCCAAAACCCAAAACCCAAACCCCCCCCCCCAAAAAAAAACCGGGTGGAGCAATATTGATGCAACCAAAAACGCCATAAAAGCAATGCAAAAAAATACATATTCAAATACATGAATGGCATTACGCCTTCTTCTTGCCCTTCCTCCTCGCACGGCTATTCTTGGCGGATTCACCCACCTCGACAGTACCAGCTTCTACCTCGGCCTGATCGAGTCCCAAGACCTCATTGCCCGTCATCTCCTTGAGCTTCTGCTGGCCGCTGATAAAAAAGCCGAGGTCGCGATTCTGCTCCTCGAGATCTGCTTTCTGCGCCTCGAGCATCTGCACTTTGTGCTGAGCATCCTCGATTTTAGCTTCGAGGTGCTTGATGCGCTGCATGAGGGATTCGTTTACAATCTGCTCTTCTTTGTACTGCTTTGTGAGGCTGCGGGCGAGTTCAGAGGCGGACGCTGCTTTTTGAGCGTTGCGCGCAGATTCCTTGGTGAGCGAGGCAATGGTCGATGTGGCTTGGGCGTGGTCGGTGGAGAGCTGGTCGAGTTTTTGGGATAGCGTCGTGATGGAGCGGCTGGCTTCTTCGGCGGTAGAGGCGGCTTTGGCGGCCTTGTCGACGGCGCGCTCGAGCTGCTCTTCAAAGTATGCGCGTTGCGATTCGAGTTGCGATGTCAGGAGGTAGGCATACTCCATGCCCATGTTGTCTAGCTTCTCGCGTGGGACAGTGTCGTTGGCGTAGCCCGTCATACCAGGCGCACTGAAGGATTGGTTCGAGGCTGGCATGTCCACGAGCTTGCCGTCTGTTTTGTTTTGTATGAGGCGATGAACGTAGCCATCGCCTGCATAGTCCCAGACATGCTGCGTCACCACGTCCATGGCATATGTATGGCTTGTAGCCTCGTAATGTGCAAATGCGTGAGCCGAGTCGTAGCGCCCGCACCCTATATTACCGCAGATGAGGCAGATCCAGAGGTTTTGTGTAGATCCGCAGACGCTACACTCATTGTCAGGACTATCCCCATCCGCGCTGCGGTGCAGGGTAAAGGCATCATTCTGCGTATATCGACACACTGGACAGCCCGAACCTCGCCATTTCTCGAGACAGGCACAGTGAAAGACATGCTGACATAATATGGTGAGGAGGCCTGTTGTTTCATCCATTCTCTCCAAACAGACAGGACATGTCGGTAGCTCGACTAGAGCAGGTGTGGGCGGGGCGTGTGGCTTTGCGGTGAGTGATGTCGCTATCGAAGGACCGTCAACAGGCGAGGAGACATTGGTCGCCGATGGGAGAGGGGCTGTGGGCTGTTTTGTCGCAGCGGGCGCAAAGGGGTCGTTTTTAAGATCTGGATACGAGGTCGGGTCGCTGTTGGAGTCGCCGTTTTGAAAGTTGATCGACTTGACGAAGACGACATGGCAGTATTCCGGCTGCATTCATTAGCTGACGTGATGTTGTGTTTTCAATCTATACCTCACCTCCATGCTGTTGAATGGCCTCCCGTCCCATTCTTTCCTCCATTCCCGTGCCTTCTTGGCCTCGCGAAACTTCATCAACACCATGTACTTGTTGGCTCTGCTTGTCCGAATAAGCCTAAAATGAGAGACATGTTCCCTCGTCTGCTCGCCCATGAAGCCCAGAAAATCCGAAGGTGTCATGTATGAAGGGACTGCCAGGATGCACAGCGTTGTGCATTCTTCCTCATTGAAAGACTTGTTGCCTCGGTCGACTTCATCGTATAAGCCTGGTGTTTCGTGCCCATCTCGATACAGATGTACCACTCCCCAGCCAACTTCGGTATCCTTCAGATCAGAGGGTATAAACTTTCCCTTTGTCGCTAAGCCGCCCGTGTTCGAGGAATGGGAAGGGTGCTTGAGAGACTTTGCGCGGGGCTGAGCAAGATCAGTGCCATCGCTCGGGTTCATGTCGATGCTGAGAATGGAAATGGTGCCGAATCGCCAGTCTCGGTGCGCAAAGCTCTGTGTCCGTCTGTGTGCGGGTCTGGTTGGGGGCTTGACAACAGGCACGGGGCTGTCGTGGTGGTTCGAGAAGGATGGTCGCGTGCGCTGGCTGAGCCGACGTGAAGTAGCCCGTTGGTCGCGGGAGATGGTTGCTTGGCCAGCCTCGCTGCTAGAGGCAATGTGGGCGGAAGTGCTGCTATAGGTGCGCGTGGGAGAAGGATAGGAGCCCCAAGAGGCCCTTCGATGCGCCGGGAGTTCGGAATTGAAGATGTCGGTCCGCGGCGGCGGGGTAAATGTCTTGTCCGGCGACGAGCGCGAGGGGTAAAGCTCAAAGGTAAGATGAAAAAAGTAAGTCGGCATCAGGCAGTTGTGGTCGGAATGTGCATCTCGAGCGAGCGTAGATTGTTGTATTGCGCGGGTTGGTAGCGGCTTAACATGGGCCGGATATGGTTTGCGACGTGAACTAGAACTGCAGTCGCGGCGGTGGGGCAGTAGCGCGTCATTCCGCTTCCGCCCCAAAGTGGCATGCCGTCTGTCATCGACTTGCCCTTTTGGTCTTGCGCGAATCACCTCTTCACAAACACCACGGCAACAACACGTATGATGATTGAACGGGTATATTGGATACGGCTCCATGTCCGTATGAATGAAAGCTCCGTTATACTCCTTCATACCAACAATAATACCTGAAACCTCGTCCAATGCAACCTTTCAAAGTTGACAACGCCTCAGCTATGCATATCTAGGAAAACACCGCCCGTCTCTCGACATATATATACCCTCCCCCCACCATTCTTGAGCGCGTAAAGAGCACGCCAAGATGATGCCTCCAGTAGGCATTCCACATTACCACCTAAAAAAAATATTCGGTTGCCGGGTCGTCAATTCGTTCGCCAAAGCGCGTATTCGGGTATCGCTTTTGTACAGGTGAAACATTCGCGCCAGTCCCAAAAGAGATGCTGTTTGTATGTGTGCATGCTTGTAATCTTCCCTCTAAAGCGGATAAGAGGAGGCCTAGGCCTGGTCCGCATCTAGGGGTTCCATGTCGGTGACATCCTCAAGCTCATGGCCCCTCGAGTTGACAACAATGCGTCGTCCTCGCTGCTCAGCGGGAACACCGTCGCGCGAAGCGCCGAAATCGAGAACCTGTTGCAAAGTTAGCTGAGTCATACAGAATAACACTGCTGTCTACCTACCTCAATGTATGTCATGTTGTTCCGTTGAACGGCCGCGACACAGCGACGCTCATTAAACTTGACCTGCCACACGCCGCTCAGGTCCGTCAACAGGTCTTTTACAAATTCCCCAGTCTTTACATTCCACATTTTAAGTGTGCGATCAGAGCCCGATATGACTTTTTGCCCGTCGTGCTGAAAGCAGGTAATGGCACCTGTATGAGCACAAAGTCGGCTCTTGCACTGCCCGTTCTCTGGGTCCCAGATGCGGAGCGTGGAGTCGGCAGCCGCAGACACGAGGCGCTCATGGCTCAAGTCAAGAAGACCTACCAGAGACGTGTGCCCTTCCAAGGTGAAGATACAAGCACCCGTCTCCAGAGACCAGACTTTGACCATGTTGTCCATGGAGCCACTGATGCAGCGATTGCGGGCATGATCCAAGACAACACTGTACACCTTTTGTGAGTGGCCCTGAAGACGCTGTAGGACCTCTCCGGTTGAGATTTTCCACACCCGAACTGTGCAATCGTAGCTACCGCTCACGAGCGTATCGCCATGTGCAGCAATGGCACGCACAGAATGGTGGTGGCCAGTCAGAGCGCGGATAAAATAGGGATTGTCGTGGTCGTTAGCCGCGGCTCCAGTCTGTATAATACTCCGGTCGCCTGGCTTGGGAAGCTTCCATACCCGGAGCGTCGAGTCGCGCGAGCCCGTGATGATGAGCTCCTCCTTTGGCATCATGATGGGCTGTCCATCCAGCGTCTCACCAATCCGCGTGGGCTTGAGGATCACCAAGCATCGGACGGTAGATGTGTGTCCCTGGAAGACCTGCGTGCACTTTCCACTTTCAATGTCCCAAACGCGTACCGAGCGATCGGTGGAGCCTGACACCAATGTGTTTCCTTCGTACTGAAGGGCCCACACGCCCCCCTCATGGCCCTCGAGACGAGTGCGTAGCGCTCCTGTTTTGGTATCGTAAACGTTGATGTTGGTATCATCGCTGCCCGTAAGAATTTTATCTGTATCAAATTGTAAACAAGTCACAACATGGCGTTGATGCGCGCGGAAGGCAATGTGCTTTGGTTTTGTATCTTCGGCCATCCAGCTCTTCCGGATCAGATGATGCCTCTGATACAACGACTTGAAGAGATGCATAGCGCGCAGGCTGGGCAAGCCCACATTGGGATCGGAAATGGCAGCTTCCGCGCGCTTGGCGAAGGCATGCGGCCCTTCTAGAAGCTCGGCAGGTCGCGAGTACAATGCAGTCTGCGCCTTGGTAGAGGAACGACTCTTGCGTTGTTTCTTGCCGCTGCCGCCGCCATGTTTGCTGGTTGCTTTCCTCTTCTGACGTGATGCCGAGGATCGAGTCACTGCACCCTCTTGGTCCTGCAGGCCACCAGGCAGACTTGAACCTGAAAAGCTGGAAGATGCTTCATTGTCGGACCGAGACGAGACCGACTGGGCCCTCAGGTCACGCTCATAACTATCGGCAGAATGGGGGTATTGCCATCCCCAGCCTTCCTGCACAGCACGCTCTAGCTCGCCAGCTGGCAGCCTGTAACCGTCCTTGTCAAGAAGATCCTTCCAGGCGGATTCATGGGTGTCGGTCAGCTTGCGCCAGTACTTGGACACCTGTGCGGCGCTGCACATGCTCTTGACATCCAGATAGCCGATAATCTCCAGACTCAGCTCTGTGGGCAGTGAAGCAATGAAGTCGCGCTTGAGGGCGGGATTTACCACATCCGCAACAAAGTGCAGGGTCGGCTTCTTGCATCGTCGGAGCATTTGGTACAGAACATACGACTTCATCTGCTCCGGCAGAGCATCAAACGAGTTGAGCATATTCGGTATGTCCATGATAGAAGGCGTGGGTAGTTGAGTGTTGGTATCATTGTGTTCGCGGTGTCTGGAGCCAGAGGGAAACAGAGCAAAGTCGCCTGGGTGTGAGTTGCTTGGGTCGCCTTGTGTGAAATCGAGTGCAGACAGATCGGCGGCATCGTAATCCATGTCCATGGCAGAAAACGACGATCCATTGTTGGCTTGTTGGGCAAGATTTGCAGCAGCGGTAATGGGCGACAGACTAGGGCTTGGTAAGCTGGCATCTTGGGCAGAGTTTGTATCGAGGGGGGTAAGTCGTGAAGCGGAAAAGGAACTGTCTTGGGCAAATGGCCCGACTGGTTCCAGGTCCGACTCGGCAATTGGGGGGGTAGCGGCTACACCAGGGCCATCGACGACTCCCATGGAGAATGCGTGCTCTGGAGAATCTTCTCGCTGGCTAGAAGGGTTACTTGCAGAGTATGCCGGTCCGGCAGACGACTCGCGGAGATGCCATTTCGAGGGCGTTCTGCCCAGGCCAAGGTGGTGCGAGGCAGCCCTCACACCGGGCCGGTGCAACGGGCCTGGACGGGGCTTTGGCAACTTGGACGAGCCCAGCTCTCCACTGTGCTTTTCGGGTGTAGCTGGACACGAAGCATCAATATCGTCGGATGCAGTGTTGGGGGCCATTTGGGCAGCGTCTGCGCCCTTGTCGCGATCTAACCTCGGCTTCTTGCTTTGTCGATGTATGCCAACCAACTCGACGGCTTTGGTGATGGACGGGGGCGGCGGAGACTCGTCTGCATTGTCTCGCTTTCGGCGGCCAGAGACTGAGCGGAGGCCTTGGTGGGCCCGTATCTTGGGACGCGTCGTGCGGTTGGGCGTCGCGAATACTGGAGAACCGTTAAAAGACTCGACCTTTTGGACTTTGCCGTTGGATCGGAGGGCTTCTTGGAGCGACTTCTGCTGCAGATAAGGCGTCAGTTCAGAGCATTGTGACATGAGCAGCTGTGACGCGAAAGGCCTCGGCTGCAGGCACATCCCTGGAATCGTGGAAAAGCGTACCTCTCGCACCCTTTCCGATGCAGCGTCTGCTTCCTCAAAGCAAGCCAGCTCGCCTCCAGACTCGAAGTAGAATTTGCGTATCGACTCTGGGGCCTGGACATGGGCGAGCGGGTAGTCTTTGGGATCTCGCTCGGCGAGGCTGCCTGGGGCGTTTACACATAGGGGCGGGAACGTGGTGGTGGTGGTGTAGGTCGTCGTGACCACGGTCGTCTTGGTGGCGGGCGCAAAGGAAAACTGTGCCATGGTGGTGTACGGGTCCGTGGCTTCTGTGTGCACCGTCTTGGACACGCCGTCAGCACTGGGGCCGGAGGCGTTGGAGGCAGAGGCCATGTTGCAGGCGGGCGACGAGGGGCGAGAGTGGGGCGGCTGCACGTCGTCGTTGTGCAGCGAAGGCAGCGGTTCGGTACCAGGGCAGGTGACGGGCTCGCCGGCAGAGTCGAGCGGCTCGTGGGGGCCTCGGTGGTAATGATGGTGATCCGGGACGTGGTGCCTCGCAGCCAGAACGCGAGACGGGATCGAGCACGAGCGGGAACACGCGGGGAGAGAGAGAGTCGGGCCTAGTAATCGCTCATGTCGTCAGACGTGACCAGGGCGCGGGCTGCCTCGCGGCCGTCGTGTGCGGTGGTGCGTTTGCGTGCTCGCTGGCAGGCGTATTCGCCGCTGGCCGAGAGTGGAGACGGGCGAGGACGCGGGACGGCGAGGCGTGCGGCGGGCGGGCGTGCGTGCGGGCGTGGCGGCGAGAGGGCGAGACGGGGCACCTGGCACAGCGACGGGCAGAGCGAGAGAAGGGGCGTGTATGCTATGTCGCGGAGGGGGAGGGGGTATTACGTGTGGTGGACTGGCACGGTAGTGGGGTTTCTTGGGGGGAGTAGACGAACGAACAAAGGCATGAGCACAGCACTTGCAGGGCGGGCCGGCCTAGCTTGGCCTGACCCGACTGACTGACCAAGCCGCCATGCCATGTCAATTTCGGGGCCGCAGCTCTTCGCAGCCAGCACGGCAAACACCCACGCACTCGATATTGATTACAGTACTGGTACAGTACACAGCGGCGCGCCGTGACACACGCCTCTTGCTGCTGCTGCTGCTGCTGCTGCTGCCCTCTGAACGCACGCAGCTGGCTGGGCGCAATTGGGGCCGTGGCAAGGGCAAAAAAATACAAAACAAGCGCCGCCGCCCTTTATCTGTCCATGGCGAGGAAAACGCGGTTGCATGTAAGCACGGCCACGAGACGCCGCCACCGCACACTGGGCAATATCACTAATGAGGGCGTCTTCTCTTCTGCTCCCTCGTAGCCCGCCCTTTTTTCCTTTCTTTCTTTCTTTCTTTCTTTTGCCTCTCTCTGTCTCTGTCTGTTTTTCTCTCTCTTTCCCCATGCAACTAGTGGTTTCGGGTCTTGGGGCGACCCTCTGGAAAGAAAAAAAATTGACAGCCCAGTGCATAACTGTGCCACGATGCATCAATGGGAAAAGCGACTTGGAGAGACCAAGCGCTATGCACCACGACGCTGGCAATGACTCGGCTGCGATGGTGCAATGTTTCTTGTCTATTTTTGAGTGAAACAGCTGCTGTCTGGACGCGTCCTGGCCGGTCGCTCCTGCTCTTGCACCTGCACTTGACTTGGGCCTACCTTCCTCGAGCAGCTGTGCGGACAAGTACTTGGGGAAGCTACGCCGGGCGCAAGACGTCATGTGGCAGCGCGGCCTGGCCGTGATGGCGCCTTCCTCTCTGCCTGTACTTGTGCTTGTATAGTCGCCGCCCAGCCCCCCCGGTTTGGCTGTCGGCGGCTGTCTTCGGCATCCATCACACCGACGCCTCGGCATCCATTTGTCACCAGTCGAGCCACACATGCACTTCAGAGACCGTGACCGACTTGTTGCTGCAGCCCAGCCGCACGGCTCGACAAGGCAGAGACGTGTGCTGCCTCGAGGCCCGCATGGTGATACTGATACTACGGCCTACTAGACGCAGATGCACGATGCCGGCTAGCTCGGAGCATGTGGCCGTCCGGGGACTGGTGATTAAATACATGTTCCAGATACGAGGGGGGCTAATCAAACCACCGGCCGGAAACCTGCCAAAGTCAAAACACGAGCAGCGTGCCAAAACCCAAACAGACAGCCCAAGAGGGAAAAGGAAGAGCCGCTGGCCAAACGACTCAAGGACGCGCCCCCCCCCGGACAGCGCCTGGGCGCCGGCGCAAACCTTGCCAGCACCTTGCCAGCTGGGGGCGTGGCATGCCGGGTCACGGGTTTGAGAATATGTGACGGCCAGGAGCGGAGAGGAGAGGGGCGTGAGGGGCGAGAGGGGCGCCCACGACGACCCCGGCCTGCAGCATGCAGTGTATGTGTGCATGCAAGTATTTGTCCGTGTAGGTAGTAGTATGATGTGGTATGGATGTGCGCCTGTACGTGTAGCATCAGTGCCAGCGTGGTCCAAACACGAAGACGCAAGCAAGCGACCGGACCGCAAGGGCTGGTCACGTGCGCGATAAGCAGCGCGTCGGGGTTGCACCTCGACGCAGTGCGCCCATGTTGTAGTGTACCAGCACCAGTACCTAGTGTACATGCTGTATAGTATGCAGGGCCGGCAGCGACAAGGCGGGAGAATGCATTTCCAATACAGCTGGGCCGGGGTTGCTTTTCGCTGCCTGACAGGCGCTCGTTCACGCACACACGCACACGCAACTCATGACTAGCACAGGCCAGCCTCGCCGCCCTCGCGAGCGCCCCTCAAACTCGCTGCTCCGAGTCCTCGCCTCGCCCACCCGCCGCGGCTACGCACACGAGCGCGACATGATCATCGTGAAAGAGCCCACAGGATCACCACGACGCGGAAAGGCGAGCGCGCTGATCGCACGGTTCGTACGATACCCCTGAGCGTCTCCCGCCCTCCCTCAGCACCCAAAACATTCACCCCGTCATGCCAGCTATCCGCATTGCAAATACTGCGCGCTGCCTGCCGCCACCCGCGTCGCCCGGTCGTGCATGTATGTACTACATGTCCACGCCTGAAAGAGAAGCCGACGACAAGCAGACAGCCAGACAGCCAGACAGCCAGACAGCCAGACAGCCAAGCAAGCAAGCAAGCAGACAAACAAGCAAACACAGAAGCAGAAGCACACCAGCACAACCATGAGGCTGTGGCCATTATGGACAACGGCTCCATATCAGGCCATGGACGCCAGAGGCTGGCCCTGCAGAGTACGAACGGCGCCCTATTCGCCGCGGCTCTTGTCATTCGCATTCGGAGAATGAATGACATTAGCGCTGCGCCAGGAACGCACGGAGGCTGGCGTGCAGAGCGAGGGAAAAAAGGTTCGGTACGCTTGACGCTCTAGCTTGCCTCAACCATCTGCGGCCTCAGCTCAATCTGGCATGTATTTGTCGTCCATCCATCTCGCGCGACAAAGACAATGGCGCCGGTGTGGTCGCTGTCGCCACCGGCCGCCCCCATCAGGTGCGCCCATGGCGATGGCGTCGGGCTACGTATAGTACGTACGTACACAGGCCGCCGCAGAGGGCCTTGTCCACGACCCTATTTTGATACTCAGGGTATGCATGTCTGGCATGCGGTGATGAAGCTGAGGCTTCGAACGGGGCCGTGCAGTGCTGGCCGAGACGCTTGTGCACGACGTGATCCGCCCGTCTTCCAGATGACATGACTGACCCCTGGACGCCGACTACCACGCGGATCCTACCAAGGCGACGGCCCATCTCACTCACGGCGGGCGAACCCAAGAAATCCATGGACCTTAATATACTCGCTTCCCCTCTCCCCACCCTTGCCCGCTCTCCATCGCCATGTGTCTGGGAACCCTGGGCTTCCTCTCCGCTCAGTCGCAAAAGACGGTCCAATGCACCAATTCCACCCGCCAACTGCCCTCTTGGTCTAGTCCTCCATGACGTCGCACTACTCGCCGCCGGGTTCCCGTTCCTGCAGATAACACTCCAGCCCACGACGGATTAGCGTCTGGCGCAATCGCGCGCAGTAGGGGCCCGTTGTTGAACCCTTGGATGCGAGGCCATACCTTTCTCCACCGCTCAACTATATCCGATCCTCGCACCACGCCAAAAAGCAAACATAGTCTGCCCGCATGCCCTGCCGACCCCGGTTCGTGACGCTACGAGACGTGCTTCTCGGCTTAATCTAGAGCGCAGTTGCGTCCTGGGATGACGGCGTCAGCTTGTAGCGCGATTCAGCTCCTCCCATTCTGTCTCTAACTTTACTGAGTCGCGCTCGAACTAGGAACAGCCACCAACCTTTCTCTCGGCATCTGGCACCATGTCTCGCAACGACCGCGGGCCAAACAAATTCTCCTTCCCTCTGCCTCGCCGCGTGCGTTCCAAAAAAGCCCAGAGGCACCTTGTCGACGACCACGACCACGACGCTCGCTCGATACCCCCTTCAACTGCTAGCTCCAGGCCGGCCTCCCATTACGAAGAACCAGCCAGCAAAGCACACCAAATCCTAGGCACCGCCAACTCGACGCACTCTTCCACGTCGGGACGAGCCTCAACCCCGCTGGGCTCTGCCTACCGGTCAAGCGTCGTCTTGCCGACTGGTGCTGGACCCTACACTGACGACGGCATCTCCGTATCGACAAGAGCCAGCAGCGCCCATTCATCACGATTTGCCATGTCGAGAAAGCCGTCGTCAAGCGTCTTGGGGCAGGTACACACCGAACAAAGGAGCCAACGACGTGCTAACCAAGGCTCATTCAGTTACCGGCTACATACCCAAACATCCAGCTCTACCATTCGCTCGCACTACGACGCGAAGAATTCGCCCTTGTCCATTTCGCAACAAACATCCGATTCTGCTATCCGAGACCGAGCGTTGCGAAGAGGGCGTCCGCCAGTGCTACGAGACAACGGCTATGACGGCTATGACGGCTACGAGGCAAGTCCGGTGTCGCCCGCCATCCTCGAGGAAGCAAGGAAAAAGGAAAACCGAAAAAGCAAACCTACACGCCTCGATCTGTCCAGGTTGTTTCCCAAGCCCAAGGGCATCGGCAATCAGCGCCATGGCATGGCAATGCTCTCGCCCACCAAGATGGTCAACTCACCGGCTGCAATGTCAATGAACTCTGACTACTTTCATCACCCTCGATCCCGAGATCGGAGTCCACAAAAGATGCGAAGCAAACTGAAGAAGAACAACGACCCGGTGCACCATCACGCTTCTGTACGCAGGGTCGAGAAGGATGAGTGTGATAATGCCAAAGTGCACGTACGTCGGCCGCCAAAAGGCGTTACTCACTGGTTCGACGCACTCGACGAAGACAGTAGTGACAATGCCGACGAAATGGAGCCTGCCCCTGCCCCTGCCCCTGCCCCGCGCGCTGTTCGCTCGCATGGTGCGTTAAACCACAGAGACCCTGTTACCCAGACCAATCAGTCCATGGCCAGCTCCGTTTACAGTTCTCGATCGCAGGGTGCTGCCGCACCGCACAAGCGAGATAGTTTTGCGCTTGAGGATATTGTCGATGTTCGGCATCTAGCCTCGCCCAGCCAGTACTCGGTCGACACATATCAGTCGCAGACGTCGTCGAGAACCAAAGGGTCAGCACTAGCAAAAACCAATCTCCAAGACTCGAGCGTCTTGTCTTTCTCGTCGTCGGAAGATGAGGGCGATGCCCGTCGAAGTGAATATCGGACTAATTTTAGCCGCCAGAGTATGGATAGCACCGAGTACAACGGAGATATAGTCATCGGCCGAGCGCAAATGTACGAGGTCCGTCCCACACACAGCCGGCAGGCATCCTCGGGGAAAATGAGCACTTTGTCGACATCGACAAATGCTGCTACAATCGAAGTCATGTACACACCGGATCCACCCCTTCCTTCGTATCGCTATTCACGGAGCCGCGCGTACAGCGGCAGCAAACGGAACAGCCACGTGAGGCAGCCTTCAGTAATCCACGAAGATGAGGATTCTCGCCCGAGGACATATGCAAACACACCCTCGTCGCCTTCGACACGCAGTGTGATGAGTGCACGTACTTCGGCCAGCGCACCACAGCCGCAGTCAGATTCTTTGCGCAAACTCATGCAGGTCACTGCTGAAGAGGAGACCCTGCTGGAACTAATGAGAAAGAAGCGTGCGGATATGCACAAACAGTCGGGGTCGCAGGCACCAAAAAGAGAGGTACACAAGCAAAAGAAGACGGCGCGGGAAACCTCTGGGCAAACACAGCTCATGTCTGGATTCCTACCTACGGAGCCCTACGAGTCGATTCCAACGCGCATGGTGGACACGGGATCCAGGCAACGCGCATCGACAAGTACGTCTTTATCGCATCAGTCATCTGCGCGTGGCAGGTCACCAGGGACCAACGGTGCTGTGGATACAGGCCGGCTTCGTGAAGACTCCACAAGCGATGCTTGGTCGGACCGCCATCACTCTCCTGCCAGCCGCGGGAAATCGCCGCACTATTTTTTGCCATCTTCGAAATATTCGCCCCGGGCTCCCTCTCCGCCCTCGTCCCCTATGCCTGCTGTTGGCACAATGTCACCTACTACAACTGACCACCCATCGCCTTTGCCGTCACCCAAGACACCGAGCCATTGCACGGAACAAAACGTCAATGTCAAAGTAGCAGATAGCGATATTAGCAACGACCTAGACGATATGCCAGCTTTGGAACACAGTGTTGGAGGGGCGGGGTCCGAGAACATCAAGCCCGATTCATCCCGCGACTTCACATTACATCGTCGCCGTCGAACTGCATCTAGTGATGCGGAAATAACCTTCCCGGCTCCGCCTACCACTACTTTCAGAGATCTGTACCCAGTCTCGGAAGCCTCATCGCGCCCAACCAGTGTAGTCGAGCCACCAGCGCCGAAATCCCAAAAGAAGGCGGCAAGACACATAAGTGAACTGGCACTTGGAGGCATTGAAACGCGAAACCGGAACAGCATTCAATCAATAGCGTCACGCACGTCGACCAATTCGGAAGCTTCCGCCTATGTCCATAGCGCAGGCAGGACGAGATCACGTCATCTGAGCCCTGACTGCATTACGAGCAGTCCTCGGCTTTCGATTGAAGAAAGGGACAGCATCAGCGAGGATATCCTAGCTGCCTGGAATAGCTTGGGAGGAACCTACTAACGTCTCTAATATCTTTGTCTCCTAGGTCTTCATGTTACGGCTCCCACGTTTTCCTCCCTCGTCTCATCTTGTTACGATTTTCCTCTAATAATATCCGCTCCTTGCTTTCTGGGTGGCATTTTTCATTTTATTCAGCGGTCTGATACCCACTGCCGCGTTTTCATTATTTTCATACCCGTCCAATTTTCCTCTATGGGCCTATAAGAACTTGTAAAACTTTTGTAACAGTATCCTTGTTTCCTTGGGAATGATTTCCTTTGTCATTTGGATGGATGGAATGGGATAGGATCGCATTACGTTACGTTACTGAGTCCTTTCTCATCGCAGCATCTTAAGCAACTCGGTTCAGATGCAATATGCGAACGCGAGGAAGGTTTTCCTTTAACTCTAATCAGGTGATGAGATTTCAGGGCTGACTAGGTAATTCACTCAAGACAACAATTGCACAAGTAGTGCTGCTTTTTTGTTTTTTTGCTTGGCAGGTAATATGGTAGAGCATGCTGAGGCTGAAACAGCGAAGATGCAGCAGCGTACGCCCCAAATTCACCCCCCCCCCCCGTACGATGAATCAAAGCAATCAAACGCAAACTACTCTTGACGTGCAACCACAATATCATTATCATTATCATTACCATCGCCACAGCAAAAGATGAAATCACTCTAAACATTATTTCTTCGTTCGACTTTCTAAATGTCTCCCCCCCCCCCACCCCCACCCCAACCCATGTAAATGAACTTCCCCCCTTCCCCTTCCCCTTCCCCGCCAAGCACGTTCTCTCTCCCACCCCCTTTTCGCATTTCGCATTTCCTTTTTCCCCCACCCTCCTTGCCCCCCCCCCCCCCCAACCACGAACTCCTCGCATTTCTAGCCGCCTGTTCTTCCCCAAGCATGCTAGTCATGCGCCCCCCCCCCCAGCTCTAAATGCCGGTTCTTAGTCGTGGTAGCATCCTTGGAGTCCTTCCCCGTTAGTTCGTCAGTTCGTTAGTCCGTTAGTTCGTTGGTTCGTTCGTCCGGCTATTGGTCTGGTCTGGTCTGGTTTGGTCTGTCTGGCCCCTGTGAATGGATGGATGGGGGGATGGATGAATGGATGAGGGGGGGGTATCCATGTATCCATGTATCCATGCATGCATTTATCTAGAGTATCCATCTACATATCGTAGGTAGTTATGTATATATGTACATGTGTATGGAGTGGATTCGTCCCTGTTTGTTCCTCTTTGTAGCTAGTTGGCGTAATAACATTCAGCAGCATTGAGGCACCTATCTATGTACATCGCATAAGTGCCCAGAGTAAGTCAGGTAAGGTAAGTAAGAACAATAACGTGGATACGAGATGAGCTGACCTGAGCTAAGCTAAGATGAGATGAGACGAGATTGGGGGGGGGGGAACGAAGAAGAGGAGTTTGACCGAAAACACGCTCACTCCCACTGCATCACTCGATCGATGGAACTAGATAACTAAATTTTTTTGAAAAAAATATTAAGAAATTATTAAATAGAAGTTTTCAGGGGTGTTTTTTTTAATAGGTTTCAATTCTAGTCTAGTCTCTCTTTTTCTTACGCATGGATTAGGATACTTCTTAATTGCATTCATTCACAACACTACATTACGAAGAAAAAAAAATTCTAAAATGTAGCAAAACCTAAGGAACCTGGGGTAAAAGAAAAGAAAAAACAAAAGATAGAAAGAAAAGAGGAAAAAAAAGAGGGCAAAAGAAAAAAAAATAGTGTAAAAAGAAATTCAAAAGCGAATAGACTCGGCTTACTTCAGTTCGGATCGGTTCCCCCCCAGGAAGCATTGAATGGAAAAAAAATAAGTAAAAAATATATATATATCCACGTGCGTAGCGTGCAAAAAAAGAAAGAGAAAAAAATCCAGAAAAAAAAGAGAAAAAAAAATAGTGTTTCGGATTTGAGCGGGTAGGTTGGAAGCGCGCGGTGCTACCATAAAGTTTGGGGACGTCTGTGTGTGTGTGTGTGTGTGCGTGCATACGATTATAGAGCTTGGCTAGCTGGATGGAGAGATTAGATGGGTGGGTGGGTACGGTCGTGGCGGCGACGGTGGGAATGCGGATATGCGGATGTGTACGTGTGTATGGAGATACGGAGGCGCGAATGCACGGGCTGGAACCGGCGCCGAGAGGGTGCGTTCCGGGGCTTAAAGCGGTGGTTTGAGGGTTGTGGGTGGGACTAAACCAGACTGGACTGGATGCTGGAGGTGCGAAGTGCGAAGTGCGAGGTGGAGAGGGTGGAGTGTACCGGAGGGAAGGAAGACAGAAGGGAAGGTAGGTTTCTCAATCGCTAAAAAAAAAATTTGGGTAGTACTTAGGGATATGAATATTTGGTGTAGGAGAGCTAGACAGGTGCATGGTAGAGTATTGTTATATTTCGTCATAGCAATGTTGTTCGTTACATGTTGTAAATAGTGATGTCGTCTCCGTCATTACATGTCAATGCTACTATTATCCATTTTTCTTTCTTGTTGTTTTCTTCTTCTTCTTCTTCGTCGTCGTCGTCGTCGTTGTCGTCGCTACAACACATCTTTTTATCTCCATTCTTCTTCTCCCCTAGCCATCCCTGCACACATCCATCCACCCCCTCTACATCCACCAACTTCCTTTTTCCTCGCAACACATGGACAAAACTCCTGTTCACGCAACCAAGCTCATTCCCCCCGCCCCCTTTCTCTCCCCTCCTTCCCATCCCAGTGTTTGTTTGTTTTTACTTTTCGCTCTGCTTTTTGCGTTCGCATCTGTGCTATACTTGTTCCTTCCTTTTACGTAGGACCACGTGCCCAATCGTCCACTAGCGAAATGCAACCATAATGATGATAATTGCTCGCAACTTTAACTTTCGCATTTTTTTGTTTATTTCCAACCATGCCTACTTGTTCGTTCCACCTGCTATTTTTGTTTCGCGTCCCTGTTTTGCCCACGAACAACAGCAACCAGTAACCTTTTACCCCGCTGGCGTGGACACATCACTCTCGGCGGTATTAAGAATACAGTTTAACATGATAGCCAGGGTTTTCTTTTTCTCATATTATTATTGTTATTATTTTTTACTTTTTTCACGTCTTTTTTGTGCCTTTGTGCGCGTATTATGCTAGTCTCCACGCGCACAGATTGATTATAACCCACGAGTTATCCACGTGCGTATCAATAAACCCTAACACTGTGCTATGTTCAGCTAGCAGACAGCGAGACCGGGAGATGTGCGCACTAGCATTCGGTATTCTTAGTCACCTTGTGTGTTTTTAAACTTCCACGGAGGCACGGGGGAAAGGTCGATCATAATGACGATATTGCTGGGATGTGCGTTTAGGTTGTAATATGGGCAAAATGTAAGACGGGTGATGTGACCCGGGTACCTGTCATGCATATAGTTTTGGTATGTGATCTTCGTAAGCTCTAGGCGGAAATAAACAGGAAATGGGTACAATTGCGAGGACAGGTGGGCGTTTGGTGTCATCAGACTCGGGGCTTACAAAAGTCTAGAAAGCGAGCTTTGGACCATATTTTTGTCATTATCGTTTTACATTACTTTGATATCTGATAAGTGCTTGCTACTTTGACCAACTTTCTGTTCCGCCTATCTGCAAGCATTCTTTATCTCTTATTTACATATCTTGCACAGAATTACTGCTTCTTGTAGGATCCGTAGTTTCCGTATCCACCAGCTGGAGGAGGCACGTCCTTGTAGTCGCCTTGTTAAGTTTCAGTAAGCAAGATAGTATGGTCGGGTTGGGTAGGTGTCATTGTTGCCTTACCATAACTCTGGTAACTGGTTTGAGGGATTGGTCCTGCAAGAGCAAAGGTCGCCAGAGCGAGAATGGAGAAAATGTACTTCATGATTGCAGTATTTTCTCTGTGTTTCAAGTGAAATACCACAATGGATTGAAAGTCTTGTGGTTGAGTAGGTGATGGCAGATGACAGCACAACATAACAGGCCTATTTTATACATCTGAGCATCCAGTCTTGAGCTGCAATATTCTGTTGACCAGCAGAATCGCGCAGTGGCTTCGTTAGCTTCAGTATGAATACGAGACAATGAGTTAGAAAGTGGAGGTTTACAGACTATCGCATCGATAGCGTGGCTCGGCTAGGACACAAGCTGAGATTCAGCGCATCCCATCAGCGTCCAAGTTGGAGTGTGGATAGAGTCGAGACAAGATAGGTGTCGTAATTGGGTGCCAGGCTTTGCGTCAGAGCTGAAAGCAGTGCGGGATTAATGGTTGTTTTTTCTTCTTATTGGCGTAGATGGAGTAAGATGCAGATGTGTTGTCGTATATGTCATCTTCATTGACCGGTCACATTACTCATGGTCATGAAGACGACGCATGTGCTTGTTAAGTTGCGTCAGGTGGCTTGCGATGCTATATGGAGGATTGATTTTTCTCTTGTATTAGAGGTGAATGAGTTGCTCCTCATATCAGATATATCTCGTGTAGTCGTGGCGACGCTTTTCTAGACCAAATCGGACGTGCTCGTGTAGTGGTGCATCGATGTCATGAATCAAGCACAAACCCAACCAATCACCAACATCCGCCTTGACTAGTCCGAAAACCAGTACAGATCTGAGGGGATCTGAGGGGAAGAGCCTAAAAAAAGGATATGGGGCAACCGAGAGCTGGCTCCATGCCTGCAGCCCTATGCGCCACCGGGGGATGTGAGTGGATGATATGCATAACATTGTGGGTCGTTCTCAGCTTCTGCGGGGTAGGGCTGAGGTGTCGAGGCATCATCCTGGAGACGGCTCGCTTGTTGGCATCTGGCCTGAAATGGAATGGGGTGGTAGATGCTCGTCTTGTGTGCTGCCAGCTCACAACTGATCTCGTGCTCTATTCACTCCTGGCTGCCTCAAATTCTTGTTCATGCATACCATCTTCAAATTCCCAATCTGCAACATGTTTCGCCCGAAAGAAGGAGAATGCTCGAAATCAGACAATAGAGCAGAAGCAGAAGATTGTGAGAAACTTCTTCCGGAGAGCGATCGGTCGTCGCTTGACTCATGGCCCACACAGCCAGCGACACGACACTTGTCCTGGAAGCAAGTAGGTATTGTTGTTTTCCTCACAGCAGTCGTCTCTGCTGCGTTTGGAGCGTTGCTGGTTCAAACGAAACGACTGGATTCGGACGCATTCTGTGCGAGGCACACCTCAAAGTACTGTGCGTATAGAAGGGTTGGTGAAGTCGAAATACACTGCTAACATAGCCAGCGCCAATCATGCAAGATGTGGGCATTTCATACAAAGAGGTGCAGTTCAATGGCTCATTATTAATGTCCAATGTGTATCGTCTGGATGCTGGTCCTGAAGTCGACGCAGCGTGGAAGTCTTTGGGTGTAGACTGTAAGTTACTAACCAGCTCATGGAGATACTGAATCTCATACGTACTGGCAGACCATGCGGCCAGAGTGCCTGTGGAGGAGGCACAGCGCTCTGGCATTGCAGCAGATCAAGTCAAGATCAAAGAAGAATACGGCGGTGGATACCCGGCTCACGTAGAGGGTTTGCACCACCTCCACTGTTTGGTAAGTTCGATCATGCATGTCAACCAGCCAATACTAACTCCAGGACAGAATCTGCTGCGCAAGTCTTTAGCTTGGAATTTTGACTACTACCGGAAGCAAGGCCTGGGCCCTTTCTCCAACGATGCAAACATCCTCAAGCACCATGTCAGTAAGTGACAAGGCAGACGTCTTCAGGAAGTCACACAGCTCACAGCCTCCAGCACACTGTCTCGATACCCTACGCCAGCAACTCATGTGCGTTGTGGATGTCGCGGTCCTGGGTCAGGTGTGGTATCAGCCCCCTGGCAAGGCATTGCAGGCGTTTGTGGATTTCAACACTGTGCACACGTGCCGTAACTTTGATGCGATTAGAGAATGGGCAGAGAAGCACCAGTTGCCGAATCAGGGAGACACGCCCAGTGATTTTCTCGCCTTACCCAAGGCGGGTGATCGGATATACCATGCAGTGCCTTAGCGTATTCATGCAATTTATTGGTAGTATATTCAACAATCCACGCGCTACCAAAAGGGTTCGGAGTTGTCTAGCGTCGCCCACTCGTCGCCTCCGTCGCTCCACTCTCTCCACACATGCTTGGGGACGATATCCAGGCGGCCGTTGCGGAGCCGTGCAAAGTCGACGTCGAAGGCATGTGCTTTGAACGTCTCGCCCCGGCTGCGGGCATGGTTCATGAGATCGATTTTGTACATGCGGACTATCCTTGCGGCGGCACGGACAAACAGCTCCTTTTCCATGTCGTTGTTCCAGATTTCTTCAGTGAGCATCATGATCATGCGCGAGATGTGCGGGAAATTGCGCAACACGTTAGAGAGGCTGCCATCGCGGAAGCCGTTGAGGATGACCTTGGTTATGGCAACGGCCTGCAGGCGGGTTGGGTCGCAGCCCGTGGCAACGTGGAAGTGGGCCAGCAAGCCGACTTCTGGCGAGTCGTCCAAGTGCTTGACCCGCGGTCCTTCGAGCTGGAGGAGCAGTATGTCCGTGTCCAGGCGGAAGTAGAAGTCCTCGCAGCGGCTGTCTGCGAGGGCCGTGGAGAGACGCACAATGTGGTTTGCCTTGCTGGCCTGATAACGGGCTTCTGCACGCGCTTCTTGGCACAGATTGACCACCGTGGGGGCCGGACTGGGGCAGTGGCGTGGGCAGAAGAGCTGCTCGTCGTGCCCCTGATCGTGCGGCTTCGTTTCCAGCGCCACGAGTCGAGGCGGCTCGTTGAAGTATGCGAGGGCCCAGATGTGCAAGCGGAGTTCCTTGGGCAGCCGTGACAGGGCCATCATCATGTCATGTCTGGCGGACACGGTGAAATGATGGGCGCTGGGCGGACGACGTTCTAGAGGCTTCGGAAACTGCCGCATTCAGCAGCAGTCACGTGACGGCCGGCCTGCCCCCGCCGCCCGCCACCCCAAGCTCTCCCTCTGGCTTCCTGGCATTACGAGTCCACTCCACTCCGCTCCACCGACTGCGGAGCCGATAATCTATACCGCTAACCATCCCACCATCCCACCTCCACACCGATGCGAGTGCGAGTCCGACATGCAGCCGCCGAGGCCACGCCCATGCGCTTTCGTGCGGCGCCAGCGCCTTCTCCATTGCCAATGGCCCCGTGTCTGCAAATGCCATGGCCATGGCCGCGCCCTCGATGGCCCAAAGGAGCCCATGGCGCCTTGGACCAGGGGGCGCACAGCCATGTCCCCGCGCTGGACGCTCTCCGCCCAGAAGATCGATCCGCTTCTATGCAATGCGAGCTATGCGGCACAGCCCAATGGCGAGTCATTGTGCAAAAGCAAAAGCCGTTTCCCGACATTGCAGCGGCGGCAGTACCAGTACCGAGGCTCGTCGAGCGCTGCCGGCGGCTGAGCGTGAGGCTCTGCACAGCGCGCTGCAGTTCCAGGATGCGCCTGCAGACGACGTCCCCAACGACACGGACACGGCGCGCCCTGGCAGCTGGAGAGCTGAGGGCTTGATGAGGCTCTAGGTGGATTCGCAGCGGGTGTCCCACTGGCGTCCCACTGGAGAAAAAGGACGGCGCCAATGCGTGTGGAGCTGTTGGACGAGCGACCCGCTGTATCTGAAGTCACACTGACATACGCGCGGAAGCGTTGCCGGGCAAAGGGCCTAGTTTTGTGAGCAATGGGCTTGATCGTCGATTGGGAGAGCGACCTGCGGCTTGCCTGTGCATCTTTAGGGGCGAGGCTGAAAGATTTTGAGGCTCCATGTGACAAGACTGGGCATCTTTGCAGTCGTGTTGTTGGCCGTGGAGCGCTTCCCCTCCCCCGCTTTAAAGGCAAAACACCCCTCTTCGCGCGTCATACCCGAACACCGCAGACAAAAGGGCACGCGCGCTGATCCCGTCTGCTGCCGATTAACCACCGAACCCTCTGGGCTCCTACGATGCTCTCTTTGCGATCCTCTCTCTACCACTTCACCTTCCACCCGTGAACCTGACGCTCCAAGCTCCGCTTTTTTTCGTCGCGACCGCTCTTTGTCGCTACGCACTCTCTCAACACGGCCATTAGCGTCTGAGTTCTACCGAGACACCTCGTACTCCTTCTCCACGCCTTGTCACCCATATACTCTTCGGCGCAAACTCGCATACCAAGTCGGTACCTTGTGCGATCTAATTGTCTTCAGCTCGATTTTTTCCGTCCCTTGACAGCACCGTTTTCTCGCTGTCGGTACCCAGTCGCAAGACAACGACACCCCGCAAGCACGACTGCACCCGTCGCGCCTACTTCCACCACTCCGGCCGTGAGAACAAGAAAACCTCCAGCATGTCAACACAAGACATTTCTGCGCACGATTCGGAACCTCAACCCGTACCCAAAGAGGAGATCCAACAAGAGCCGCAGGCGCACTTGGACGAGGGAAAGCTGAAGCAGTTCTTCATTGGCTCTATAGACCAGGGAACCACGAGTACTCGTTTCATTATATTCGATGGCCTCGGTGAGCCTGTAGCTCAGCACCAAATCGAGTTTACTCAAAAATATCCCCAATCAGGGTCAGTACATGCTTACCATGCATCACACACAATCTCTCTAACTGACCCAGATGGCACGAACACGACCCTTGGGAGATTATTGACTCTGTAGAACAATGCATCGACAGGGCTACAAACATCTTCATTGACAATGGTCACAACATTGAAGACATCAAGGCTGTTGGCATTACCAACCAGCGTGAGACGACAATAGTCTGGGATACCAACACTGGACTACCTCTTTGCAACGCAATTGCTTGGTACGTATGGCGCATGCATGAAACGCGCTTGCGCTTGCGCTAACTTCACACTCGTTTGTTTGTAGGCCAGATACCAGGACCAAAGGATTGGTGCGTGAGCTGAAGGATCGCAAGGGCGCTGATGAGTTGCTGAACATGTGCGGTCTTCCCCTGTCGACCTACCCTTCGTCAGTCAAGCTTCGATGGATGCTCGACCATGACGAAAACGTCCGCAAAGCATACGACGAGAACAGACTCTCGTTTGGCACCATGGACTCGTGGATATTGTACAACCTGAATGGTGGAAAGGAGGGCGGAATCCACGTAACAGACTCGACCAATGCGTCAAGAACCATGTTTGTCAATCTGTAAGTCGCCAATGGCCCCTTTCAGCCGCAAACGCCCGAGTTCGTTAACACAATGTCATAGACACACGGTTCAATACGACGACAAGCTTTTGGACTTTTTCGGAATCGACCGTAACAAAGTTAAACTGCCAAAGATTGTACCGTCTTCTTCACCCGACGAATTTGGGTTTATAAGAAGTGGCATATTAGAAGGCGTCCGGATTGCGGGTTGTTTAGGTGACCAATCTTCGGCTTTGGTCGGTCAACAGGGCTTTACGCCTGGTTCTGCAAAGAACACATACGGTACTGGATGTTTCCTGCTGTACAATGTGGGTGAAAAGCCCGTCATTTCGTCGCATGGTCTTCTAGCCACGATTGCATACGATTTTGGTGGAAAGAGGAAGCCGGTGTACGCGCTCGAAGGAAGTATTGCAGTCGCAGGCAGTGGTGTGAAGTTCCTCATGAACAACATGGGCTTCATTACGCATTCGCACAAGATCAGTGACTTGGCTGCATCGGTCGAGGACAATGGTGGATGCGTCTTTGTGACAGCCTTCAGTGGTCTTTTCGCTCCGTACTGGATTGATGACGCCAAGGGCACCATATTCGGAATCACGCAATTTACAGAACGTGGCCACATTGCTCGCGCAACTCTGGAGGCGACATGTTTCCAGACGAGGGCCATTCTCGATGCCATGGAGCTCGACAGTGGGCACAAGCTCAACATGCTTGCGGTCGACGGTGGCATGAGTAATTCCAACTTGTGCATGCAGGTACGTGGAGAAGCTGGCATGAGATGCGAAGAAGGCGGCTGAGTTGCTGACACGGTTCAACAGACACAGGCGAATATTATTGGCATCCCCGTGGACCGGCCAGCAATGCGCGAAACGACTGCGCTGGGTGCAGCCATTGCAGCTGGGTTTGCGGTTGGCGTATGGAAGGAGTTTGACGAGCTGAAGGAGATCAACCAGAAAGACCGAATGATTTTCAAGCCAAATGTCGACAAGGAGGTCGGAGAGAAGATGTTTAAGAAGTGGGGAAGGGTAAGTGACTAGGATGCGCAGATTGCACGCTAGACAAAAGCTAACGATGCCCAGGCAGTCGAAATGTGTCGCGGTTGGCTAGATGCCGGCGAGGCCAATGGAGAGTTCTCATGATTTGCATGTATATCTGACGACTAATATATCGGCAAGTTGCGTAATGCCTAGTCCTGTGATGCTAAAAAAGGTAGCGAGCCTGCTCCGGTGGTGGTGGTGGTGGCGACGACTATATGTGAATGTGGAGGCTCATGCACGAGAATAGCTATAGGTGCGGCAAAACAGCCCCTGCAACATATAGGGCGATATTCAGGCATGGCTGTATAACGTCGCTCAGTGTCACAGCGGTTTGAAGCACCGAGGACCAGTGAGAGGTCCGGCCGTTGTCTTTGGGTAGGCGCAGAGGATCATGTTCAGGCTGAATGTTACAGAGTTCCGGCATGAAAGATGACGTTGTGGGGCCCAATGGGATGCTAACCATTTTAGGCGCCGAGGCTCGAAGGCGTCTAGATGTCTTGTAAGCTTGTAGGTAAGCCATGGTGCATTCTCACGCCATGTACACGCAGGCGCGCGGTGGTAACGGCCAGACTAAGCTCCATGGTGCCGGTCGCATGTGAAACCAACTGCGGAGGCCAGATGGAGGCCAACATCATCTTGGGCGATTACAATTTACTTTGATGAGGTGGCCTCTGTTTAGAATACAACGAGCATGAAATGGAATGCCCTGACAAGTTGTTACGGCGATTTTGCAAGTTTGTGAGGGAGAAACCTGTATGCGACAAATCGAGACGAATTTCCCTATCTGGGCTTCTGGGCACTTCGGTTATGGCCAAGTGTGGACGGTTTGAGCCAACAAAGGGAAGGTAGTAGTTTAAAAAAAACAGGCATGTGGACCTGGTCCAATTGTGGAGCAACCCGTGTTCTCGGGGAGGGGGGGGGCGGATGGATGGGTGTGGCGGCAAGACAAGAAAAGAAAAGACGATAAAAAAATGGAGGGAACGGAGGCAAGCCGCTGCAAGGGAATGGGGATCCCAGCCCATATTTTCCGCAAGAAACACGTGCAGCGTCTGATGGTTTCGCTGCGGACACGACGGATCTCGAGTCCAAAAGGGCAATGTCCCGTATCACCCGTTCCGTTTGTCGGGTAGCCCATGAGGCCTATATCTTACTCATCTACTACATTTGGTTTTTTGGGGGTTGAGGGGGGAGGGGGGGGGCAGGTCCACCTTTTTTTTGTTGCAAGGTACACCAGGTCACTGCTTTGGGACGACCACGTTTCTACCGAATGCCTGGTCCGCGTATGTCGGTTTGTCTCCCCCCGCGACTGAAGGAGGGAGCTTGCCAGGCGGATCACGACGGGTGTGTTGTTGTTATTATTATTTTTGCCCATGGGAATTTAGGGCATAATGGACTCCACTTGACAGGAAATCCCATGACAGGGTGGCATAGGGTTTTGGGGTGCTCTGTCTTGCGAGGGCATGGGGTGTCTGGAGGGAGTGATGGATTCCTTCCATGTCGGTTGGGGGAAGAAGGGGAGGGGAGGATAGGAGGATGAGGAGAGGAAAGCTGGGGGGTGGTGCCATCTGGCAAAGGAGACAGAGCGAGATTCGAACAGCCGATTCCGCAAAAGAAAAGAGAGAGCTTGACGGCGAAGCTGATAACGAGGACGTGTATGCATGAGTCGGACATGTGTGTGTTGGCGGCGTCATACGGCAGTGATGTTCGCTCGCGGCGGCGGCATTTCGCAAGGCATAGCACGATTGAGCCACGCAACAAATTGCGAGGGCTGTTGGCGCGTGCCTTTTTTATTTTTTTTATTTTTTTTTTGCGAGTGAGGCCGACGTGTGGGCAGCTTGGACAGGAAAAAGACCGTTGGGCTATGTCGCACAGCAGGGCGCAATAGTTAGTGGTTGTATGCGGGACGGCAAGTGGTGATTGCGCAACACATGACCTGGGACCGGATGCTTTCGCGATGCGAACTGGGACCGGGGAAGCGGGACCGTCAGCGTAAAGGGCAGAAAATCGGTGAGTAAGGGCTGGTATCGCCGAGCAGGTCAGGTCGAGGATGAAACAGGCGCCACGACGCACAATAAACGCCTCATCTTAGCATGGCGCGCGCGGGGGACGGGCGGGCAATGTCATAACTGCCGTCGTATCAATACTCGAGGCTTATTTTTTTATTCTTTTTTTTTGCCCATGGTCAGGGATTTTCCAACGGCTGCAGGGCCCACGGGCCACCTCGACGTGGAACGGTAGTCGTAGATCAGCCCCGGCTGGGAGAAGCGCGTACGAGAGAGGGCGAGGGGTGCGAGAGAGAGGGAGAGAGGAGGCGGAGCAGGAAGAGAAGCAGAGAGAGGAGAGAGCGTATGTGTGTGTGTGTGAGTGTGAACTTTAGTGCATGCTAGTTGGTAGACGCAGCAGCAAAGGTCAAATTCTATGCCCTGTCCTTGGCCACCCACACCCACACCCACAGGGCCCTACACACATAGCCTTTCCGCTGGTTCTTGTCCCCCCCCCTCCCCTCTCTCTCTTCACCCACCACCACCACCCCTCCCTCCCCCCCACCAACCCCTGTGCCTGTGAGCCGAATCAACGTCCATTACGCACGCTACCACCCGGTCTCCGTGGGCTTAGGGAGACATGGCCGTGATCCACTCGGCCGTCCGCATTGGGCTGCAAGCTTTCACTCGACGAGCTTGTGGGAAGCGAACACACTTCAAACATCGACGTCTCCACCCACGCCTATGGCGTGCCAAAAAGGCTCGACCACCCTGAGAACCCGGTCCCGCTGAGCATCCATGTCGGCTACCATGATGCATGTCACTGACGACCGGGTTCTTGTCGACATGGGCTGTGGTACCTCTGCATAGGGCCAACGGGTTCCTGATTGCACTGACGTCTATCCTGTTGCTGTGTCTGGCGCTGACTGCTATAACATAACGGACCGTCGCGCTCCTGCTGCAAGCTAGTAATTCGGAAAATTTCAAAACCAGCGTACCAACAGCATTGCTTGCCTTGCGCCCGATTTTTTGGCTCCTCTTTCTTGCCCCCAGCCCTGCCGTTCTGTCCCCTCTGCCACACCATTGCTGCAACCACCGCCGCCTTGCCCTGCGCTCTCTCCCTCGCACCCACCATCGCCCTTTGCACTGCCCGCCCACACAATGTGCGACTACACCCAAGTGCAGTACAAATGCACTCACGTCCGCTACGTCGTCAAGGCTTGGTGTACCAAATACCAACAAACCCATGTCCGGTGTCCGGCCAATGTCACTGCAGTGTAAGGAGCTTGCCAACCAAAAGTCGACGAGGACCCGCCATGCTAATGTTTTCCCTCTAGAGAATATAGACTGAGCGATAATTGCGGTTCGTCCCCTCCGCGCCCCCCCCTCCCCTTTCCCCACCTACTACTGCAAAGTAGACCAAGCCACGTCCATACTAATGCTTCCAAAAGGCGATTGTAAACGGTGACAGGACACACACGCCCACTCACATCCACACACACACACACCATCATTGCCGGTTTTCATGTTGTTTTCTTTGCGAGCGAACCAAAAAAAGTTGCGATATCTCACGGCGTTTACCATGGCGGATGTTTTTGCACAATACCCACATTGGATGTTTTTTTGTTGTTTTCTCTCTCTCTCAATCTATCTTTGGCATTTGTTGAATTAGTGCAATTGTATCATCATGGTCGTTTTTATTTCCAAAGCCAGCCCACTGCTTGCCTTCTTCAGCCGCACCTGTTTGTTTGCTCCGGGTCCAGTAAATCCACGGCACACAGACAATCTTTACTTTAGCATAGACACGGATGCTCGAGGCCTGAGGTGAGATTACATGGCGCCAACGCCAGATTGGCGGTACACAGGTACGGACGACAGTCGGCGGATTGGTGTTGCTTGTGTCGTCTTGTCTTGTCTTGACTTGTCTTGTGGGTTAGCAAGACGGAACGGCTTATGGCATCTTGACAACGGCAGACGCGACGTTCGGTACTGGGCCCCTTCCAAGGTTCAGACGGTGCCGTGCTACTGCATTAGCCAAACCAAATTATGGGGGAGCAGTCCGGAATTTTATCGGATGGCCACCAGTTGGCATGCCGCTAGGCCGCCACATACGTGGGGAGGAAAGGCCCTTCGGAAGAGGCACCAACAGCCGACCAACTTTTTCAGTCGTGGTGTTTCTTTTTTTCTGCCTCCCCTTCCTTCCTTCGTTCCCCGTCGCGTTACTCGTCAGCTGGCATGGTTTGGGGACCGTGGATGTAGCACCATTCAGCAGGCGTCGCAAGAATCAGGACATCGTCAGCCCTTTCGGCCCAATCTCGGTGTGGGCGAGCATCATGGCCCCAAGGTTGGGTGCCCGTCTTTGCTGTCGCTCGAGTGTCGAACAGGTACTACTACTGCTGCTGCTGCTGCTGCTACTACTACTAGAAGAGCCGCGCCCGGGCGGACAGTGCCGGTCTCACATTCCCCCCCGACCCCAGATTGCTCGGTTGCAGGTGAGCAGAGCCATGTTGCAAACAAGGCCCCATCGGGCGATTGTCTGCTTTGGGTGGTTTGATATATGCATCTCATACCGCAGTCTCAGGGCCACATGCAGCCACGAGAGACTTATGCAGGTCACCGAATCGGTATGTGGAACCGGGCCCCCCATGAAGCAGCGTGTATGTAAGGCATCAATACGCGCTGCTCATCATGGGGGGGACGAGGGAGGGGGGAGGGGGGAGCGGCGTGGGGCCAATCACAGGGCGCGCCCGCACGGCCCCACTGGCGCGGTGCTGTGCTGCCACTCACACTGCCTCTGCTCTGCTCACTCGGCCATCTGTTGCCAACACACACACACACACACACACACACACGCATTTCATCTACGCCCTCGACATACGAGCGCTGCACGAATCGCCCAAACCCTATCTCTGGCCTAGTGTAGCCCACGGCGGCGCAGCACGCGATGGCGACGTCAACCTCCGATCCTCCTTACCAGGCCTCGACGCTCTACTCGTATCAAGAGTCAGCACTGGCTCTGCGCGCAAATCATTCTTCTCACCACTGCCGCCCACCACCACCACAGAGACCCCCCAAGGCCTGTGCCCAGCCGCCTAGACATCGGCCCGGGTGTGCTCACGATGCAAACGCAATCGGGGCTGGTTCCTTCGATGCCAGCATTGCACCAGCCGCCTCGTCGATGCGAATCGGGGTTTGCCGAGCGTCGTGGTACCTTGCTCCCGGCTGACCCCACGTGACCCCCGACACCACCGGATGATTGCCAGCATGACTCGCCATCTGTTTTATCGCCGGACGACTTTTGTGTCTCTTGCACCTGCTCGCCTCGCTCCGCGCCAATGCCCGGTGGAGCCCTTTGCTCTGGCACTGGTGCTGGGCTGTGCTGTGCTCTGCCAGCCCGCTGCCAGCCCTCGCCAGCGCCTCACTGGCCGCCAACGGGCATAGCGCGTCTGGAGCATGGCCGCCTGCGATCCACCGTAGAAGTCTTCTGGAAGGCAAATCATTGGCCTGCTCCCACGGCCACGTCGGAAGGTCGGAGATCTGCGCCACTGACTCGCAATCATGAGGCCCCAAGGCCAATCAGGACAAGGCGCAGCACCTTGCTGTCGCCCTGTGAGAGGCGTTGCCGCTACGGATTGGCCGCGCAACAAAAAGCCGACACGTCGGAATCACAAGGCCATCTGCCATGCCGGCTCGGTAACTGGACGCTGACTGAATGATCATTTTTACCAGCACAATGTCACTTGCTTGTATCATGTATCTCAGATCACAACCACGGCTGTGCCGTCTGGCCCGCTCTCCAATCGGCGTCGTCAGTCGGTCGTCGACTCATTTTCAATGGGGCCTAGTTAAAGGGTAGTTGCTTTTGTGGTTTTGGGCGTTGCACTTCCGCCTCCCCGACTTGACCAACCCAACACTAGTCCAACCTTGACATGACATGTGTGAGAAACAGAGTGTGTGTGTGTAACTCTTAGCGGCTGATGACGCGCCGGCTGGGCCATTGTGCCATTTGCACGAGCGGTGGGCCTACAGCAAGATGCAGAATTGACTCGCGACCTTCGCGTGGATAAACTTCCGCTTTCCCACATTCCTGTTGGCCGGCTATCCCAGGCCTGTGAACGGATCACGGGCTGTATCAACCTTGAGACAGGCTCACAAATGATACGACTCTGATTCTTGCATTGCAATGCAGTCACATCTTCCTGCGAGCGAGGGGGGGCCCTATCACCGTCACATTCCCGGATACTCGGAAATGTACGCCCAAATCTCCCGTTTCCCCGCCCCCTTGCTCATCAAGAGACGTGGACGTATCGTTGAGTTACTGGCCATGGTAGATTAACGATGGCAGATGTGGATGCACCTCTTGACTAGTGCATATATCAAAAAAAAAAAGTGCGGGCCCCACCACCATGTGTGCCGTTTTGGCCTTCGGGAACATCCGCTAAGTTTTGCAAACACGGTAACACATAATGTCGACGTTGACTATGGTTTTGCGGCATCTTATCTGTTTGCAGCTCAATGGCTCACCGACACGTTCTCGCCGCCGGTCTATTCCCGTGTTGTCGACATGATGGAAATAGCACATCTCCGAGGCACGTTTGTAGCGAAACACAGTTTGCAAGGTTCCATGTCGGCAGGTTTACGACATGCATCGGCATCATTAAGCCACAAATCTCGTCGACAGATGCCTCACCGCATGACGACAAATGCCACAGTCGCTCTTCTGATTAACAGGTGATTCAGACTCCAAAGTAAATCGTGTTTCGCACCCTGATGCCTGAGGGGGGTGAGGCGGGGTCCGCACTTGGAGGCCTAGCCGGCACGGCCCGGGCTGTCAAGAAAGCGATGATTACTCAAGGCTGTGTGGCTGGCTGGCTGTTTCAAGACGGCAATGTGCCTTGTCATGACAACGGGGAGAGAGATTACGCATATGTGAACATACGGTGTAGGGCTAGAGATCTCTTCCTCTTGGTCGGCAGGCAACCAGAACTTTATTCAACGCAAACGCTGCCCAATACGCTTTGATTGGCAAGGGCCAGGATCTGCATGGCATTGGGGAACAGGAGCGGGTGGTTTTGGCTATGGGTGCCGACGACAGGGGGGTCAGGAGAGTTCAGCCCAAACGGCAACGCCTTTCCCCAAACCTTTTTTTGTTTTTTTCCCATCGGGTGTGAAAACTCTTTTCCACGGGGGTTGAGTTAAAGGGAAAAAAAGAAAGAAAAATTATTGACTGGCACGCGACAAAGAAGCTTACGTGCCGGTCCGATACGGCCTCGGAGACACAGGGCCGATGCTCAAGTTAGAACAGTCGCCAACAAAAGGGTCGTTAGAATGTTGGCGGAGTAGGCTCCGGAAGCAGGGAAACAAAACGCGGCGCTTTCCCAACCCCTACCCCCTGGTCCAATCCGAGACGCACAACCAAAAGGTCCCAGGTATGACGTGCAGGAGGTGATAGAAGCTAGCCGTGGATCACTTCGGAGTTTTCAACGTCAGGCCTTGTTGAGATGTGGAGACGGATGTTGACGCAGGAAAGGCAAAACAGCGAGGGCCACAAGCGAAAGAGGCTTTTTTTGGTTGGTTCTAGACACCATGGCCGTCTGGCCTCCTGATGCTTTGTCAGGATTGCTACGAATGACCTCGTACCATGGCCTCTTCCAAAACCCCCTCATCCCTCCGTCAATAGGCTCGGCGGTCCATGCATCCGCAGACAAAACGTACATACGTACCTGTACAGCCCCGCGCTGACAAAAAAGCCTCCCCTCGCCTCCCCCCCCCTCCCCCTCGCTATTCCCTATGCCGCTAGGACTTTGAATGTGCGAAGGGGACCAGCGGTCTTACCTCGGTGCAACGTCTCTTCCTCCGCAACCCCCGCCGGCGGTATCCATGGCGCCAACGTGGGCAAACCTCAGTTGCGTGTGGCGGACCTAGCGATTTTAATGCCGGATCCGCGCGGGACTGAAGCTAGTTTGGCCATGTCTTGGCTGCATCGAGTTACGCTGTTGGCCCCTCCCTCCCCCCTCGCCCTCGGAAGTTATACCCTAGACTCAACGACACGAGGCCTGCTTACGTTGGGCTTGCCGCCAGAGCAGAGAGATTGTACCGAGAAAGCCACTACTACCAGAAACGTTTGAGAAGGGAAAGGCAAAAAGAGTCACGACCATGGCCTTTTTTTTTACGCACCCGCACACCCGCACCATTCACATCCCCCTTCCCCTCCCCCCCCCCTCTGGACCGATTTCATCCCGATGCACACGCACGCAGGCAGATAGCTAAGGTGTCAGGAGCTTGTTATGTGTGTGTGTGTGTTGGATGTTAGGGCCCGGGCGCGGGGGAATGGCACAAGGAGCGAACACGCGCGCGCCCTGGTGAAAGTTAAACGGGGGCCCCAATCTAATAATACTGGTACATGGGCATGCACGCACATACATACGTATCTGATCCGTCTCCGCGTTTCGGTGATTTCGCCGATTCAAGGTGTGAGACAGAGAGTGAGAGACAGAGAGAGGAAGGAGAAGAAGAAGAAGGATAAGGGAGAAGCAGAGTAAGCAGGGGAGGGATTGGGGGTTGTGGGGTTGTGGCCTCATGGTAGGGCTGACAGGGAACCCAAAGTGAATTTTTTTGGTCCGTCCTTTGTGTCAAACCCTGTGTTGTTGTTGTTGTTGTCGTCGTCTTCGTCGTTGAGGTCGCCGTGTCCTCTCTCTCTCCCCTCCCCCCCATCTCGAGAGATCACGCGAACAAAAAGGGAGACCCTGTCTCCCGCTTGTATCAAGTTTCTTGGTCTGCGTAATCTCCTTCCCCAGGTGACCAAAAGCCCGTGATTTCACACATACAACAAACGGGCTGTGGAGGCGCCGTCGTCGTTTGAGAAAGAAAGAAAGAAAGAAAGAAAGAAAAAAAATTCATTCTTATTTTTTCTTTTTCTTTCTTTCTCATTTTCTCGTAACACCCAATCAACCAACCAACCAACCCATACCCCTAGTCCCGTCCGTCCGTCCGCCACTCCGCCTCCGCCTCCGCCTCCGCCTTTGCAGCTCCGTTTCTCCACCGACGGAGAGAAGCCTAGGCGCAACACACACACACACACAGAGAGAGAGAGAGAGAGAGAGAAAGTGGGACGTTTAGAAAAAAAAAGAGAGACTTGTGCGAATTACGTATTAAGCGATAGTCAGTGCTGCGAAACAAGGTTTTTCTTCTCCACAGCCGTGATGATCCACGTGTACATCTTACACATATATAGTTTGACATGTACATATTTTTTTTCTCGTACATATACATATATACATACATACGTAAGCTTAGATACATACATACATACGTAAGCTTAGATACATACATACATACATACATGTACCTACGTACATACATTCAGTACCATGTTGGACGTTTGCCTCCCCACTCCCCCCCCCCCTGTTCCCACACCGGATGTAGTGTTGAGCAGCGCAAAGTACAAGTATGCGAGCAAGCGCATTGGATGGATAGATGGATGGTTAGATAGTTAGTTGGTTCATAGAAAAGACAAGACAAGACAAGACAGGGTTAATTGGGTTGCTGGATCCACATCACACATATATACATACATACATACAGACATGGCACATGGGGCCGTACCCTTACCCTTACCCTTACCCTTCCCCTGTACCTGTAGTAGGTATATGGTTAGTAGGCAAACCCAAGGTGATCGACATAACAGGAGGGTTGTTATACTATATGCGCTGGGCCCCACTCGCAAGCGTGATTTGCAGCAGGCAAGGTGGGGAGACATGGGCGGACGGCGTGTGCGTGTGCGTGTGCGTGGGTGGCGGGCTGGGCGTGTGGGGAGCGGAGAAAGTGGATGGGCAGGCGAGAGAGAGAGAGAGAGAGAGAGAGAAGAAAAGGGCATAATAATAATAATAATAAGTTGCCATGCACGCCGGTACGCGGTGCGTTGGGCGTGTATGCGTATGCGTACAGTATGCGTACAGTATGGTTTCAAAGGTTACATACCTACGGATGTATACAATGCAGGTTGAGGGTGCTTGCTATGGTGGGCAAGGCACACAGCACACAGCATACAGCACAGCAACAAGGCAGACTGCGACGTACATACATACATACATGTGCAGGACAAGACGCATTACTCGATTGGATATGGTAACCTTGTTTTAACACTATGTAGCCCATCGTCTATTCCTTCTTGTCTTTTTCCCTTCGTACTCGTCGTCATGCTCATGCCCGTCTCTTTTTTTTGGAGGGGGGAAGAGGGGGTCTCGCTTTGTTGTCAACGCAGCGAGTGCTCTAGGTTTCTTGGCTTGCCACTCACCACCCCAGTACTAACTCACCCATCCTTGTATGATTACATATGTACATACATAGCATACCGTGTTGCTGTTGTTGTTGTTGTTGTTGTTGTTGTTGTCTCGTTATACTTGCTTTGGGTACGGAAATCGTTATCCTGTATTGCTGGTACTGTGTGTACATCGTCCTTGTACTGACGCGTAGATGCAGATATACAGGGTAACGCGCATAGATTGGTGGGAGGGGTTTTTTTTTACTTCTATTTCGGACCTTGCACATTGGTATACTTTTTTGACTTTGGGGGCGCCGTTGAATGGCGTTATGCGCCGTTTCTGCTTGCCTGTGTCGGTTAGTTGTGCATATATGCGTTTCAGTTTAGCCTCTGTGTCTCTCGCTCTCGCTCTCTCTTTCTGTCTCTGTCTCGCTCTTCCTCGCACATACTCTTAGCTATACTTTTGAACCCCCATAAAATCCCGGTACTAGCGCATCTACCGAGGAAAAGCCCTGTCTGATAAGCAATACCGGCGCTTACGACATGCCGGCATGGGGGATCCGTTTTCAATAATATCCGGCAAACCTTAACGTGTTCTCGTGTGGCAATCCTAGTCGGCTGGGTTTTTTTGTGGTCCCCACGATAGCAATATAGGGCGGGCGGGTTGGGCTGAGATTTTTTTCTCTTTGCTTACGTACGGATGGGGGTACGACGGTACGTGACCATCCATGCAAATGCTGATGACGATGATGATGGTGATGGAAAAGGCGGTCTGTCTGCTGGTGCAATCAATAGTCAACATGATCAATGGCCATGTGCGTGGGCTTGCTGACATGCGTGGGTGGCAGGGGACGGTACAGTACGGGCTATGTTTTTTTTATGTGAAACTCAAGAAGACGCAGTGCAGGCGGAGCGAAGGTGAGTCGACGTTTGGGCTTGAGTACAAAGGTGTTTTAGTGGAGACAGCGTGGCCCTCTACACCACGTCAGGAGCGGAGGGGATTCCGAAGCAGCTCCATGTGCCGGGCCGGGAGGGTCTCAAGAGGATTCCGAGATGCATGGCGACCAAGTGCTTTGCGCATGGAAGCGGGCGGGTTTGGGCTGTGTCGGCAGCGTGTGATTGGGCCGACGTGCGGCCCGTGGCTTAGGCGAGCAGCCTTACGGAGAGAAACTGAGGCGCGGCGCGACTCTCCGTATCGCCCTTGAGCCTCAAACATGTCTCCTCCACCCGAGATACCCACTCCTGAAAACGGCTTCCATGTTCTGGTCACGGGCGCCAACAGGTTCGTAACACGGCAGTTGAGAGGGCCCCGCATGCTTTTATTGACCCTCTACGCAGCGGCCTCGGCCTCGGCATCGCGACACGGTTGATTGACGAATTCCTTCAGACCCGGCCCCTGGATCAGTCGCTCATTCTCACCATCACCACCCGCGACCAACGCAAGGGCGACGCTACCATTGACAAGTTGGAGCACCATCTGCGCAGCACCATCCATACCCACGAGCGCAAGCTGCCGGGCATTGCATCCAGGCTGCAGAGCCGCGTACACTTTCGCCAGGAGCGACTCGACCTGCTGAGCCTGGTCTCGGTGCAGAAGCTGAGCAAGAAGCTGCGCGACACGACGCCCAAGCTAGACGTCCTCATCTGCAATGCTGGCATCGGCGGGTGGACGGGCATAGACTGGCCTCGCGCCATCTGGACCATCCTGTGCAACTTGAAAAACGCCCTGACCTGGCCCACCTACAAGTTATCAGGCATTGGATGGCTGGCAAAGCCCCAGGTCGCAGGGGAAAAAGGCCTCGACGAACCGCCTCTAGGCGAGGTCTTTTGTGCCAATGTCTTTGGTCACTACATGCTCGGCCACTACCTGGCACCGCTGCTGGCAAAGCACCCCAAGAGCCAGCAGACGAGGGGCAGGATCATCTGGGTCAGCAGCCTCGAAGCCTACGACCATGTCTTTAGCGTTGATGACATCCAAGGCATCACGTCGGACATGCCGTATGAATGCTCAAAACGCCTGACGGATGTGTTGGCCATTTCGTCGACACTGCCATGCACAAGAGAGGCCGTGGATCACTATCTTGGCGACGTCAAGGACACGGAAGAGACGACCAAGCCGCGGCTGTATGTCTCGCACCCGGGTATCTGTGGCACGTCTATTATGCCTCTGCCTCTGATCCTCGAGTACTGCATGGTGATTGCGTTTTTCATTGGGCGTTGGGTGGGCAGCCCGTGGCACACGGTAAGCGTAGCCAAGGGGGCGACGGCCATGGTTTGGCTGGCACTTGCGAGTCAGAGCACCCTGGATCACGTCGAGGCCGAGGAGGGCGTGGGCAAATGGGGGAGCGCAACAAACTTTTGGGGAGAGGAGCGTGTAGATCGCACCGAGGTGGCGGGGTGGGGATGGGGAGGCAAGCTGGGGGAGCGCAAGAGAAGAGGCAGGGATCCGCATGCCAAAGACCTTTGCAAGCAGAGTCAGGAGCGGTTTTTGGAGACGGGACAGAAGTGTTGGGAGGAAATGGAGCGACTGCGTGTCGAGTGGGAGGAGCGGCTACGTCAGGCTGGCGCGGGGGTTGACATGTCGTGAAGCAGGTGTCGTTGGAGGGCAAGCTGTGGCTGCATTGTAGTATGTTTAGTTTGCAGATGCGCGTGCCAGAGAGCCAAACATGTGCCTGAGGGATTGTGCCATAGTGTAGAGTTTGACGCACTACAACAGAGTCGGTCTTGGCAGGATAGTATTGCCACTCTGGGCGCCGACACGATCGTCAGTGAATGGCAGGCCTTTGGTTCGCTGGCCGAGGTGGAGGAGCAAAGTTTGGCAGAGGCACCCCACCACCACCACCCCGCTCGTGTGGGCGGCCATGGTGGTGCTATGTCATGCTTGGAGGGCAGGCGGACAGACAGATAGACAGAGGCGGCACTGTTGGTGTAAGACGCCGAAGACGAGGCATCTCTGTACACCGGGCGCCGGCATGAGGCCGAGCGATGCAGAATCGGAGAATAGTCCGGACAGTCGATCGGGACAGCGCGGTGTGGGCTCAGGCGCGGGCTCGTGCGTGTGCTTGCGAGGGTGAAGGATGCAGTTGCTGGGGCCACGGCGGCGGCAGGGCTGCAGCATCCGTCGGCTTTTGATGGCGTGCCAGTCGCCGGCACAACAGCTGGCTGGCGAACCGCCACATCTCCAGGCTCTTGTTGGTGTAGTGTGTGTGTGTGTGCTTTCACTCTGGCAGACACAGCTGGCGTGCCGTACAGCCGTCCATGGAACCATGGACCAGGCCGTGGTCTGGCGAGGCGCCACTTGCACTTGGGCGCCGGCTTCGCCGCGACCTGCTCGTGTTTCTTTGTCGAGGCCGTTTGTTTTGGTCCGCCGTGGCCTATCGAGTATGTAGTGGATGGATGGGTGGATGGGTGGATGGATGGATGGATGGATGGATGGAGTATGCGGTGCGGTGCGGTGCGGCGCGGTGCCATGGGAGGAGTAGGCGTAGGATACAAGTAAAGTGCATCATCTCGGTGCCTCGCATGCAGGGTCTGCACAGGGTCGCTCCTTCTCCTTCCTGCCTCTCCTCCGCTCCATTGGCTCCCCGTCGCCTCGCCTGCTCATTTCTCACCACCACCCTCATTTCCCTCGCGTGCCCCTCTCTCACTCCTCCATCCCGCGTGCCCCCCTTCTCTTTCCTCTCTCCATCTCGCTCATCCTCTCTCTCCTCCTGTCGCGCATCCTCTCGCATCGCCTCCAGCACTCGGCGGTACGGCTAATGGCCTGGCGCCATGGAAGCACGCTGTTCTGGGTCGCGCCGGCCTGTGGCCACGGGCTTAATGGCTGAATGACGACGGCCTTGGGGGCTCCCGCTCAGCCTCCCCTTCGCTTTGGCTCCTTTCGCTTGCCCTCTCTGGGGTAGGCTTTCCCCTGCAGACAGACGCCCGTTCGAGGGGCTGCAATCACAATTCCATTTTGGTGCCCGATGGGATGAGGCGACAATCTTCCTCTCCCACCCCCCGCTGATCCCCTGGTTCATGCTGCTTGCTGCCTCTGTTGCGCCCACACACGCACCCCTTTGCTGCCCACCCGCCCTCTCTCTTGTTGCGCCCTGTTCATAATACCACATTGCTTTTGCACAAGATTGCACGTGTAGAGGCCATCACCCAGTGCAACGTCGCAACTAGGGCCACATACACCGCTGCCCCAGAGGCTCGTTGTTTTCACCGCTTTACTTTTTTCTCCCACAAGCTCGAGTGCAACCACCGAGAGGCCCAAAAATCAAGTTTGACGTCGACTCGCCCTCCCACTCGCACACAAACACACGCACGCACCTCTGTGAGCGAGCGATCAATGGACCCAAAGGGCGATCCGCTCCCGAGCGACTTCCCACCCGTCTTTGCACGCGACACCACCCTTGACGCGCCCTCGCACGCGACTGGCACCTACACTGTGCTTGCACTCGACTCGGCGTTTGCAATCGCCTAGAAACATTGTTTCAAGAACAAAGCACCATTGTGCGGTTGCCCTGCAACGCCGATCTCTCACTTATAGTCGCATCCGCCGCCAGCCCACCGCTCGCGCCGCTACACACCCTAACACTAACCATGCCCTCCTCATCCTCTACACGCTCCTCCTCTTTTGGCAGTTCCCAGCGCCCCTCGACTCCTGACTCGACAAGATCCGCTGTCTCGCGCTCAAGCTCATATGCCATTGCGCCCAGATCAGAGTACCTTCGAAATGCGCTCCAGGCACGACGAGTCCAAAACGGCCCTCCTACATCCCTCCCTAAACTCTCGCTAGAAACGCCAAAAGCCTCGCCCGATAGCTTTGACAAGTTTGCCCTCTCTGAGGAACAGACAACGCCCGTCTCGCCCATCCGAGCCAGACGGCCCAGCGATGCCGGCCCCGCGCCCTCCAAGACCAACCGAGAGCTGACCAAGGAGATTGAGAAGCTCAAGGATGCACTCATGACTTCCAACATGCGTGTCGAGCTGCTCAAGAAAGACAACAGGGAGCTGCAGCACAGCCTGACGTCAGCCAAGGAAGAGATAGAACGCCTCGCGCCTTTTGAAGACGAGAGCGACGAACTCCGCACTGAAAACGACAAGCTGCGGCTCAAAATAGACAACATGGACGAGGAAATGGCACATCTCAGGGAAACGGACCAAGAGCAGCGCAAGATAAACGAGGAACTTACTGCCATAGCAAGTGAAAGTGCTGCCCATTTCTCGGCCCAGGAGTCTGCCATTGACGAAGCGGCCGAGTGCATCATCAAGATGGAGGAGGAGAAAGCCATGCTGGCCAAAGAGATCAGGGAGCTCAAGGCGCGAGTTGTGGCCATTGAAACCTCCTCTACCGCCAGCACCCTGGTCGATGGCCCTATCAAATGTCCGTCGCGCGTATACAGCGTCGACGAGTCGCGGCCTTCTACTAGCCACTTTGATTCGGATTACTACAGCCAGCCTGATTCACCCAAGGTCAAGCAAAGCAACGAATCATTCACGTCGTTTGCGCCGTCAGAACGCTCAAAGAAGTTTCTTGACTTGACCGAGCAGCGTAAAAAATCGACCCGCGAATTGGTTCAGCGCATGTCAACCGTCTCCTTGAGAGCACTCTGTGATACATCGTCCCCAGCTCCCGAAGTACCTCCTGTTCCTACCAAGTACCAGCCGCAGCTTACTGCACCCAAAGAGGACGATAGGTCTCAGACTCCACGCGATTGGCGAGGTCTTCAGGCAGCTCCGCCGTCTTTGATGCAGGCTCCAGAGGCCAGACCGGCGCGACCACACACAGTGGCACCACATGCACAAGCGGAACCTAGTCCTGGTGGTCTGCGTGGCTTGTATCGTCCTGAGAGACCTGGAAGAAGTCGCAAAACAGACTCATCGTCGAACCTCAGCAACAGCCCTGCTGATACCGGCAAGCTTGCCAGCCGTCCACACTCTACTGTGGAAACAACACGCCGTGCTCCTTTGGATAGTAGCAGGTATGCAAACAGAAACAGTTTCAGTGGCCGTATATCTCGTCACATGTCGCGTCACCACCATTTGGAGGCGGACTACCCATCGGCACCCATATCAGCACCATCAGACTGGGAGATGGTAGCTTCAAACCCGTCGCCCCCCGTTTCCGTGGGATCTGAAGGTGATTCAACGTCATTGGACCCACGAGCGGACAAGGAGAGATGGTGGCGTAGCATTGACCGTCTGACACACTCCCAGGTACGTTCCCTCCTCCCACCAGAATTGGTTTCTGAACTGCAATCTAACACGACAGCAGCCGCCCAAGACCAGCAACCGACGCAACTCGATGCTGTCGACGATCGGCTCGAAAAGGTGACAGTTGACCGATGCCAAGTGTCTTCACCTGCAACCGATTGTCGGCGTGCTGATTCTTATGGCCGGCGCCTTTTGACCACTTCTGCTCAGGGTGAAGATGACCTTTGGATCCAGTCTGTCGAGGCCGAGAAAGACCTGCCGATGCAGTCTGTACAGGTCGAAAAAGATCCTTCGATCCGGATGGGGAACCTTGTTTTGCCTCGGAAACGCCTTCCACGAAGGCCACTTACATAACCACTAATGACTCTACGACCTCCATGTCTCACTTTTGCTTTTCCAGCGTTGGAGAATACCTCCTATTTTCTCGATCCTTTTGCGTGGCATCGCAACGGGAAACTTGGCATCATGTTTCCTCAATGGCGTTTTTCAAGATGAATCCTCGACTTGCTTGACGACGAGCATCATGATGGCGGGAATTAGGTTGTCTCTTTTGTTGTTTTGCCTCTCGACTCAATTGGGAGTGGAGAGCCCTCATATACCTCTCTCGTGCGCACTTTAAACAAAGGCGACATGCTATTACTGTATTTCTACCGCTATTCTTATCGCCATTAGACTTGTAATCAACACAGACTGCTGCGGCAGTTGTTTGCTTCTCCAAACACCTCTGTATATTGCAAGAGCCCTGCTTTATATGACCCATCCTTTTCCATTTGCCTTCTTGCAAATCATTGTTTCCTAAATTAAACAAAAAGCCATGTGTCATGTTCTGACCCTTGGTCGCTGGGAGCAACTACGGACTTTCACATGCAAAACAATGTGACATAATCTCGCATCTTTTTTCTATTCCCTACGATTGGCTTAAGTAGAACTACAGATACGCAGTGCAAGCCACTAGTATGTTACTCCCTCCACACAGGTCGTGTCACGGCATCCCACCTACGCGCGCACAGGGCACGCACGCCGTTCCACCGTTGTTTCCCCACCGCGCCGTCGTCCCCTTTCGTCATCGGGCCACATCTCGCTGAAGGGACGGTGCATTCTTGTTTACCAGCGCCCTTTTTGCCAGCGACGCGGCATATACACACATACACACACAGAGCAACGCCTCGCGGTATGCGCCTTTGCCGCGGCATCGCCTCTCCCAACCTCCCGCCGCGCACAGCAATAGCGCAAACGAGCGCGCGCCCCTCAACCACATCTCGCACCGGCGACCGACGACCGACGACCGGAGACTCGATACGCACTACTGTAGATCAACAATGATTACATCGGGCTTTACCAACGCGCCTGTCTCGCAATTCCTCGTCTTCAGCACCGTCATTACCGCTCTCGTTGCTACCATCACGGATACGAGATACTATTTGCATGTTCTGGTCGTGCCGCATGTATGGGGCTATGGGCAGTTTTGGAGGTTTGGAGTGTGGCAGGTATGTCATCTGTTCTCCAGCAAGACGGCGGGCAGCCTGAATGCGTAGAGCAAAGGACGCAGCTAATATGCGAACAATGGACTACAGACCAGCTACACGAATTCCACAGAAGTCCTCTTCGCAGTACTCACGCTGTACCAATTACGCATCATAGAGCGGCTATGGGGAAGTAGAAAGTTCGCTGTAAGTTGCCTGATTTCACCTCTCCCACTCTCTACTAACACCTCATTTCAGTCTTTCCTGATATCCACCCTCCCATACACGACGCTTCTACCACCCCTAATTCTAACCTTTATCCTCCGACCCTTGACCTTCGGCCACATGAACCACCTCCCCGCAGGCCCAACAGCGCTTCTCTTCGCCCTCCTCGCAAACTACTACGCCGCCGTCCCGTATACATATCGGTATAAAATCTCGCCTTGGGCTCCTAGTACACCCTCCTCCTCTTCATCGGCATCACAATCTGTTCCGGCACTTTGGGCACGCAGTTTGACATTGACGTCAAAATCGCTTTCCTATCTCCCCCCGCTCCAACTCGCTCTCTCGCAGTTTCCGGGATCTCTGCTTGCAGCCGCCGTGGGCTGGGGCGTCGGCACTGCATACCGCCGCGACATGCTGCCTGGCGCAGCCCGCTGGCGTGTTCCTGGGTGGCTTGTTGGCGAGGAGAAGCGCGATGCAAGGGGCTTTGAAGGGCTGCGCGCACGCTTGGATGCCGAGAGGGAGCGGGAAGGCGGTGGGGGCCAAGGGCTTGCTACAGGTATTTTGGCGGGTGAGACGGACCAGACTAGACAGAGGAGGACGCTGGGTGATGTTGTGGCTGAGCAATTTAGAGGGAGGTGAACAGGCTAGATGTTGTGTATCTTTCTGGGAGACGAAATGCAGAAGCCATTGGGTGTTATTGGCTCTGCTTGTAGATATGATCATTCCAGACATTATATGCTTAATCATTTCTCCCCAAATACCTGTTCGAATAACGTGTATACTTTTGTTCCTCTCGCTCGTTGTCGACTAGGGTATCTAGGTAGCTTGCGCAGACTAGAGGAAAAGTTATAGGCAGGTAAATGTTTCTCTGTATATTTATTCATCCCAAGACACCCGAATGAGATACAAGTCAACTCCCCTTGTCTCCCCCTTCCTCCATATATCCAAGCACCGATGAATCAGATTTGCGTAATGACATTGCAGAACTACACTAATTTTGCATACAACTGCCCTCCTACTTACTGTATTGTAAAACCCGCTACATCAGTGTTGAAATTGCCCAAGTATTCTATAGAGAACACTAGATAACAATTGAACAGATAATGATTGGTGTAGCTGTCGTGCTTTCATACTGCTGTAATCCTAGTATTCAGGGGAAAGGCTACATAGTGTCTACGATGTCGCTGGCGAATGACTTTTATTCTAATCCAAAGTAAAATAAGAGAGGGGTTGGAATGTGTGGTGTAAGTCAGACTGCTATATGCTATATACTATCCATGCATGAATCCATGTATCACCGTAGATACTAGTTTACTTCCATCATATCAAGGACCTGACTTTCTGCTCGGATTACTCGGCTCCGATGCGGAGCTGGTGATGCGGATACCAGTAGAGGATTTCGTATCAAGGAACACCTGGAATGGGGAGTTTGTCTTCGTGGAGGACGGGGAAGTAGAAGTACAAGTTTCATTGGCACATACATGCTTGTACGGGATGCTTGGAGAGACAGAGGGTGTGTCTTTGTATGTGTGTGTACACAGTCCTAATACCCTTGCTCGTAGAGTCCACTGCTAGTGCTTCTCCCGCTGCACCTCTGGTAATGAGCATATATGCCGTCTGGTTGGACAATTGGGAGGGGGGGGGGTTAATCGAGCTGGCGTGTGTGTAGTAGAAAGAAAAGCAGTCGCGAGGGTTGTATGAGAGCACAGTTGAATGATATGATTGCTGTGTAGGGTTCAACATGTAGTACTTGTTCTTGAAAGCATAGAGAAAAATAGAGTTGTAAGGGTGTATGTGTGTGGGGGAGGGGGGAGGAGGGAGGGTTATAATTCCAACTTTGGACGATAGGATGCGGATTCTGGGAGAAAAGGGGGGTTGTTTGCGGACTTGTTGGGAAAAGAATGTGTGGTAGATAGAGAGAGAGATGAGCTGTTTCTGTAAACTACGGTTAGTTTGCAAGCAAAGGATAATAGAATCTCCCTATCTTCCACCATACATACATTCATACATTCACGTCTCATCATCTGCCGCATGTACCGAGTCACTGAGATCCGCTCTCTTCTGCTTCTGCGTTTGCTTCAGAGGTACAATTACCCTGATTCAGAGCCGGGTTAAATCGTGAGATGTATATTTGCCCTTGTACAGAGAGCCATGAGTGATTGTAGCGAGGTTCATCAAACCCGGAGTGTGCACTGTCGGCGTAGTGGGAAAGTGGTTGCAAGTTATCCTATATTTACTGCTGCATAGGGTAAAGCTATATGTACATAGTATAGCTAGGCTGGATCTGTATTTCTGCTTGTAGATACTCAAAGAAGAGACCGCTATGCTCGCTATTCTTTTGATCTTACCATATGCATATATATCCCGTTACGACACCATTCTGATCTTCTGCTATTGCAAATTTATTCTGTTCTGCTGGTGTACTGCTACGCTTATAGTTGTTGTGCATCACGGACACCACGAATAGAGAGCTCTTTGTGCGAAACAGTGCGCCTGTACCCAACTAAAGTTGGTAAGTGCATCTTAACTCACGCATTGCCTATATTACCTTTGGAACAGCATCTATAACCCGTGCTGGTAGGGATGTGTTGTTCAGCTTTTGAGATGGGTACACATTGCCCGCAGGATTTCGTTTCGCTTTTCCTATTCACGCTATTCAACGTGATCAGGATCCGCTCAGCTTCCGAGACTTCAGATTTGCGACCCAGACTGATGAAAAGGAGATCAATACAACAACATTTGACAGAACGTTCTCACGTAAGTATCAAGCATCACGTTTGCGAGAATGTATGAGGCGAAATGCAGTACTGACGCTTGTTAGATTTGGCCAAGGTTGATACGTTTGCCCAGGCCGATTTTATACGGTCAGACTTGTAAAGCTGGTATCCCCAAAGCTGCTGTACGAGCACGACATGAAGTGTGATGGTGTTGTAAAGATGCAGTCTCCGAATATGTGCATCGAGGTAATACGGAATGGGCCCAACATGGACACCAAAATCCAGATGAGACGCTGGATATCTCGAACTATCCTTGAACCGTCATATCGAAGTAGATGCATATCTGTGCAAGCTATCCAATAGAAGAGTAATTCGAATATCCCTTCGTAGACATGCCTAGTGACGTGAACATCCCGATGGACGTGCCTTTGCAAGACATGCTTGTCAAATACCAGGAACCGAGAAGCGCTTTTAGACCAGAAGATGGCCAATGTCGTATTAGAAGGTGCGGTTCGACTTGTTCGAGGATGGCCAGCTAGATTTGCAATCAATATCGGAGAGCTGGAGAGGAACATGCAGCTGGAACTGCATGTAGTGCGGAAGAAGAAACCAACGAGAACTATAGCGACCATCAGGGCCCTGTTAGCGCTTGCCCTACCAGACTTCTGCCATGAAGAATGCCTTTCGCAGCATATCAATCCCTCGGCCCAGGTACTCAGAGAAGCTCCATTGATCGGTGAGTGATGCATCCTCTCTTCGTCGGTGTCAAAACGGATGTACTCAACAAGCCGTCGATGCAGCAAAGGCCGCAGCAGATAGACCTTATCAACCGGCTCCTCGATACGCACCCAGACCAGCTGCAGCGCGATTTATCGGTGACAGAGATACGGATGCATTTTGCAACGCGAAAAAGGGGGGGTGCCGGTCCCGCATATCTAGGCTCACGGGAGTCGAGGGCTTGGACCAGGTAGGCAGCCAACAGCGGGTCCATTGTTTACAATTGATAAAGCTTTTGCCGATATCTGCAATCCATCCGAGACACTGAACGGCAGGCGATCCGACGCAAGGCGCCATGTGGAGCTTGGAAAAGAACAGACTCGGCCTCATGGTGGATCTGTTGAAACACTTCAGTGGCGGATTACACCACGCGATGCATTCAACGCCTGTGTGGACCCGTCCACACTCATTCATCGGCACGCACACTCTGCAGCCATCCGCATAATGCGGCGGATGAAGAGCTGTAGGCGGTAAAGGCAAAGCGCGGCGTTATCATGGTCGGCTTCGTCTCTGGGTTCGTAGCATGCAGCGGCCAGACTACGCTCAAGCATGTTGCAGACTACGATATCTATCTGGACGAGTTGATCGGTGTTGAGTATGCTGGCCTCAGTGCCGGTTTCAATTGCTTAGGATTCGATAAGGCGCCCGGCTGGGACATACACGGCGTTGGTTGAGGAGCTTGCGTGGGGTGGCGGGAGCAAGCTTTCTGCGCGTATCAACTGAGGTGGAGCAGGTAGCGCGAGGCAAGGCTGACTAGCCGCCGTTTGAGCATCGAGCAAAGTGTGTCTTGGAAAGACATCGGATAGTTTTATGTTTTAGTGAAAGAGTGGTGACGGCAGCACTGGAGCGTCGTTCAGTGGTGCAGCCTTGCGTTGGCGTATAACGCGTTTCTCTTGCGGCGCGCCAGATATTTCATGGTGCACCTTTGCGGGAAGTCTGTCGGGTTGATCGTTATGGTGGTATCGTCGTCGTTGGACGAGGCATGGCGTCAGGTTTGCCGTGGGGGTACAGGTAAGTACCGAGGACTTGTGGCGCATGTTACGGAACGTACGGCTCGATGGACGCGGTGCCTTGGGTGGCAACCTCGCGTGACACTCATGTTACATAAATCACTATGTTGATTATGAGATACCGATCGCGTTATTTAAAAGCGAAAAACATTTTCATGGAGCGCATGGCCCCATACAAGTGCTTGTGGGGGGGACAGGGCGCTTGCCGTGAGTCTTCCCGCGGGAAGCCCGCGGGCTCCCGTGGACTTGGTCGGGGGTTGTACCCGCGGGTCGGAAGTACAAGAACGTCCAAGCACGGTTGCGCCTAGTCTTGGTACGGCTTGGTGAGCTTAAGTCTCGGTCAAAGTGAATGTCATTCATTGGGCGTCTCTGACTTGGAAAATATCGACTGCGAGAGCGGATGGTCATGTTCCCCCGCAACGTCTGGGGGTCCCACGGCGGAGATGCCATTTTGCCCTGTCATTTCCCCACAGCGTCTAGGATGGACTTGGTTCGTATCGTGGAGAGTGATATATAAATACGGCGCTTCCCCCCAGATTTTACTCCAGTCGTCCACCCGGATCAAACTCACCCGTTGTGTCAACCTTTCACGATCCGACACAGCGAACACCTCAATCAACCAAAACATCCTTCCTCCGGTCCGATTGTGTTCAGCAAGAGAGGCGCAGAGAGTATGGGGTTCACCGGAAAACAACTGCGGCTGGCCCAGCTGCTACTTGTAGTCTTGCCAGCCTTTGTACTTTTCGGCTACAACCAGTCGGGTGTTGGGGGTCTCCTCTCGCTCCGTGATTGGAACCACACCTTCCCTCAGATCGATACAGTCGATGCCCACGGGGCTGAAAAGAGTCGGAATTCAACAAGGCAAGGTGCCGTGGTGGCGTCGTTCACGCTTGGCGCCCTATTCGGAGCTCTAACTTGCTCATGGTTTGCAGAAAAGTATGGACACCGCAAGATCATCTTTGCGGCCGCCTTCCTTACACTGGTTGGAGAAATCCTTCAGTGTTCGAGTTTCCATGTCGCCCAGTTTGTGGTTGGACGAGTTATTCTCGGATGGGGTGTTGGAGGAATGAGCGCCACAGTACCCGTCTGGCAGTCCGAGTGCTCGACAACGTCAAACCGTGGCAAGCACGTTGTTCTCGATGGTGTCTTTATCCTCGGAGGCTACATGCTGGAGGCTTGGATCAACCTTGGATTTTTTGAAATCAACAACCTGCCTCTGCAGTGGCGTATTCCGCTTGCGATCCCGACTCTGATCTCGATTGTCCCCATGGTTGCCGTCTTCATGATCCCCGAATCCCCGAGATGGCTTTGCGGAAAATCCCGATACGAAGAGGCGCGCGTGAGCATGGCAGCTTTTGAGGGACTGCAGCCCACCGACCCAGTCATCAGCGACGAGATCAACGGTATTGAACTCGCACTGGAGGAGACCAAGGCCCGCGCTAAGATGAGCGACATCTTTACCATGGGCAAGGACAGGTTATTCTACAGGTTTTGCCTTTGTATCTTCCTACAGTTCGCACAGCAAATGTGTGGAGCCAATCTTATCTCGACATACTCTACGGTAAGTATCACTGTAATCACCTACATTTGCCTAGCTAACATAGAAATTGCAGATCATCTTCCAACAAGGTCTTGGCATGGATGGTGAGATGTCTCGCATCATGTCCGGAGGAGCTCTTACCTGGAAGTTCCTCTCTTGTTTCGTTGCCTTCTTCACGATTGATCGATTTGGCCGCCGCAAGCTCTTCATGTTTAGTGGCTCTGGCATGGCCATGTGTATGCTGGCCCTCGCTGTCGCCTCCAGCTACCCCAAGAGCAACCACCCTGCACAGATTGCCTCGGCCTTCTTCATCTACTTGTTTAACTTCTTTATCCCTATTGGTTTTTCGGGAGCCAACTTCTTGTACTGTACCGAAGTTGCTCCAACAAGACTCAGGATCCGCATGGCAGGCATATCAACTGCCAACCACTGGCTATGGAACTTTGTTGTCAACATGGTAAGCATCGTGGAACCCTAGCTTTTCACCAGAGCCTCCGCTAACATCGCCTAGGTTACCCCAGTTGCGATTGAAACCATTGGCTGGCGATACTATCTGGTATTCCTTTCCGTGTCTGCCTCCATTGTTCCAATCATCTTCTTCTTCTACCCAGAAACCATGGGTCGCAGTCTGGAAGAGCTTGAGATGATGTTTTCCGAAAGCGGTTCCATCGTTTCGCTTGTTCGCGAATCGAGGAAGCCAACTTTCGGCTCGCTCGTAACAGAGCAGATGATGGAAAAGGGCAAAAACGAAAACGAAGTTACGTACATAGAGTAGATATTATACCTGTTATGAAATGTTTCTAGGCAACAGTTGTTGCTTTCACGATTGAAATGCGGAATGCCGCGGATTTAGCGGACACAATAGTAGCATAGTACTAGCTGATCTATCGCTATTAGCAGCATGCTACTATTATCGAAATGACAAACTACTTTATGAAGAGCTTTATCATGAAACAACGTGTATGTGATTCTCGAGCCCCTAAAAGAAGACTGCTGTTACGCTGTTACAATGTTCTGATTATTCTAGCTGTGGTGGTTACCACGCTGCTCTGTCAGTACTGACTGGACTGGCAGTTTCTGACATTCGCTATGTGATTGGATAGCTTAGCGCGACTAACTTAAGGCAGAAATTCTTAATATCTGACAGATCCTCTTAGAGCCAATTAGCTTTAACTTTCCCTTGGTATTTGAGTCCTTATGCGAAATGCGTAACTAAACTATAGTACAAAACTGATTTTAATATGTAGCTAAAACTGCAATCAAGCTGCAATGATCAAATTGATATAATGAAAGAATCGAACACTAGTAATTTGTCTGACATGTTTTGCGATCGATTTCCGGGGTGATGTCCGTGTCAACGTCTTCCAGTGAACAGTTGTGGGACATTGGCGAAAACTCCAGCTGCTTCAATCGCACGGCTACCACTTCATTATTTCAGTCAGTCTCCGGATTGAATGGATAGAAATATTTTACTACAGTATTGAAGAATCTCTTACTCATAAACTACATATTAATATGAAATTACCAAATCGTCATCTCTCGTAGCCAGAAACACCGAGGGTGCTTCATTTGGCGAAATCTAATTCTTGCCCCTGTCATCGCTGCGAGCAGCATTCTTTTTCTTCTCCGCCAATGCTGTCTCATGCTCTGCAAGCTTTTCCTCTGATGAGCCCTCGTCTTTGAAGACCTTCGCGCGGTCAACCGAGCCAGGAATATGCTCTGGAAGCTCACTGCGCCCAATGAGGGTAGCGACGATGCTGGCGCCGACAATCATAGTAAGGACTAAACGGTATGTAGCATACCAGTTGGGCGTCCAGCCTCGGTATGTTGCTCCTAAAATTACGACGTCAGCGTGTGATACACCTAGAGGCCCGATTAGACGCAAGACTTACGAGTATCGACATAGTACAATCCGATGAAACCTAGAAATTGGCCGACCAATGCACCCTCGACAGGCATGAGAAGTGTAGACCAAGCAACCATAGGTGCTACGACGCCAATAGCGTAGCGCTTGTATCCCTGGTAGCCGCCGTAACCAGCCCACTCGAGGCCCCAGTGGATAGCACCGAGAAAACTCAAAATCGACGCGCCATATCCGATTTGTACGGGCTCAATCAGGTGCAGGAGAAATGTGGCGTTCTTCTCGGAGAACATGAAGCCGTAACCGGCGATCGAGTGGTTGAGTTCCCAGGAGAGGTAAACGGTAGAAAGCGATGTTGCGAGGTAGGGAAGTGTGCCGGCGAGACCCATGTAGTATGCTTCGCGGGGCACTGCAGCGAGCGAAAATGTGTCCTTGACTGTGTTCTGGCGGCTTGTCAGCCATGGTCATCCCAGTTTATTGCGCTCTTACGTACTACATCATGCTTGATGCCCGCCGTCATGTCAACCTCGTTCTTCGGCGTCTCGGCACCAACCTCTGAAAACAAAGGATGCGTAGTACTGGTGCTCGTAACAGTCTCTGGTGTGGGCTTAAGCTCCTCTTGTCTATATCTGCTCTCAGCCTTCTTCTGTGCTTCCGTCAACTTTCCCTCTGCCATGCTTCGGCGCAGGATGGCAGATGAAGGCGATTTCAGCGCAGCCGCCTTCTGAGCCAGCTGTGGCCTCCTCGAAGCCAGGGATCCGAATTGGGCTACCCATTGGTGTGATGGTGCTGTGCGGGTGAAGTGTGCCGCTGATCGCGCAGCCTTTGGTGCTGCGACGGACCTTTGAGCTAGGCGAGACGCTCCGTTGCGAAACATATTAGACCGATGCTAACGGCAGTACGCGGAAAAGAAAAACGGGGATTTGAGAAGGACAAAGTAATCGACACAGAGTATGCAAAGGAGAAGCTGGGTATCAAACGTGAGAAAATACAAAAGAGAGGGCAAATTAACTTCGCGTTTGCTATTGCAGCTGCAAGTTCCCCCGCAAAGTGACGCGCGACGCCAATCTGACGTCACATACGATCCTCAGCTACATCACAACATCGGCCATGTTTCGGCATCGCGGTCGCCATCCCTGCTAAACGGTGGACCGCAACGGTGCCGCGACCCGTAAATCTGAGATATCTTGCATGGAATGGCACAATGGGGCAACTACCGCCGTATGCTGTGGTTTACTGTGTCGGTCCGACCAACTCGAGATGGCCGTGGTCTTCAGATAACAGGTTTTGGCAAGCAGGTTTGAGGAACAATCGCCTTGAAAAGGAAACAAGCTTCTGTTGCCTTGGCTTGCCGTGTAAAAATATACATTATCAGGAATCAATCACTTCAGCCGAAACCTACGCTACCACATACTCATAACCAAAACACACCCTCACATCCACCTCGGTCATGTTGCTAACCCTTGGCGTTCCATCGATCGTTGTACGCGTTGACCCCTACAGCAACCTGTCGGTAGAACCAATTCCTGCTTTCTTCATCGCTGACGGGAATGAATGGTCCATTCACACCTCCCTTGAGCGTGACAGCCAAGCCCGTCCTCTCCTTGCTGATGGTTTGTACGTCCTTGAGCGGCACGTCCCATTCTGTCTGCAGTTTCTTCGTGCGCACCATCATGAGGCCGTTGTACGTGAGCATGACGAGCATTTCCTTGTTTTGCAGCTCGAGATGCGCAATGTAGTCTTCGTTGAAATACTTGCCGTTATCAAGTGTCTTCAACCAGAACTGACCAAGCGCTTCGCGTTGTGAATACGGTCGCACGATGCCGTCTGTTCCAATGAAGCGTGTCAGGCGTACGCGGTCAAGGCCTTCTTGGTCAAAAACAGTCGTCGTGTTGCGGACACCTTCAGCCATGTTGGATGCAAGATCGAAGGCTCCAATCGCAGCCTTGGTAGGCACGCCGAGCAGGCCCTTGCCAACGCCTTTGACGAACCCAAGAGCCCCCTCCTTCTCGGCGCCCTGGATGGGGTGGCGGGCAAGACCACCAAGTCCACTGGCAAGACTGCTGGCGAAAGCATTACCACCTGATGTGATGCCATAGAGGGCGTGCTTGGGCCTATTGCGCGAGCGGGACATGCGGCGCGAGTCTTGGAACTCCTTGTCAAGAGTTGCCGCGGAAAGTCCCTTTGACATACTACCAGTAAACTTCGCCATACTGTCGGAGAAGCCAAACACGGACTTCTTGACAAAGCTCGAAGCTCCCTTTGCGATACCGATACCGAGGTCCTCGGGACGATCAGACTTGACAAGACCCTGGTACGGCTCGTAGAATATGTCCGCGACACCAGAACTGATGTTGTTGAAGAGGCCAACTGGGTTACCGAGGAAGTCAGCAGATCCAATAATGACGTGTACTTGTCGCAGCGACTCCTGAACGTAGTGGTTCTTGATGTTATTGATCAATGCAGTTGTCGAGATACGAGCATTCTCGAGCATCAAAGAGTTGTACCGGACTGGCGCATCGTTGACATTGCCAATCGACATGGTAAGTACGTTGACTGCGAACATGAACGGATTGGAAGTGCTCATGGTGTCTTCGGCATTGATACGCTCTGTGCGAACAAACGACAAGTCAATCTGCATGGGCTGAAGGTGAAGCAGCTCAAAGTAGACATCCTGGCCAGACTGCTCTTGCTTTGGTTCGGGAATGCTGAGGTTATCATCCCAAAGCTTTCCTTGCTTCTCTTCCGTCCAGGAAGCACCGGGTATGTTTGCGAAATCAATCATGGCGAAGATGAAATCTTCATCAATCTCGACAGTCATTTGCTGGAGCAAGAAGGTGAAGTACTTGATGTACAACACACCATACGAGTCGTCCTTGACTTTGGTGATGGTGGTCTGGAAAATGGGGTGCGCTTCCATTTCCTTTCCAGTCTTGGGAACAACACTGGGATAGAAGATGATGGGGAAGATACCACCATAGAGCTGGTTGTCGACCTGAATCCACTTGATTTGCATGTTGACCATCTGGTATAGCGGCGAGTCCGAGTACTTCAACTCGATATCGCGAAGCGTAACGTAGACGAGCTCCTTCAGATGACGATTGACAAGCGAGATGCCAATACCAGCAAGGCGTAGCTGTGCTTTGAAGGTGACATCTGTATCCATATCCTTGACCTCGAAACCAGTCGTTGCTGATGATGATCCCATAGACTTTTGCTTGTACATACTCTTGGAAGGCTTGTAATTTGCAATTTCCAGAGTCTGGGTTGGCCCTGCGGCAACAACGTTGAGGTCAATGACCTTCATGCCACCACCCTCTTGTCCAGGCGGAATCTTGAATGGGATGAGCGGCCCAATCTCAGCAAGCTTAACATGGCGCTCCCGTCCATTCGCGCTGATGACAATCTCTTTGTTCTTCGCTGCTGGGAAATCCCATGCGTACGGCATGATGCTCCTCGGCGGCAAGCGGTACCTGATTGGTCGGAAGCCAGAGCCACGATCGTCTTCATCTTCATCCAAGTTGGGATTCACCTGCCAGTACAAGAACTCTTGATCGCTCATATTCTTAAAGGAGAATGGCCAGTGTTTGTTCTCAATGCTGACGTGACAAAAGATGGTTGCTGCTTCCATCAAGATATCCACGCGGACCAGCTTTTGGCGTTGGCCAGCCTTGGAGAGCTTGACATGGACATTGCCCACGTTTGAGATGTTGAAGGGCGAAGACCATTGGTTGTTAACACCCGGGTAACAGAGAGACAGTTGTGGGGCACCTCCTTGTCGCAGCCATCGCAGAGGGAAGAGCTCGCCGTCCTTTACCGTCATCCAGTCAGACTGACCAGGTTCGCGGATGAGAAGCTCCTCCTTCATCTTGTTGTTGACGATGAAGCGTGGCGCAATCGAAACAGTCTTGGTTAAGTTGTACTTGCCCTCGCCTTCGGAGACTGACACACCGAGGTGCATATCGGACCGCGCCTTGGCCGATGGCAAAGCTACGGTATACGTACTGCCAATCGCGTCGAAACTCTGAGGCTTACTCCAGTTCGAGTCACCAACCCTGATCAGAGCGCGATTTTTCTTGTTCTGTGATGGGTATGAGAACATGACGGGTAGAGCTTTGCTGGCATTTTCTTGGTTATCTGTGACGACAGCTTGCCCAGCAGCTCTGCCTGAAGCCATGGACTGCTGTGCTCGAACATCTAGCTGCAACCCAGTGCGGTTGAGTATGATGTATGGACTGTAGATGGCTACTTTGAAGGCGCCACCGCCGTCGGGAAAATTGCTGAGACTTGTTAGTACATCTTCGTCGTTGAATGAGTTAGGTTATCTCACAAGAAATGCATGTTGAGGTGTAGAGTCGTGTCATTGTTGTCTCTGACCTCCAGCACTTTTTCCCTTCTGAAGCTCTCCCGGTCGGTGGAGTTGATGATGCCGAATTTGCTGGGCTTGAATGGCCCATCTTGCATTTCAACGCTGATGAGCAGCAGGTGCGAGAGCTCTACTACGTGGACTGGACTGATGCCACCCTTTCTAAGGAAGTTTGTCCAATCCTTCTTTGTGTTGCTGTCGTAGATTCGGTACTTGAAGTCGTATGGAAGAAGATTGTGCACCTCAACTGGCGCCTGGAGACGAAGCCTCATGTATGGATAGATACCAGTTAATGGGTCTTTCTTGTCGTAAGCAGCATGCAATTGGAAGAAGAATGGCGGCGCCTGTTCATCCTGCTCTCCACGACATGTAATCGTTCTAGTAGGACGCTTTAGGAGGTCCTTCCAGAACAGTTGCTCGTTGGACCAGGCATAACCGAAGCCCTGGTCGGGACGAACAATCATCGAATGCATGTGGCAGGCACCAACAGGAGCAGGTCTAGCATCTCCAGGAGGTATCTTATCGATTTTGAGAAGATGACCATCATCTGGGCTATACATGCCAAGTTCAATTGGAATCTGAGTGTTGTTCTCTACCAGCAACGGAGAGCGGATAGTGATGTTCTTGACGTTGTCAGATCCAAGTTTCACATCGATCAGTAGGCGATGCTGAACGCGATCCTGCTTGGGCTTGAGATTGTACAGGAATTCTCCCTCGCGGTGCACCTGAACACGAGAGAGAGGGTCGAAGCCACTGCCTTGCAGTTTGATTCCGAGCATGCCAGTGGCGCTATCGGTCGAAAGCGTTTCTCTTGCCGACATAGGATCTTCGAATCGCCATGGTTGTTCCTCTCCGTCTTCAAGCTTAGCGGCGAAGCCCTCTTCCTCTTTGCCCTCAGCCCAGATGTCAAGACTGAAGCCCGTGTAATTGCGCACGCGATATGGGGCATCGTTACCTCGGGGCTTGGAAAGAATATCGTCTTCACTAGTGAGGAAGTCAAATGACTTGGATGCCAGCGCAATCGTAGCTGCTGTTACCGTGAGCTCCATAGACTTGCGCGAGTAGAGATCCACGGTCAATTTGTCTGGATCTTGGTCCTTGGACATGTGGAAACCGACACTCCAAGGCTCAATCAGCGGCTCCCATGCGGATTTTGAAAAGTTGTAGACATTGATCAGGGTGTCGAGCGAGGTGTCGGCGACCATTGCGCCTGACCAGTCTCGTACATCCACCCCAAACCTCTTCACGCGCCAATCCAACATAGGCATCTCGTGTACATCGCCAATGAGCACAACTCGTATACCTTCAAAGCTTATATGCAGCTCTTCGCGTTGGATAATAGTCGATGAAGGTTGTTGTTGGTACCCAGTTTGCTGAGTTGGTCGCTTGCTAGTCGCAAGAGACTTGGTCTGAGGCTTATGGGTCGACGCTTTGCCTGCGTGAGACGTCCCTTTTTTGGATGGCGTTGCTGCCTTAAGCTTCTGGGCCTCCGCAGGAGGCATGCTCTTTTCAGCTGGCGCAGCCATTGCAGATGCTCGGTTCACAATCTGCATAGCTAGCAAGATATCTCGCAGTGACAATCGCAGGACAAGGGGTTCGATGTCGACAGTTATGCTCGTCATCGAGGTCTTTGAGCCCTGATTTCGCATGTCCAAAGCCGTTTGGATGCTGAAGTCATCGAGAATTCGCATGCGGTTGGTTTCGAAACGATCCATGCGGCACAAAAACATGCCAACCTTGTCCACCTGTAGCGTCATCGATTGTTGTTTGGAGATGAGAACCTGCTTCGTGCCAAGCACGATGGCCTCAGAGCTGGCCATAGCTGGGTTTGCAATGAGGATGACCTGAGCATCTACCAAGTTTACACGGAAAGACACATTCATACCATTGTCGGCTGGCGCCTGGGTAGGCTGTGGTATTTCGAGTGTCCGGGACCCGTCGGGTGACATGATATCCTCATCATCACTATCCGTCTCTTCCTGTTCTGGTTCTTGAATAGCCAAGGGCTCGTCAGTTGCAAGACCCGCGTTGGCAAATGCTTGAAGGGCAAATAGATAGTCAAGAGCGAGAATGATCCGTGGGCTATCGATGGTGAGAAGTGCAATCATGCTGCGTTCCTGTCCACCTGCAATAGATACACTAGCCATGAACTGCTGCTGGACGTCATTGTTAATGAGCGACATGATCTTGCGGAACTTGTTGGCTCCTTGCATGCGGCTATCCCGAATGGTGAAGGACTGTACAACAAACTCTGCCTCCATGGCTCCATCGCTGATCATGCGGACCTTGACGTTGGTGTCATTCAAAGAAAACTTCGATAAGCTTGCGGCCTCGACATCACCAACAGGCTCACCATCTGTAGACTTGATGAGCTCTAAACCGATGGTGCCGACTTTGAAGACAAAGTCCAGCTTCGTCCACTTGTCTTCATCGGTATGTAGCTCAGGTCCTTGTGAGGTAGTCATTTCCTTGGAGGGCACCAAATCTTCGTCACTCTTGTCCGTCATCCGACGCGCAGGCTCTGTCGTCTCATCTGGCAGCTCAGCTTCAACGTCTTGATCAATTGCATCGGACTCTGCGGCAAAGGCTCCAGGTATCGATCGCGATAGTTCCAATGCGAACCTCATCTGCTCTGGTGTAAGCTGCAAGTTGATGTTCGACATTGAACCATCGACTTCAAGATCTGGCCGTTGTTGCCCGGGCTTGTGTTCCACCATAGTAATGTTGAAGTCGAGATCAACCTTGTCGATCAGCTGCAACTGCTCAGAGCGATCACCTTCATAGTGCAGCTTCGAGGTGAGCTTAATATGCCTGATGCCGGCCGATATTTTGTTGGCGGTCTCTGCGCTCTTTGAGTCGTCCAGAGGGACAAAAGTATTCTTCGCGTAGATCTCTCCCAGGTTCGCAGTGAGAGTATCACGCTCTGGTTTATCGGAGACCACCATGCGAGGGAACACAACAATGGGAGTACTGATGATGATGTCGTAATGGAACCTTGTCGCTCGTTGCTGTATCTGTGTTGCTTGGTTCGCCGCGGCCTGGCGAGCAGCATTGAAAATGGCTTGCATCTTGCCGAATTTGACGGCAAATTGCATGATCTTGCGGAAAGGCTCAGTAAGGAAGTTGATCTTGACAGACCCAGTTTTCAGTACAACAGCCGTATCGTATCCTGGATAGCTCCCCGATTCAGGATCGTAAGTCTCGTAGCTAAAGTCAGCCAGATTCTTGCCCTCGATAGTGACGAGTTGGCGGAGTGGAGACTCTTCTGATACGCCTTGGTTGACGTCGTCGATGAGCGACAGATTTCCGAGCCTTCCTCCAATACGCATGGTTTTGCCGCTGAGGAAGATGCCAACATTGCCAGAGTTCAAACTCAAGGTAGCTAGCCGTATGCCGTCGTTGTTCAGAATTACAGCGATGCGCTTCAACTCTGCTCGGATGCGTATTTTGTCAGGCTCCGATTGAGGCTGCGCTACTACCGGTTGGTCCTCTTGCTTGTCCGTGATCTGAGCTTGCTGATTTTGTGGCGGACCTGGGTTTGTGAAGGTATCGAGAACAAAGTCCAGCAAAGTCAGCAGTGTCCGTCGAGTTACTATCAAGTTGATGGTTGAGACTGCGACATCCAAGTTGGTGGCAATACCCTCATACTTGGTCTGGAACTCTGGTGATTCCTTGTTCACCTTGACAAACTTGAGTGAGAACAGGTCTTTTTGTTCGTCTCCCGACACATCTTCTGACGAGATGATGTTCTTGAACTCAGGAATCGTGGATTCTTCCACATGATCTTCAACAGCCAAGCTTCGTAGACGAACATCTGCAGCCATCTCAAACGCCTCTTGGTAGAAATCGAGATCGAAACTCTCTGCAACCAACTCGACTAAGAGCTTATCTGCCTTTCTTCCTTCTGGGTCTGCTCTGTACAGCGAGCCTTGAAGCTTATCGACCGTGAACTTGAACTCAAAGTTGCGCTGGTGCAGGTGCAAGTTCCGCTGATGGTCTTTGGGTTCTAGCGCATCCGAGAATTGCTCTTCTGTATCGCTCTGGCCGTCCTCTTCCATGACAAGCTCATGGTCTTGAGCAGCAAACTTGAAGGACCTTGAGCGTGCTCGTCCGAGAGGATCCGTTTCAGGCTTGCCCTCGACGTTGGGCTTCAGGTTCGATGGGCCCTTGGCTCCATCAACCACCGGTTTGCTGGTGCTTTCATCTCCAAACTTTGGTATGGCCACATCAATCAGCTTCATGAGATTCTTGTACTTGGAATCCGATACCGACGCGTGGAGCACTGGCAGGTTTCCAGAGACGCGGAACTTGGTCAGATCCGAAGCCTTGGGGACGATGCATATCTCGATCTTGAAGTCGATGTTGATGCGATCGACAATGTGATAGTTCTTCACGCTTGAGTCTTCTTCCAACTGTGCGCGAGTCTCCTCGATAGACGGGCCTATGAGTACCTGTGTGGAGTGTAGCTTTAAGTTGAACCTGTCGTACATTAAATTTTCCAGCCTTCGGAAATCTTCATCGGTATATTGTTGCTTCTGCTTGGCCTGGATGTCCCGAAGCGTCTCTTTATCAACAAGCTCGCTCGTGACGCTTACGTGACCTGCATCAAGGATGAGACAGTTGCTTGATTTCTTCGTGACTGAATCAGGGACGATGATGAGCGGAGCCTGTAGGTTCAGCTGAGCGTTGATGGTCTTGTGTTCGGCAAGTGCAAACTCCAAGCCTGCACGAGTCTGCTGTCGAATTCCTTCGACAGTAGCGCCAGCAGTCTCCATGAGGGCGCCAATGGATTCCATGTGTCTCTCTGGAGGTTTGAAGAACTTGGCAACCTCAACCACGAATCTCGGGTTGTAAACAAATTCCATACTCTTCAGCTTCATGGTCAGGTTTGTATCAGCTGCTCCGTCGAGCGGATTGTTTTCAAACGTCAGGAAGAAGAAGGGGTCCTCTTTTTCTTCTTCTTCCTCTTCGTCTTCGTGATCTTCACCCTCTGCATCCTTGGGTGATTCATCGTCATTCAGTTCTTCAATTCGCTTCTCGTCGGGTACAGGTGGTGCATCCTTGACCGTGATGATTTGTGGAAAGAGACTGCCTTCGGTGGTACCATCATACAGACGCATACCTTCGAGCGCAACCTTGACAAATGTCGAGTCTGTGCGCTGCAGCAGCTGCGTACTGAACGAATCGAAAAGAAGCCGGAGTATCTCATTTGACTTGCCATGAGGATCACGCTTGAGTGTGAAGCTGCCCGTTCGTAGGCTCATATTGACCTCAAGCTTGACGTATTCACGAGGCATGTCCACTGACTCAGCGATGGCCTTTTTCTCGTCCCAGTCAATGGCGTCGTACAGCTCTTTTCGTTGCTGCTCGCTCATCTGCGTGTTGTCATCTTCTTGTTGCTCCTCTGGCTTGCTTCCCCAGACCCAGGAGGTCCATGTTTGCTTGGGCGGTGGCTTCTTGACACCAACATTCTCTTTGCGCAGTTGGTTTCGGGCTAGTGAGCGCCAGAAACGAAGATCTTCGTAGGAGAGCTTCCGCTCCAGTCTGTCCAGGTCTTCAGTCTCGGTGGCATCGAGCCTCTCCTCGCGTTTCTTCTTCTTGAAAAGCTCAATATACCGTATCCGGTCATCGCGCCTCTCTTTGAAGTAGTCCCAGCTCCACCGGCGGTTCTTCTCATGGATCTTGTCGAGTACAGCCTTGCCTGCAAACCGAAGCCAGCCAGCAGGATCCTCTTTGGGCGACGACTTTGGTTGCAGCTTCTTGTACTCTTGGTGGCGAATGAAGTAGTGGAACAAGTCGACCAGCATCAGCGCATCACGATACTGATCTTCGTCGATGATGAAACCGAGTTCGTCGAACAAAAGTCGAGCCTTCATCTTAGCCCGGTCTGTTTTTCCCGTCTTGTCAATTTCCAAACCAGCACGTCCACTGATGGGCTTGAGGATAAACTGATGATCGCCCAGATCGGGGTTGTCGCCTCTAGCGATCATGCCCCGCGCCTGCTCGATGAAGTCTTCCCGGTCGATTTGCTGCTCATCGCTGCTCTGATTGCCCTTGCCTGTACCAATCAACTTGGCGTCCGTGTCCCAGTATACCGCCAACGATCCAAGTGTGGCCAGCTTGTGCGTGGAGGCGGAAGTGCCCTGGATGAAGGTAGGCTTCCAGTTTTCGTCTGTGCTAATAGCACTGAAGTCTGCAAGGGTGAGACCCAGAGCAAAGGGATGCCCTGGGTCGGATATTGAGTCCTCATATCGGATGTGGATGTTTTTGACCGTGACCTGGACGTTGTCGACAATTGCCGTGACCAAGCTTGCCGTGAAGCTTTGGTTCTTTTGTTGCTCTTCGGCACTCATGCCTTCTGTGTTTCGCTCTTTTAGCAGCTCAGCGCTGTCGAGCTTCTCCATCTTGACAGCATGTGCACGCTTCTCCTCCTCTTCTGCGTCGTAGTCTGCATCTTCCTTTGGCGCTGCCAGCAAGAAGACATCTTCGATGTTGACCTTGAGGGGTTTGCCGCGCAGGTTTGACCAGGGTATGGATAGTGTGAGGGAGCCAAGATGGCCTTCGACGACGTTGAGCGGTAAGCGGAGCTGGTCAAGGGCTTCGCGGCGGAGTTCGAGGTCCCGCAGTTTGACGTCTCCAGACCAGATGCCAACGTTGAGCTGCTTTGGATCGAAGTTCTGGACATACATGCCCAAGAACCGATTAAGCAGCGTCGATACGAGTCCCTCGAGCATGGTGGCGGCGTGGCACCGTTACCCAGGTCGGGTGTCAGACGAGGAGGGGTCGAGTGTGGGGTGCGGGGCGGTGTGCGTCGGGGGGTCGAACAGGTATTGCTATATCGTAAAACTGTGTGGAGTCATAGGGAACGGCCGTCAATGTGCGGTAGCACTATAGAAGGGGTATCGTAGAGGGTAGACACAGGGCGAGGGGTTGGAGAATTACCGAGGCCGCAATGAGGAAGGGGCCACAGGGAGCGTCTAGAAAAGAATACAAGCTCAACAGCAGTGGATGGTGCAAAACATTGGCGGAGGAGGGAGGGAGAGAGACACAGAACCAAAGTAGAGTAGTGGTAGGAGTGGCAGTCATGACCCAGGCAGCTATACGTTAGGCACAAGTGCGATGCATGACGTAGATCCAGCCTTCCCGCTCACGTGTGCGGGCCGTCTGAGCGCTCATTCGCCGGAGATTTGCTGCCCATTGCGTGTGTCTTTCCATTCCTTGCCCGCACCCACCGTCCCCGCGGATCGCCTTGGAAAAACGCCAAGCTGTTAATTGTTAATTGTTCATGCCATTGTGAACCGACTCGACGACGCCCGACCACGTTGCAGCCCACCCCACACTGCCCTGCCCAGCTGCTACCAGCGTGACCCCGTCACTGGCGAATTACCTAGCAAAACCTTTCCCCAGCCAAGCACGTTTGGGCATACGCAATCTCAGCATGGGCTGGTGGCCGTTTTCAGGCTCAGGCGCAGATGGCGCATCCAAACAACAACCAGCGACTATATCGACATCATCGCCCGTTCAAAAGCCCAGCGATGCACCCACGCCAGCCACCCGACAGCCGTCGACACAAGCACCCCACGACCCTGATTTTTATACCGCCCACCCACACCTCGCGCCGCCCTCGTTCTCGTCGAATACCGTCCCCTCGTCCACCAATGCCGACCACACGACGCAACCGTCCACATCGGATGAGCTCGATCCCACACTCCCCCGCAGCATGTCCTGCCGCGCCGCCTTTGACAGCGCCTTCTACTGCTCCTCGCTGGGCGGCCACTTCAACGACGTATACCGCTATGGCCAACTGCGAAGTTGCTCAGATCACTGGAATGACTTTTGGTTCTGCATGCGTACCAAGAACAGTAGGAGTAGCCAGGACGTCAAGGAGCGCATAGTGCAGGATCGGTACCGCGAAAAGGAGAGAGTTTTGAAGAGTGGGCCGAATAGTGAGGATATCTGGCGCAAGAGGGAGCCTGGAGAAGAAGTCAGAGGGGCATTTAGTAGGCCTTCTGAGGATGCGATGAGATGACAACGTTTTAAAGGCAAGGCTGTATGATAGGCAATACCATAGGGATGGATATTGGCATGTACAATACATAATGAATCTAGCAAGAGAATTTGTAGCTACGGGTACAATGTCCATCTCTGCGAGCAGCATGGACACCTCGTCAAGAGGGCTTGCCATGATCATGATCCTTTCGATTTTCTCAGTGCTATCATCGCTATCATGGTTGCTATCCGCTATTTTGTGTGGTGGTGGTACAAGTTGCACATATACTACAAAAGGTTTCTAGAATGGTAAATCGCGGGTTCCTGCCTCCCTTCGCTTCATTACGCGCCCGGGCTTGACACACAAACACTCGCATATATGTAGACTCCTTGGTCCGCGTGTCAAGAAGGGCCGCTTACAGCCATTATGCCGGTATTCTGGCAGATGCGCGGACCTTAGTCGAAGCTGGTGGCATGTCGCCTCCCCTATAAGGCAGAGGTACATGACAGACCTTTATAGACTACAGATCTTCTACAGCGCATCCATACTTGCTTAAAGTTGCTAATCTGAGCTTTTGCCCGATGCATTCTGCTGTAGGCAGGTTAACATCATTTTAGGTGGTGGGATAAACATGTATGGACTTTTGGTGGTTAGGTTAGGTTGCACACTCATTCAAACACCTACAATATTCACAAGCACAATTTGAAGTAATTGAAATGCCATAGAATTCTCTACACAGGATAATAAACCCCATTATTAGAGTACATGCTACCACCGAACTTTTCCTCCCGTGTCGTTGATCGTTATTCATCCGATGCATTGAGAAACATAATGAAAAGGCTCATAAGCCGTGAAACTCCGTGAACTACCATCCGGGAAAAGTCTATGCTGAAAGATGCCAAGGAAAGGGAGACGAAGAGACAGCCGTGTTAGAGCGATCAGCTTAGTCGACCTCCTCAACAGTGGGGCCGTCATCGCCGCCAGCACCGCCGTGGGCGCCGCCAGGAGCACCACCGGGCATACCGCCAGGCATACCCTCACCACCAGCTCCGTAGAACTTCATCATGATGGGGTTGGCAATGCCCTCAAGCTCCTTCTGCTGAGACTCGTACTCGTCCTTGGTGGCGGTCTGGTTGTCGTCGAGCCAAGCAACCGTCTTGTCGATCTCGGCCTTGAGCTTCTCCTTGTCGCCAGCATCGAGCTTCTCGTCGACCTTGGAGTCGTTGAGGGTGTTGCGGAGCGAGTAGGCGTACGACTCGAGAGCGTTCTTGGCGGCGATACGGGCAGCCTCAGCCTCGTCCTCAGCCTTGTACTTCTCGGCCTCGGCCAACATGCGCTCAATCTCCTCCTTGGAGAGACGGCCCTTGTCGTTGGTAATGACGATCTTGTTGGTCTTTCCGGTGCCCTTCTCGAGAGCAGAGACGTTGATGATACCGTTGGCGTCGACGTCGAAGGTGACCTCGATCTGAGGAACACCGCGGGGCGCAGGGGGAATGCCAGTGAGCTCGAACTTGCCGAGCAAGTTGTTGTCCTTTGTGCGGGCACGCTCACCCTCGTAGACCTGGATAAGCACACCGGGCTGGTTGTCGCTGAAGGTAGAGAAGACCTCGGACTTCTTGGTGGGGATGGTGGTGTTGCGCTTGATCAGAGGAGTCATGACACCACCAGCGGTCTCAATACCGATGGAGAGCGGCGCAACATCGAGCAGCAGGATCTCGGAGGTCGACTTGGAGGAGGTATCGCCAGAGAGGATAGCGGCCTGGACGGCAGCACCGTAGGCAACAGCCTCGTCGGGGTTGATGGACTTGTTGGGCTCCTTGCCGTTGAAGAAGTCGGAGACCATCTTCTGGACCTTGGGGATACGGGTGGATCCACCAACCAAGACGATCTCGTGGACGGAAGACTTGTCGATCTTGGCATCGCGGAGAACGCGCTCGACGGGCTCCATGGTGGAGCGGAAGAGGTCCTGGCAGAGTTCTTCGAAACGGGCACGAGTGATGGAGGTGTAGAAATCGATTCCCTCAAACAAGGAACTGGCCAAGTCAGTAAAAGTTCCGGTATTTGGCTGGCAAAAGGAAAACTTACTCGATCTCTATGGACGTCTGCGCCGAAGATGACAAGGTTCGCTTGGCGCGCTCGCAGGCGGTTCGCAGGCGACGGAGGGCACGCGCGTTCGAGGTCAAGTCTATAGAAATGTTAGTGTATTGTCCTGCAAAGTGTGAAAGTTATGTCAGGCACCAGTCAAGATAGCCCAAGTGCCTGACTCCTTTGCAGTGAGCCTTGAAGTCGGAGAGATATCTAAAGCGCGGCAGGGTTGGACAGGTTCCGCAATTGAAATATTTGTCTTTGTCCCGCTTGTAGAGGACCGTGGTGATGTGTCGCTTCGTTTCATTGTGCACACGGAGGGAGGCTGCATCACGGCAGTTGACATCGCACGCATCGCATCGGTAAGTCTTGTTTGCAATGGCCTTACGCTGGCGTCCCCTGGTACCAGCTGCTTGTTTGCGGTTGTGGATGCGCATGCGTTCCTTGAATCCGGGGTGGGATTTTTTCGCAACACACGCTGATAGACGTACTGGTATTCAGCCTCGCGCTTTCGCCGGATCGCCTGGACTTCAGCACCGGATTCCTCGAGACCAGGGATACCTTCCACGAGGGGGTTGTGGGAGCATAGGCCGTCATACTCGAAGGTCTGACCACGCTATGGGCAGATGTCCGGGAAGGAGTAGGACTTGGACCGGTTCCTGAGAGCCGAGAAGAGGACCGTGAAGACTGCTTCGAGCGTGATAATGAGTGTCCGATAGACAGACAGGACGCCAGTAAAAGGCTTAGGGCAGGTGACCAGGAGGCGGAAATGGGTGATCTCGTAGCCAGCGTCGAGGGCCTTTTCAACGTACAGCGGAAGGGTCCTCTTCGCCTTGTAGTCCTGGAAACGCCTGCGGACACCATACAGCCAAGCAGTGCCAGACCCCACGTAAATGAGCGGAATGTAGCCGGCCTTTTCGAGAACGACGTAGACACCCCAGGAATGAGCCGGCACATGAGCAGGCGGAGACTTGAACCAGGCAATCGTTGGCGGAGTAGCTGAGCGAAGGCAAGCCAGCAGACCAGGAGCAAATCGAAGCCGACAGAGGAAGAAGATGGTGTCCAGTGCATCGCGAGTATCGAAAATGTTGGGGTAGTCAGGGTTGATCCAGCCGGATGCATGATGGATACAAGCCCAGATGGCATCAAGCAGGAACACGCTCAGGGCGAATGCTGCTAGTCCCATTGATGTCGCGATTTTGGTGGTGGAGCCAGCGAATTTTGGACTGATGGTGTGCAGACCTCAACAGCTGACGGCGGCATGGCTTTTATACCACGCCGTCCCTCTCCTGTTGGCTAGATCCTGGAATTCCGCCATGACGCATGGAACTGCATCGACGAGCATCGACGAGCATCGAAAGGGCTGGAAAGCGCCACAAGAAGGGCGTAGAAGAGCCTGGGTGGGGGGTGGGCCGATGCTTTGCGATGCTTGAGGAAGGACCCAGGAGGTTGAGGAAGGAGCAGCCCAGAGAAACCGTGGTGTTGCGGGGTAGAAAAGGTACAACAAGGCGGTGATACAGGACAAGCGGTGTGGGGTTGACGTAATGGAATCAGAAAGAATCGCCTAGTGCCAGACTACAGCGCAGGAAGTGGGGCAGCTCAGGTGAGCGAAAATTCCATGGAAGGTAAAAGAAATCGGGCAGCTCAGGTAAAGGAGCCGGGCAGCTCGGGTAAAGGAGCCGGGCAGCTAGGGTAAAAGAAAAAATACTACAGCAAAAAAAATCATACTAACCTTTGCGATGCTTTCTTTTGAACTCCATCGTGAAGTGATTCACAAGACGGTTGTCGAAGTCCTCTCCACCCAAGTGAGTGTCACCAGCAGTGGACTTGACTTCGAAGATACCTTCCTCAATGGTCAAGAGGGAAACATCGAAAGTACCACCACCAAGATCAAAGATAAGGACGTTACGCTCGCCCTGGGTCTTCTTGTCAAGACCATAAGCAATAGCAGCAGCAGTAGGCTCATTGATGATACGGAGGACATTAAGGCCAGCAATAAGACCAGCATCCTTGGTAGCCTGACGCTGGGAGTCGTTGAAGTAGGCAGGGACAGTAACAACGGCATTGTTAACAGTGCCACCTAGGTAGGACTCTGCAGTCTCCCTCATCTTGGTCAGGACCATGGATGAGATCTCCTCTGGTGTGAAGGTCTTCTCCTCGCCCTTGAACTCAACCTGAATAACAGGCTTGCCACCCTTGTCGACGACCTTGAAGGGGAAGTGCTTCATGTCGGCCTGAACCTCTGCATCGGCGAACTTGCGACCGATGAGGCGCTTGGCATCGAAGACGGTGTTGGCGGGGTTCATGGCGACTTGGTTCTTTGCAGAGTCACCGATGAGACGCTCAGTGTCCGTGAAGGCCACAAACGAGGGTGTTGTGCGGTTACCCTGGTCGTTGGCGATGATCTCAATGCGGTCATCTCGGAAGATGCCTACACATGAGTATGTGGTTCCTAGATCAATTCCGATCGCGGGTGCCATGATGTGCGGCTTGTCGTGTGTGTAGTGGGGGGTATCAAAAGTACAAGGAAAATCGTAGATGCTCACAAGTCAGAGACTTCGTGTGTGTGAGGCTTTGTGACTTTTGGAGTTGATTTGGGTTGTGTAGTGAGGAGACAGGTGCAGGCGGCGGCGGAGCAGTTTTTGTATTGCCTTGGAGCGTGTTGTTTCTACAGAATTCCAGCGGCTTCGACGTGCCAAGCCTCCAACCAGAATCTTCCCGCAAGCTCTGCGACCCACTAGAAACAACTGCCTGGCGGCTTCACTGGGGGCGAATGCTGGGTGTTGGATCCACAGTGAGCAGCGCTTGTGCCGCTTGATCACCCAGCCCAACGCAGCAATCGCGACCGTCGGTGGGCATGGCGTGGCTGCCTCTTTCCTCGCCCCCCCAAAGCACGCTCGACTTTGCCATGCGATGACGGAACCCTCACCCCACCATGCCCCCAATCCGGTGGTCTAAGCGAGCTGCCCCGCCATACCGGGCCCACTGCTCGTGGCCGCCCATGGCAACCGGCCGCTTCTTGTACCTTCCAATGCCACCTGCTGCTTTTCCACCGCCATCGAACGACATCAGGCGCAGCCCTACCCCTGAACATGGACGTGTCTGATACCTGTTACGATTCAGCGCCCTCAGCTTGGTACTGCTCCTTATGCACATGCGTTGATACCACGGTCAACCTCTGGATCGAATAGACAAGGGACATTGCATACACCTATTGTGGTCTGCATCCAAGAACATGCTTCGACTATTGCTAAAACGCCATGTTTTACTGCATATCCACATCTGCTAGGGTAAAGTATAGGAAAACCACGGCAAACAACCACACCCCCTCGGGCGTTGCCTCATCGCCACGAGTCTCCCGCTTCTAGCATCTCCGAAGCACATACGATGACAAAGAACCCAGCAAAAAATCGACACATGTATGCAATATCCAGCAGCCCAACGCCGCAGATGCTGATTGCCCAAACGCCAACATGGGTATAATATGAGACCGACAGCCAATGATGGTCCAAGCAGAGCAGCATGTCGAGGACCGAGATGAGGCCTAACCACCTCCCCGTCCTCGCCCACGCCCCCTTCCACTGCCGCTGGCCGTCCGTGCCATCGCAACACCACCAACATGGCCACCTGCCTCTCCATTCCGTCCTATCGGCGTGTTTCCGCCTCCTTCTGACCATCCTGCAGCACTGCTCTGCGCGCTCATAGGCACGCCGCCCAAGCCTGTGCCTACCTCCAGATGTGGTGCGGTACTTCGAAGGGCACTCGTCATTTCGTTGACTGGCTCCGAAAAATTCGGGGGCTGGACCTGGTAATCCCGTGCTTTAACAGGGTGGCATGCGGCCTGCAAGAGTTTCTCGTTGAGATCATCGTCTGGTCGTGCTTCCCGTAGCATGAGCTTCAAATCCTGTTCAACATCATGTGCCGAGAGCGAGGGCGGGGGTGGTGCCGACGCGTTGATCTTTTGGAAAATCTTTGCATCCAGAACAAAAGGCGGGTTGTAGATGAATGGCGGTATTTGCCCACTCACAATGGCGGCTGTGGGATTGAGCGCAGAGCGTGTAGCACCGCGCGTGGCGTGTGGGTTCGACGAATGCTGGCGCGCCATGTCAGTTGCACCCGGTACTTCGTCTGAATCTTGGTCTTGATCCATGGCATCGCCGTTTTCAGAAGCATGCTCGCCGTTGGTGCCGTTGGTGTTACCGTTGGTGGCTGCTTCTTGCGGTGTGGCTTCGGTGTTTTTCATCTTCGCGAAAAAGTGAGACGCGGCTGTTGTAGCCTGGTTCATAGCCATGTTGAGCTCCTTTTCAGTGAACAAGCGCTCCAGAGAGTAGGCAGATGACTCGAACTGGGCATTGACAGTACGCGCCTTGGCCTCGCGGAACGGAGACCCAACCCCCATTTCAACTCGACCAGATGCCCCGGGAGAATCGTTGTCCTGGTCTTCGAATAGCTTTCGCTTGCGCTTGTGTTCGTTGGCCGCAGCAAGCTCTTCCGCATCCCCAAACTTGTGCCCTGTCCTCCTTGTTTTCCGTGGCGCTTGCGGACCTCCGGGGCTGGCAGGGTTTCCAATGCTGAATTGGTTTGGATGGAGGAGCATGGCGTTGCTGTCAGACAAATCAAGCTGCTCCTTTTCCCGCTTCAGTCGGTTTGTTCGCTGTTGTATGCTTGCGACAAGACGTTCGCGGATGGTCGCGGCCAGCAGCTTGTGCTCTTCCTCGGCGATTTGGACTTTGTAGTAGTGCGAGTTTTCGATTTCGTTCTTCGTGTTCTCGTGTTTGTTCTGTATAATAATGCGATTAACGTGCCGTGTTAGCCAGCAGAGGGTAGGGGGCGCTTACCCAGAGCATGGTGAGGTTGTAATCCCGTTCCTCCATCGCATCGTTCACAGCGTCCACGAAGCGCGAGTAGTGCTTTCCGCATTGCGCAATGTAATCGGTACCAGCACTTAGGGCAGAAGGCACGTTGTTGCCCATAATCTGGGAGATGAGCTCCGCCGCCTCTTCGCCGTTATCCTCGAGCGGCTGATTCGCATAAGGATCCGCCTTCATAATCAGGTTGATGTCGGCTTGTAGCGCAGCAAGCTGAGCGCGATAATGGCTGTCCCTGTTGTCAGAAAAGGATGCCATCATTTCCGCAAGCTTCTCCGCGAGCATGTTGCGCCGTTTATCGCGCTTCGAGGGTTGCGGTTGAGGGGATGTCGCTGAATGGCCTAGCGAAAAGTTGTCCGCCGGTGACGGACTTCCATTGCGAACCATGGCGACAGCGTAGGCTTTGGATGCGTTCTGGAGTCGCGCTTCGTCGTCGTCTGCTGGGCTAGGATGGCCACAGGGTGCCGCCAGTCTTTTGTCGTGTTTAGGTCTGGCGCGGTGAAAATCTGATCGTGCCGTCTACTAGCCCGGGATATAGTTTGCGCCTCGTATCGTAGATGGTTACCGGCTTCAAGCCATGGAGTAGGTAGACACTTGGGTATCGTTTACAAGAGTGAATTAGTCTGGCAGACGAGCGTTCGCATCGCATCACTTGGAGCATTCCGAATGGGGTTTAGCGCCTGGGTAGAACGCCGATTGCCGACATCTCTCAAGCCAATTGCATGGCCGAACTGTTGCCGCCAAACAGGAATGCGCCCAGGAATTGTTTTTGAGCTGAATTGTTCTTGCTCATTGTCTCAGGTGTAACAACCAAAGTTTTAATTGGGGGTTTTTTTTAGTGGAGCATAACTAGAGATTAACTTGCTCATTCTACTGAATTGCCTGTTTAGTCAGCTTATGAGAAAAATATATAACATATAACAAATTCCAACAGCGATTTAGCGGCCAATTCTCTTTGGATCAATGTTCTTACAAAACATGTTCAGAAAAATATGATGCTTTTTTCCGCTGCATTTGAGATGCTTGAAGGCACAGTATTTTCTGCTGTCACCAGCTAGTATGTATCGAGTATGATTTTCTGTTTTTGCGCGAATTGGATATGGGTGTCACATCTAAAAAAAAATACATCGACAAAGTTGAACGGGTTCCTGTCGTCTATCAGGTTCACATACAATGTGTACTTAGTATAAACATTCCTATAGCCCGTTACGATGCTGAAAAGCGATGCAGCTTGAGTAGCTATGCCGTCGCGCTGTTCTTGTTGTACCGATTGTTCTGCAGTTTCTGGCTGCTCTGGCTGTAGTTTCTATATAGTCTGTGTTGGCTGTTACCACGCTGCTCTAGCCATTCAGGCGTTTCTGATCGTTCTGGTCGTTCTGGCAGTGACGCTGCTCTGGCTGCTCTGGCTGCTCTGGCTATTGTAGTATTCATTATTCAACCAGACGGCTCAGCTGATGCAGCTTAAGAGGGAGATTCTTAACATCTTAGCATGCGTCTAGCTAATAGCTATGAATGTTGGGATATCTACTCTACCTTCTGCATGGTGCAGAAGGTTGACCTTTTTGCACTACAACAAATCTTTTAAGCGCTAATTGACCTATATGTTCTCTTACAATTTAACATATTATACCAAATATACCTGATTTAAAAGGTAGCTAAAGCTTTAATGGACTTGAAAATGCCAAAGTGAAGCTTCTTATGTAGTAGCATGGCCGTCGAAGTCATCTTGTTACGTTCTCATGATTGGATCATGATATTTTGATTGCCGGGCCATACTGCATGTCGAAAGACAAAGATGAATCTCCAACCTCTTCAGTTAGAGACTCTATATACTGCGACACTTAATAAGTACCAATGCTATACAAAGGAAACATCTATCAATGACATAAGAGGTCTTCTACCACGAAATAGGGTCATATTGTAGGAGAATATGAATCAATGGAACAATACCCTTGAATTTGACCGTCGCAACCTGGAAGCCTGGCTAGGAAGGCTACTGGCAATTTGGTAACAACAAACGAAGCTGCTGTAACGTCTAGGTACAAGTACTTACCCGCATCCTAGCAGTTGACAGAACCATAGTAGGAACACTCGTCTCTCGATTGTGATGACTTTCTGCCACAACATATTGACGCGTAGAACTTCTACTGACCCGTTTGCTCCCGTCGGTCACGCGTTGGCCAGTGGCAGTGCAGTGTCTGCGTTGCCGTTCCGTCAAATACTCATGAGCCATTCGCTGCTTATACACAGACGGCACGGTTAAATGCATTTACCGGTTACAAGAACATACGACTTCAAAAACATGGCTGTGCTACTTGTAGTACCACTGTAGAAGAGTGGTGCTAGAATCGTTTCAGTGGAACAGGCCTTGCCCCGCATCAAACATGTGGACCCAGTGGCATGGTACTGTACGCTACACTCAGTATAGGAACCTACATCTGGGTAGCCTCGTGATACCAGCTTCCAAAGCCTGCTGCCTTTGGCTGCTATGTTGGATACAAAAACGGCAGAGGGCACAATTGGCTTTTGAAGGCGTTCCCAACACATATAAGAAGAGACTGAATCTCCGAATATCCCTGAACATCCACAGCATTCTTCATCAATACCAGAAGCTGTTGCTCATTCATTAGCTCTCCTCTATCAATTCTCGAACGCCCACTGCCAAAATGCACCTTCCAATGCTCATCGGTACCTTGGCACTCTCAGCCAGCATGGCTTTCGCAGCTCAGGCCAAGGTGCATAACAATTGTGGCTTCCCTGTTTGGGTGAACTCCGTCCAAGGCAAAGCTGGTCTTGTTCAAAAAGTAGCATCTGGTTATACGTTTTCAGAGGAGCAGAAGCCCACTGATAACGGTATTGGAGTTTCTGTCCAAATAACCATGTATGAAGATGGTCGCTCCAACAACGATCCCATTCTGATCATGGGATACTCTTGGGACAAACACGCTGGACTCTACTACAGCTTGAGCACGGTGAAGGGGTTTGACTTTTGGGGACGTAAGCTTCGCATTCACAACACTGAGGGAAAGCCTTTGGAGGAGATTGTTTGGATGGGAGAGCCAGAGCCGGACTACACTGCCGCCTATCTCAATGGCGAGGCGGATATAACGCTTGAACTCTGCGATTAAATGACCAAGCCCAACGTAGCGAGATGGATAGTGGGATAAGAAGGGGTGAGCTGGTTGTGAATAGTACTTAGCGTAGGGCTGGGAAATGGAGAATTGGAGAATCGCAGGGGAATCAGGTGTTAGAAAAGTCATGATGTTTTTATACAGTCATCCAATCCAAGATCCACTTGTTGCAATATCATAGTCGTTCAGGCCAAGAGAACTCTGGTAGTCCTTTCTTCATCGTACAAGCGCTATTTTGGTATCCATCAAGCATGCATCTCAAATGCTTTTGCCAAATGACCCCATGAACACTGCTTTTGAGGTGATCTGGATAGCAATAATCCCTTACAGTAAAGCTGTTTGCTCGTTTTTGAGAAATCTTTGTATCGTGTTACAGTCTGGGTACCACAGGTGAGGTGTCCAAAGCATAAACAAAAACCCACCAATTTTGCAGTACTACGGGTTGTTCTGGCGGAGCACTTACAGCTAGAATCTGTTCCATTTATATGCGGAGTACAGGTGCTTGTAGGAAACATATAGATGTCTGTTTTTACCCAGCACTGATAACGTGGGAATATCATATTTTCATGGAGTAGAAGACATACGCTACCAATTGATTGTAAACTATCAGTACAAGTCTAGTAAAGGCCTCTTACCAGTACAGGTCTCAGCCATTGGTGGCATTGATATTGGTCGAAGCCCTAGAATTCGTGTTCCGCTCACTCCACCGTCCAAATACCTCATCTCCCCTTGGAATGCAGGCGTCATATGGTCCAACCGCCTCATTATTGGTACTCCAATTCTACTGCTCACTAGAAGAACTCGAGTTCCAGTACCGAATGGCTCATAATTAGATGTGAGATGTCTTGTATTTGATGGAAGCTAGACTTGTCTGGATTTTCGTAGCACTATACAGCTAAACTAGGCTTATTTTCCCTTGCTTTTCAACGCTCACTATATATATATATATATATATATACTACCGAC